CGTCTTGCACCAGGTACGAAGCGCCTTGATGATGTCGAACGTAGCAGCGCTGTCCAGGCCCGTAGAGATCTCGTCACACAGGAACAGGCTCTGGCCACCGACCAGCACCTCACCCACAGTCACGCGCTTGCGTTCGCCACCACTCACACCTCGCAGCAGCGCGTTGCCCACCACCGTATCGGCGCAGCTCTCCAGACCCAAAATCTGTAGGAACAGCTCCGTGCGCAGCGCAGCGATCTCTCTCATCTCCTCCGGTTGGTCCTCCGGCCGGCCGTTGACGCACAGGTCGGCGAACTTGAACGTCTCGCGCACCGTCAGCGTCGGGATGTGGTTGTCCGTTTGGTCGACCAGACCCACGAGCTTGATGAGATCAATCTCCTCGCCACGAAGACCCGAGTACAGGATCTGGCCGCTGATCTCCGTCTGCTTGTTGTCCTGCAGCTTGCCGGCCAAAGCCTTCAGGAACGTCGACTTGCCGGCGCCAGGGTTGGCCAGGATCAGCGTCATGGAGCCAGGCTTGATGATGCCGCTCATCGGGTGCAGCGCGTGCTTGGTGGTCATGGGCACCTTCTGCCACGGCGTGAAGATGGAGGCCAGGTGCGACCCCACTGTGCCGTAAGCGCCAGCTTCAGCCGGAACCTGCACCGAGAAGGACAGGTTCTCGAAGCGCACCTCGGGCGTCGGCAGCTGCAGGTTGATCTTGCGCGACAGGTGGTTGTACTTCTTGTAGAAGCGCTCGAGGCCGCCGTTGAGCATCGTCTCGAGGTTGTCAGCCCGCAGCGTACTGTACCGACTGACCATGGTGTCACCGCCGCGGTTCGAGTACGGGTCCTGCAGACTGCGGAAGTTGAGCGAGCGGTACACGCCGGGGACCTCTTCGCCAGCATCGTTCGCCTCTGGTTGCAGCAGACTCATCTTGGACGTTGACTCCGTCGGGATGATCGAGGCAAAGGAGACGAACTGGTTGACAGGTAGAGAGAGGTGTCGCGGCGGGTGGGTCGTTCGGCTGGGTGGTGAGCCGAACGGGGCGGGTGGGTCCTCGGTCGGCCGAGGGGAATCCGGGAGTGAGGATTTCAAAGAGCTGTCGAGCGCGCGGTTAACTCTCAAGCCGTGTAGGTCGAGGTCGACTGGGTCTACCCGCACCCCGCTGTCAGAAGGAGGGACGGAGAGCATTCGTCCTGGTATCTTTGGTCTCATTGGCGCGCGAGTGTTTCCCGCGGCAGTCTTATGATGCCATCTGCAAAATATCTTTGATGCAAAAACTAACAAGTATGTAAGTGCGGGCAGAGACGACTCCCCTGCTGTCGGAGCTTCAGCATATTTGAGCACTCGGATGACAAACCTCTGATACAACCAACCCAACTTGGCGGGCAGATCGAATCTCTTGCCGACGCGTTGCACCCACGAATTTACAGGTGGCGATTGTTTAGCGATTTCGACCGTCAAGTTCTGAGGCATGTGGTGTATCCTCCTTCCAGCCGTGTAAACAACCTTTCGTGGTGCGTTTGTGTCTGGCGGAAACCTCCCGTGCGAGGTTAATTCTTACGGGGGCTTCGTATCATAGAACTATCGTCGATAGTGTTTTATCGTCTAGCATTGTTACTACCATTACGCGAATAGAGTCTAACCTTAGTAGCAGGTGCTCAACTCGCAGCTACACATGTATGGATTGGTCAGCATTAGATACGATCTCGTCTCGCCTCCTCAGTCTACAAGTCCACCTCCCAGTTAATCATCTTCATTCTTCTTCTTTTCAACTCAATAGACATTTGAAAAAATAGAATTTCTATATCCTGTATTGAACAGGATAAGGATTTCGACCAATATCCTCATACTAATCAGCACTGCACGCTGCAAGCGGACACTCGCCACCACCGAATTCATTGCAATCGCGGATTGTCAAGACGCCAGATTTCTGGCTCTGTTGACTCGAGTGCTCGTCAACCAGTAAATTCCGCGTCGCCCGTGCGGCCCCTGCTGCGGCTGGAAGCTGTCGAGTCTCCACTCACGTCGGCCCAAGTCTCCTCGGGGCCATCCACGCGATGGTTCCAGAAGTGGCAGAAGGCTCTGAACGGAGCCATCGCAGATAGGATTCGAAATTAATCAAATACTTGTCTCCGTAGACGAGATACCCGAGTCGAATCAATTCGTGAGCACGATCTCGTGAGGATCTTTAGCGCCGCTTCCGTGTTGATGTTTAGGTAGAATTGGCGCTATAGCGTTCGTGCCAGGTGTAATTTTGATGCTGATATTACGGCCGCTACCATTGCTGCCACTCTCTTGTCTCTCACTAGCAGCAAATTTGACGATAGCTGTGAAATTTGCAGAGGTAGGTTGACTTTCTTGTCCATGACCGCGACCACCACGCGCAACGCAAGCGTCTTCTCCACACCGCGCAAATGTAGTGTTTCGTCACGAATTCTAACTGGCAACGATCGCGCCAGCAGCAGGGGGGGGCAAGTTGATACCTAAGATGGCCAACTTCTCGCCAAATATTAGCGCGGAACCCGGCCGTTCATCCGTCAGGCCAAGTCTGAAGTGAAGTAGTCACTCAACCGCAGGTTCTTGACCTCTTCAGATAAAACCACGGCCCCGATACTACCGTCAGTACCCGTTACACAACCTGACGCGATCCATTCCTCTCGGTAAAAGTGCAATAAGCACAGACAACTGTCGTAGGCATGAACCGCACATCCGACATGCGGCGTCGTAGCGCTTTGGCGAGCAGATTAAGGAGTCTACATAGTAGATGAGCACGAAGTTGACTATGGCCGGGTAGATTACAAACCAAGCTGTCGCGAGCGCAGCTTGCTCAGCTCCGAAAACGCACCCAACAGTCCAAAATGCCGTCAAAGTAAGTTTTAGTCGGGGGAGTGATGCAAATGGGAGGATTTTGAAGCTTCCTGCCGCTGAAAGACAGCCGATCCCCACCAAACCACACTTACCACATCCGAGCACCAGCGCATTCCTTCTTGGTCTTCGATTAACTCCACGAAAAGTTGCTGGACCACGCTGATTTCGAGTCTGTCAGTCGGGGTGGTCTTGATTCGGTGGCTGGTAAGCATCGCCGCGTTCATTTCGGGGTTGCCAGCTTGATAAGACAGCGACGATAAATTCCACTCGCGAGGCTTCTCTGTTGCATTCAAATGCTGAGTAGTGAACGCGCGTGGCGTATTTGCTGGAATCATGAACGCCAAGTCTGCGCCTACGACGAATGTTCGTTGGCCTGGACGCTCGTAAAAATATCTAAGAAACGTCATATAGTGCCAAGTGAATCTGTTTGGCATTTCATCCTAAATAGATTGTCTAACTTATTTATTAAAACTTTAATGCAACCAGAAGCAAAATGTACTTTTCTAAGTGGCGCTTGTCGGTTCCACACCTTTGACGAGGAATGGACTCGAACCAGTTGAAATGGTAATCATTTAGAAAAGGAGATATTAATAATATTTTTTAGTAAATCAAAGATTGTTTTTGAAAAGCTCAATGTAACTATGATGCATTGTTAAATGATAATAATTAAATAAAGATAAAGACATTGTCCGAAGCTTTCCAGCCGAGACTGTCAAACTTTGGCTGCACGGTAGGTAACTTGAACGGGGAAGTTTTAGTTGTGCAAATACACAGATTCAAAGTAAGCATTGATCGCTATAAACATTACGACCTTAGGAAGGCAGGTAGAGGTGTTGTCGTAGCAGTTCCCGGATAGGATCTTCCGTGGCGCTACGCCCTTTCAAATATTTGCACAGCCATGTGCGCTTGCAGAACCTGGCGGGCTGCCATCTGCGCTGTTGTACAAATCTCGCTTGAGGTAACATTTCAAACGAACACGCAATGTTAGCTGAGCGAACAACAAGCAGTTGCAAGGCAACAAGAAATTACCTATCACGTTGAGTGAGGGCGAAGATATGGTACACTGCCCCAAACACCCATCCTCTCGTTGTGTTCGTACGGATGCTATTATGATAGCTCGCGCTTGCTCGAGGACTCCTATTACTTGCCGTAGGTTTGTTTCACTTACAGTAATGGCAAATCTTCGTCATGAATTACAGTACATGTACGCAGACGCGCTGATACAGGCAGCCCCACATGGCAAATTTTTGTTTTCAGTCGAGTGCAATGTGGCAATAGAGCGCTTAAGCTACAGGACCAAAACGTCTTTCAGGACGAAAAAAAACTTCGTCCCAATATTTCGTACCGAATATCCAAAAGGGCGCTTAAGCTAATCACAACGCAACGAATCAAATCACTACAGAACTCCCTCCTTGCCAGCCATACCAGAGACAATGGAGAGCGACAGCTCCGGCGAGATACTCACCTTGGGCTCCACTGCGTCGCTTCAGCTTGGCCAAGACGACCCTCCCCTGTCACCAGTGTAAGGCCCTGAGTCGCAGCAACAAGCTGCTGCGCCCGACGATGTTGAGGATAGCTCCGAGGAAAAGAGCTTTGAGGAAGTTGACGAGCCGGAGCAGCGCTCCCGCTTCAACGCCACCAGCGACAAGGCTCTGTTAGCTGAAGTCCTCGCCACGCCTCCATTTGCTGCTGACCGTAAAACAGTAACAGGTGTGTGGAAGGGAGTGGCTAACCGACTAAACGCTACTCTGTCAGAAGATTTTAGCTTTCGAGCGTGCAGGGACCGCACCAATCTTTCCTACGGAAGTATGCAGTGCGGAAGGCGCGAAACGAAGCCGCTAGCGGCACCAGCGAGGTGCACACAGAGAACGATGACATCCTTGAGCAACTTCAGCAGCTCAAGAACGCAGCCGTGGCTGAACAGCAGGAAAATAAGGCAAAATCGACCTCTAAAACGCAGGAGCTGGAGACTGCAGGTCAACTCCTCATGCAGGCAGCAGAAAAAAGGTAGCCTCGTAATGTTGTGTTGACTGCAATGTATTTCGTCTAATTTTGAATGCTTTTATGTAATTGTATGAACAGGGTTTCCGAGAGGCTGGCCGCTGGAACCAAAGATTCGGGCCATCCTAAGCGCCGTCGTCTCTCCACGTTGCTTGACCAGGAGCTTGAAGAAGCTATCGAGCGTAGGAAACTGGAAGCGGAAAAGGTCGAACTTCACCGAGTAGAGCTGCAACATCGTCGAGAAGAACTCGAGCAGCAAAAACGTCAGCAAGAGCTGCTACGCGAGCAGATCCAGCAGCAAGCTGCTCAGACCGAGTCCATTTTAAAACCATTAGCTTCAGCTATTAGTAACAAGTGAATCTAAAATGCATGTATATTGTGATGTTAAACGGAGAAGTAGCTTTCTAGCGACGGAGGCTCCACGCCAAAATATCTGCTGTTATTGTTCCTTCCACGAAGAATAGTGATACAATTGGTCAGAACCACTGCCGTTTTGTACAGCTTTGCTACAGGAACTTCTCCCAAACACATTTTTCTCTTGTAGTCGACACCAGCCCAGTAGTTGACAACCTGACCGTACGGCCATTCCACGGACGTCCTGACCTTCGACATGGAGGCGTTTATTGCAGCTTGAGCGGGTGTTAAACTTGATCCTTTAAAAGGAGATACAAACACATCGGTACGGTCGTACGCTTGGTCCCCGTAGACAAAGTAGCCTTGAAATCTCCCGTCGCGTCCTCCAGTCCGGACTCTCGCAGCAGTAGGATGTCGTGTCTTCGGCCTTCAGCCGGCCCGTGTAGGTGGAAGATCATGCCGTCTGGAGTAACGACGGTCTGGAACTTGAGCGCATGCTTGCGTTTGTGACCACTGTACACACTTTGCTGCTCCCGAGCCCCTCCTGGCCTGCAAATGCCCCTAACGGTTCCGTCCACGAACCCCCAAATACGGTCCAACTCAGCGCCTTGGTCGTAGATAGCTTGGCTAAACTCATGCAATCTAGAGCTCACATAATCTAAATTCCCCTTGAGCAACCTGCTGCATCTCTCGCTAATAAAATCGATCACAAAGTAGAAAATACTACTTAGAGCGCTGGGCCACCGGCCGTAAATACCTGACATCTCCATCCATCGCGTTGGGTAGCAAAGTCTGTGTAGGGTGATGCAGAGTCCTTCGAGACCGCTACAACACGTACGAGAGCTCGCGCCCGTGCGAATGACGTCCGGCAGCTGAAATGAAGCTTGTAAACGGCGTAGATGGCGTTGGGTGAAGCGGTAGAACAGCAGGCAGGTGTCGTCCGTGACGTTGTTGATGTCGAATCGGACACGGGGTATAGAGTATCGTGGCGAAGCCTCCGATAGCAATAGCAACGCGCTGTGGCGCAGCCTGGATGCCGCCTCCCAGTCTCCATGTATTCTCTTCACGCGTGATGTGTCCAGCATCTCCTTCGCCGCCTGGCGGTAAGCGAGTACATCATCGTCGCTGTCGCTGTCGCTGTTGGAGTCCATCGTTATGGCTAGACTATAGATTTCACACTGGCTCCGCCTCTGATTCCGTTTCGTCACAACAAGCTCTTACGAAAGTTGTCGTCCTCAGACAACGAGACGCAATCGAGAGGACGAAAAAATATCAGATTTTCTCAGATTTTTATCAGATTTTCGTTTCGTTCTGAACTGCTTAAGCGCTCTAATCTCGACACTCGGCGCAATCATAACGCAAAGCTTCTTCTTGCTAGGATTTGCGAGTTTAGCCGAGATCGGCCCTCAACTCTATACAGTAGCATTTTCGGTTCTTTGTTCCAAAACTTCAACACTGGAATGCTACGTGAACTGCCCATTGCCAAACCCACAGCGAAAGTGCTGAGCGCTGTCTTAATGTCTTAACTCTTTGATAGCCCTCTCCTTGGTTCCAGCTGCTACGCATCGGGTGCGAGAGCTGAGCTGCAGGATTCGACACAAGAGCTGAGGGTGAGCCCAAAGCCGCTCCTGCGTTGAATTTGTCGGTAGCGCAACAACTTGTAAACAAAAAATTCCCCGTCGATGGGATCGCTGTTTGGATCTGTCCGCTTGAGGTACCTTGTGAGTCGTCCACCACAGCAGCAGACAAACCTCTCGCTGCACAACTTCGAAGTTGTGCAGCGAGAGGTCACGACACCACAAGCTAGTTACCCGAGTTTGATTCATCAGATGAAGTTGACACGATGGATGCACGTCGCTGTGACCATCTCCATGGCCATTGCCTCGGCGGCCGCGTTCGACCTCTCCCTGCTCGACGACGATGATATCCTCCGCGAAGGTACCGTGTACGCTCCGAAACAAGAGGAAGGACGAGCGTTTGGTGCTTCACTCTCGCACTCTTCGTCGGGCTCTGCTGGGAGTTTTTCAGCTTCTACCAGCTTCTCGACTTCAGGGTCTGGCTCAAGCTTCTCGGCCTCAGGTTCTGGCTCAAGCTTCTCGGCCTCAGGTTCTGGCTCAAGCACATCGATCTCAGGCTCCGGTGCTAGCTTCTCTGCTTCGGGCTCGGATGCTAGTTTGTCCACGTCTGGATCGGACGCTAGCTCCTCCACTTCATCCGACTCCAGTCTGTCGGCATCCGGCTCTGACGCTGCTAGTTTGTCCGCTTCTGGGTCTGGACCCGGTTCGGCCGCGCCTCCTACGACGTCTTCTACTGGGTCAGCAGACACGACCCCAACGTCCGGCAAAGGAGGCCTACTCGCACCGTTCTCGACCGAGGAGCCACCCGAGACTCTGTTTCCCCGTAATGTCCTAGGAGAAATGGCGCCTATTATCAACGTCGCCAAAGGTCTGCTCGGAAAGCCCCTCCCGACGAACAAGTGGTGGGGGAACCTCATCCACACCACGGTCGAGGGGCTCAACACGAAGGCCAACCCCGGTTGGTCCAACCCGTACGCGGTCAAGCTGCCGAAAGAGGCTCCGTACGGCATCCAGGCGTGCTACTCGTACAACTACCGCCAGTTGTCCGCCTTGACCGACGGCGTGGCTGAGTTTTACTTGCACGACTTCGTCAACGACATCACGCTCTCGGCCACGGAGTTCGCCGGAGAGGCCAACCCCATCTACGAGGTCTACTCGTTCAGCGACTTCGGAATCGAGGTGCGCGCGTGCCTCGAGAACGAGCAGCAGTGCATCGATTCCGCTCTAGTGCATGGCATGGCCTTCATCACCGCGACGTACGACAGTCTCACGGCCAGTATTGAATCCGAGTACACCATGAAGATCGTGGACAAGTCCGTCCCGGGCAAGTACATCATCGATCTTGGTGGCAACCAGACGTGGGTCGTCTATACGGCAGCTTCGCCATCGACGAGTCGAGGAAGGCTCTGGTCTCCAGCAAACCCTTCACTGGCACTGTTCGTGTGGCGATTCTGCCGTCGAGTGAAGCCACCGACGTGTACGACAAGTACCGAACGTGCCACGTTCGCGGCGGCAATGTCTCCGTGGCGTCTCGAACCGAGTACTCGCTGCAGTGGGAGACGGTCGGCAAGAGCTGTAAGACGCACGGCCTGCTGCACTTCGCGCTGCCTCACCACTTGCCTGCTCTGAAGGGCGCCATCACGGAGAAGGACCCGAAAGCTATCGTCCTCAATTCCGCTACACGAGGTAAGATGGTTGCTCAGGTGACAACCACCGGGGAGTGGACGCTGAAGACGACCTGGAGGTGGACTTTTACCCCACGGCCAAGCCGTCCGCGAAGAAGGTCTCGAAGTTGGGTCTACTAAAGACTCTGGAGGCCGATATCGCGGATGAGTGGTCCTTGAACAAAACAAGCTGGTACTTCAACGGCAAGCAGTACCAGAAGTACGCGTCGCTGTGTCTCCTGGCCGGCGACGAAGCGGTCGTGGGCAAGGACAAGAAGCTGCTCCAGACTTGTCTGTCGAAGCTGCAGACGCTGTTGGAGCCGTTCCTGGACAACACGCTCGCCCCACCGCTCAACTACGATACCTCCTACAGCGGCCTCGTCAGCAGCCTGGGCTTCACGCTCAATAACGTCGACGCGGACTTCGGCAACACTGTGTACAACGACCACCACTACCACTACGGCTACTGGGTCACGGCCTCGGCCATGCTCAAGAGTCTCGACCCCAAGTGGAAGCGCATGAAGGAGCTGGATGCCATGATCTGGATGATGCTGCGCGACGTCGCCAACCCGAGCGCAGAGGACGCCTTCTTTCCAAAGTTCCGGTACTTCTCCTTCTACTTCGGCCACTCGTACTCACACGGCGTCACCCCCATGGCCGACGGCAAGGACGAGGAGAGCACGTCCGAAGACGTCAACTTCTACTACGGCATGAAGCTCTGGGGCCAGGTGTCCAAGAACAAGGCCGTCGAGGACCTGGGCAGCCTCATGCTGCGGCTCAACGCGCGCGCCATCCGCACCTACTTCCTCATGACGTCGGACAACACCATCCACCCCAAGGAGTTCGTGCCCAACCACGTGACGGGCATCTTCTTCGACAACAAGGCGGCGTACGCGACGTGGTTCAGCGCCGAGAGGTACGCGATCCACGGCATCCAGATGATCCCCGTGTCGCCCATCAACGCGCTCGTGAGTTCATCCAGCAGGAATGGGACGACATCCTGTCCAAGGAGGCCATCGTCACGCAGGCCAACACGACCAACGCCTGGCTGTCCCTGCTACTGGTGAACGAGGCCGCCGTCGACCAGGCGGACGCACTGCCCAAGCTGAAACAGGCCACCATGGACGACGGCCTCACCCGGTCGTGGGCGCTCTACAACGCCGCGGCCCGAAGTCACAGCGCCAAAAAGCCGACACCCGCGTAGATGTAGAGCTGTAGCTGATTATATTATGTTGCCTATTTGTTCGTCACCATTACCATTAATAGCACTTCTGTAATTGATGCACTGCAACAACAACCATTGCGTCCTCAATCGCGATAGCATAGCATCGCCCCTCGCAATAGCTCGAATCAATTGCAGCCCCCTAGTAGTATTCTATCTCTGGTATTATTATATTAATATTAATACCTACCTTCCGCCTTCCTTTTGTATCGTCTCAGCATCTTCACGTAAAATATGGTATTCATTTTTCTGGGGAAAAATGAATAGAATATATTAGTATCATCTGCACATGCCACTAAAGTAGAGGGTCTCGCTTTAGTGCAAATTCTCCGTGTCGAAGCGTCGCAAACCTTGAAGTGCAAACTTTTAGCCGCTGCTGCATCCCGTTGAGGTTGAGCGCCATGACGCTGTCGATCCAGGAGGCCTACTCCACGCTGGGGGTGACCCGCGACGCGTCGGCCGAGGAGGTCAAGAAGGCGTACCGCAAGATGGCGCTGCAGTTCCACCCGGACAAGAACTCGGACCCGGCGGCCACCGCCCAGTTCCAGCAGCTCTCGGCCGCCTACAAGCGCGTGGACGACCACCTGAAGCGCGGCGGGTCACGGGCCCACGACGGGTTCGAGGGCCTGTTCGGCAGCGAAGACGAGGACGAGGACGAGGACGATGAGGCGTTCGACTTGGGCGGGATGCCGACCATGGAGGAGATGCTCTTCATGTTCGACGTGCTCTTCGGAGCGCCCCCGCCGCCGCCGGCCAATCGCCGCGAGCGACGCAGGATGGCCAAGAAAGGGGGAGGCGTGCGCGTCAACATTGGACGCAGAGGCGGCCGCGGCCAGGGCTTCCCGTCCTACATGGAGCAGGAGCTCATGGACATGTTCGCCCGCGGCATGATGTTCGACGACGACCTGTAAGGAGAGGAGGGGCTTTGAGTTACGTTCTTTGGGTTGCTTGTTGGGGCTCAATGCGGTTCTTCTCTGTTGCAGGTCGGAGGACGAGTTCGAAGCCTTCTTCGGACGCTCGGGGATGGGCTTCGGCGTGCGGAGCCCGAGGGAGGACAAGAAGCCGAAGAAGAAGAAGAAGGCTGCCCAACCTGACGAGGAGATGAAGCCCAGCTCGGCGAAAGCGAGCCCCACGACGAAGAAGAACCGCGCCAAGAAGAGCCCGAAGCCCGCTCCGACGATCGGGAGCAAGGTCTGCATTAACGGCAAGCACGCGGGGGTACGTACACAGTTTTTTTTTTCATGGATCAAACAACACTAAATGTTTTTTATTTATTTATTTATTTATTTGCGTGCACTGGTTGCAGGTGGTCAAGTTCAAGGGCCATGTTCACTACGCAAAGGGCGAGTTTGTGGGCGTGGAGCTGAGCTCTCCGATCGGGAAGAACGACGGCTCTATCAAGGGGGTGCGCTACTTCGAGTGCTCGCCCAGCCACGGCCTCATGGTGCGTCCCAACGACGTCACCCTAGCTGCGTGAAGTGCGTCAAGTCAAGTCGTGTGGTGGTAAGGAGCCGATTTTTATTTTTTTCATTGCTACGCATGGATTATAAGTGTGAGCAAGAGAACAGCGAGAAAAAAAAGCAACACGATACGGTCTTCTTCGGCTCTGGGGGTCTTGGCATGCGACATCAACGGCGTGCTTGCTTATCGCTTGAGGTGGCTCACGTATTTGAACGTCAGATAGATGGCGAGCTGCACCACGAACCAAATGACGATGAGGCCCGCCATGAAGTTGTACTTGCGCTCCGGCCGGAAGTCATACGTCTTCGCGATGTAGTCGGCCACCGTCATGTCCGTGGTTGTGTTGCCCGAAGTCACTGCGATGATGTCCTGGCTGTCGCCGAACTGCACGCCAACCAGAGCAGCCAGCGAGTAGCTCGACGGGATCAGATATGTGAACCACTTGTAGCCCACCTTCATGGCTGTGCGAGGCAGCAGGTAGCCCGAGAACAAGTTGAACAGACACGACAACGCACCCACAGCCACGTTCGCCACCTTCTCGTTCGGCATCAGAGCAGACATCCACTGACCGATGTACGTGCACGCCGACGTGTACAGGTAGAAGACGAACAGGAAGAAGAAGAAGTCGCCGCCGTTGTCGCTCCAGCCCACCAGCCAGTACTCGATTGTCACGAACAGGATGATCACCACAATCAGGTACGGGATCTCGGCGAACCACAGCGACAGACTGTACGGCAGCGGGCTGTAGTAGTTCGACATGCGCTCGCGGTAGTACACGGCACGCTCGGCACAGGTCACCTCGATCACCGTCATGAGGTTCGTCACGCCGATGAAGTCCATGCTGTTGTAGATGAGACCGATGTGCGAGTTGATGCGCTTCACGCTGTCGGCCGACAACTGGTAGAACGTCGTGCCGAAGATAATGGCGAAGATCGGGAACAGGAACACTCGCATGAAGTTGTACTGCGGGTTGCGCCAGTACGTGAGTCGCTGCTTCTTGGTGAGCTCGGCCAACTGGTTCCAGAAGCCCGTAGCAATCGGCCGGTAGTTGAGCGTCGAGTGCCGAACGAATTCGTCAGACACCTCGCAGAACTCAAGAGTTCGTTCGCGGTTCGACTTGTACAACTCGCTGTTCTTGTACTCCACTGAGTAGTCCTTGACGTCGCGGCCAATGCCAGCGCCGATCACCTCGAGCATGTACGTGGCCGGGTTGTATTGCGGACGAATCTCTTCCGTGCCAGGAATTGACGCGAAGTACTCGAGCATCTTGACTGAGTCCACGCCGAGGTCGCCGAAGTAGGCCGTGTATCCACCCTTCTGCAGCAGAAGCAGGCCGTCAAACAGCTCGAAGATCGAAATGCTCGGCTGGTGGATCGTACACAGCACCGTCCGTCCCGTGCGAGCAATCGACTGCACTCCGCGCATCACAATCAGAGCCGAACGCGCGTCCAGGCCACTCGTGGGCTCATCCAGGAACAGGATGCTAGGGTTTGCAACCACCTCGACACCGATCGTCACGCGCTTCTTCTGCTCCACCGACAGGCTGCCCACCATTTCACTAGCGATCGACTTCAGTTCGAGTAAATCAAGCGTTTCGTGTACCAGGTTCATGCGCTCTTCCTCGGTGAAGTTGGGCGGGAGTCGCAGCTTCGCTGAAAACACCAGCGCCTCGTAGATCGTAGCAGCCTCCGAGTGGATGTCCATCTGCTCGCAGTAGGCCGTGATGCGGCTGAAGTTGGCCGGGTCCTTGAGCTCACCGTTCACATAGATGTCGCCCACGATGCGTCCCCCAGTCTTACGGCCAGCGATGACGTCCATCAGCGTCGTCTTACCGGCACCCGTTGCGCCCATGAGTGCCACCATGCGACCAGGCTCGAAGTGTGCCGTGATCTTCTGGAGCAGTTGCCGCTCTTCACCCGAGGGCAGGGTCACGTAGTAGTCCAAGTCCTTGATGCACAGGTTTGACGGCGTGAACGGAAGACCGCCACCCTTGACCTTCGTCTGTCCGACTTCCTGCAGCGCAGTGGTCGGGGTGCTCACCTCGACGTACACACTGTGGGCCTCCTTCTCATGCTTCATGGCCTTCGCACTCACGCCCTTGAACTTTTCGTACCGGATGAAGTGCAGCGCCAGCGCATTGAAGCTCGTGAACGCGAAGTAGTACACAATGAGCACCGCAACTCCAAACCAAATGTAGCCCGTGCCTTGCTTGATGGAGAAACTCTCGAGTTGGGCCTTGCTCACTGCAGGTGAATACCGATCGCTGGAGAACTCCGACAACATGTTGGCTCGCAGCGCCCACGAGATCGGAGAGAACCAGTACATCCAGATCCAGTAGTCCGGGATCAGGTCGGCCAGGATAATGTTGCCCGAGAAGAGCAAGAAGAAGCTCACGGAGATGGCGGCCAGCGCCTGGCCAATCGTGATACTCGGTGCCAAGGAGCTGAGCATTGTCATATACGCGCTGATGGCGTGCTGGAAGCACAGCAGCACCAAATAGAACACGATGTACTTCTCGAACGTGCGCGTGAGGCCGCTCATGAAGTAGAAGAACGTGCCCAGCACGAAGGACACCGCCATATTCACCGGGATCTGCACGACGCTTTCAGCAATAGCATAGGATGACGTGCGGAAGAAGTTGCGCGGCCGCTGCTTGTAGAAGACCTTGCGCAGCTGGAACGAGATGGTGATCTGCTGCCACGCCTGACGCTGGAACAACGCGATGCTGAAGAAGATCATGCGCAGGTAGTACGTCGAGTTGACGTCGAAGTACAGCATGCCCATGACAAGTCCAATGATCAGTGCTTCAATAAGCTTACCCCATAGAAGCGGCGGGTCACGCAGCCACACCAGCTTCTGGCGGTTCAGCAGCAGCAAAGTACTGGGGATGAACGCCAATCCGAACTCGGACTGCTGCTTCGAGCGGGCCAAATTGGCCACGCTCTTGGCCTTCTTGAAGTCCTCGGGGCTCTCGAACTGGTGCTCGTTGAAGCCCTTGCCAATAGCCTCGTCGGTCTTCTTGTAGATGCTCGATTGGCAGAACAGGTTGTTGAAGTCTTCCGACGACACGGGCAAATCCTTCACCGGAACAGAGCCATTAGCGTAGCGGTGGCCACGGCCCGACGTCACTTCAATCAGGAAATCGGCCGGGTCCACACGAGGGGGGCACGTGAAGCCACGCTCCTCAAAGTAGTCGAGGATCTCCGTCCTTGGTCCATGGTACATCATGTGGCCCTCGTTGATCATGAGAATGTCATCAAACATCTCCACGACTTCGGGCGTGGGCTGCAACAGGGCAATCACGGCCGACCCTCCCAGCGTCTTGCACCACGTACGCAGCGACTTGATGATGTCGAAGGTTGCGGCACTATCTAGACCCGTAGAGATCTCGTCACACAGGAAAAGACTTTGACCGCCGACCAGCACTTCACCGATGGTCACGCGCTTGCGTTCGCCACCGCTCACTCCACGCAGCAGCGCATCGCCGACGACAGTGTCGGCACACTCCTCCATGCCCAAGATCTGGATGAACAGCTCGGTCCTCAGGGCCGCGATGTCCCTCATCTCCTCCGGTTGGTCCTCGGGGCGGCCGTTGACGCACATGTCGGCGAATTTGAACGTCTCCCTCACCGTCAGCGTCGGGATGTGGTTGTCCGTCTGGTCCACCAGGCCGGCCAGCTTGATGAGGTCGATCTCGTCCCCTCTCAGGCCGGAGTACAGGATCTCGCCACCCAGCTTCGTCTTGGCCGAGCTCTTGAGCTTGCCGGCCAGCGCCTTGAGGAACGTCGACTTGCCGGCGCCAGGGTTGGCCAGGATCAGCGTCATGGAGCCAGGCTTGATGATGCCGCTCATCGGGTGCAACGCGTGCTTGGTGACCATGGCCGGCCGCTTCCAGGGCGTGAAGATGCCGCGCAGGTGCGAGCCCACCGTGCCGTGGTCCTCCGCCGACGCGGGCACCTGCACCGAGAAGGACAGGTTCTCGAAGCGCACCTCGGGCGTGGGCAGCTGGATGTTGACCTTGCGGGACAGGTGGTCGTACTTCTTGTAGAAGCGCTCGAGGCCGCCGTTGAGCATCGTCTCGAGGTTGTCGGCGCGTAACGTACTGTAGCGACTGGCCATGGTGTCCCCGGCGCCGTGCGAGTACGGGTCCTGCAGGCTGCGGAAGTTGAGCGAGCGGTAGACCTCAGGCACGTCTGGACCACCGTCGGCGCTGGCCTCGGGCTGCAGCAGCTTCAACTTGTCCTTCTCGTCCTTGGCCATCGCTTGGAGCTTCGAGTTTGAGTGGGAACGGCTTGAGCTGCAGACGGCGAGTTGGAAAGTGAGCGCTCGGTTGGAGTTGCGCGCAACGCCAACAACGCGCCCTCTGTTGCTTGACTTGAACGGGTTCTGGGCAATGTCGACGTTTGTGTAGGGAGGATGTCCTCATTGAAGTGGGATAATGGATGCAGAAAAAAGGCATATCGGAATCGCATAGTTGATATGGGTATCTTACAAAGTGTCATCCCTACAAAATGCAATCTAACTGAAAGTACTGTGCCTCGCAGAAATTCGCATTGCCATTTCAAGACACCTTGGGCAATTCTTTTGAAATTGAAAGGTAGTTTAGCCAATCAAAACGCGTATAACTGCTGAATGTTAGCAAGAAGAAAGCATTTTTGAAGAAAATGAGAGCCTCTTTACTGCCAAATGAGAAAGACCGAAAGTAATCTTAGGTACGGTAATGTAAAATACTGCCGTAATGATAAAATACTACCAAAACAGACTAAGGTATTACTCATTATATGTTATATTGTCATTACTAAAAAAATACATACCGTACCAACAAATTGCAGCCACTTTATAGTGTTAGGTATTGTGCCTTTCTGTCGTTTTGCCACCCTTCAGAGATAGCTCCGGAGGGGTTCCGAGCATAGATTGGTCTTCCTAATCTGAAAGATGGACCAGTAAAAATTGGCTTAATTAAAGGCTGTCCTGATTGGATAAAACATGTGACTGGACAGCCGACAAACACACGTGGCCCACACTCCAACTCTCGCCGGCTCAAGTGCAAGCGTAACCGCTCTGTGCTCCTTAGAAACTCCTGCTTGCCTCACCGTAATAGCTTCGCTCTGCATTGGAGTCGCGTCACGAGGCTAGCATCCTGACTCAGCAGTAGAGATCTAGAATCGGAAAGGGGCCTCCTATGTCTGAGCAAAGCAAGCGCACAATCGAGAAGCACACACACACCATCAAGCCAAAGGCGCATACACTGACTCCCAATGGTCGCTGCTCCGCATTACCAGCTGTGCTTACCCTTGTCGCCTCTGTGGACACGTGTACGCAAGTCCCATGCGCACCGACATGCCTTTTAATCGCGCTCACCCTCACCCTCACTGCATCTGCGGATAGGCACACACAGCCCACAACCACGCGCACATTGCCTCTCAGCGCAGACCGCTTCTCGTCACCAGCTGCGCTCGTCCTCGCCTCCTTTGTATCTGAGCACACACAGGCCACAATCACACGAATACACTATCGAGCATATCACCCCTCAACCGCAAGCTGATTTGCATTTGTAGTTACCCGCTGCTGAGTCACTTGCCGCTTGTATACGGCTGTTGCTCAGCTCGAACCAGACGCCACACGCGCGCACGTAGTAATACCCACGGGAGGAACCGAACCTCCGCCCCCCGCAAGCGGGACTCTGCCGTTGAGCTACGTTGGTGCTGGAGTGTACGCTCGCGATTCGGTCTGGTACCCGAATGTCGAATCGATGGAGCAATAAGAGGAAAACCACACACATTCGAACGAGCGTGTGTACTAGATTAGCTTGTTATCGCTAAGTCATTTGGTTTGTATCCGCAATGACTATATAAGTTTTGCCCCACTTCTTCTTTCTGTCTAGTACACTTGTACATCGCTACATTCAGCACGGCAAGTGGGTCTTCGCGAAATGCCATGTTGGTGTGCCGCTGAATCCAGCGCTTTAGGAGGGAAAACCCCACTTCAATCGGGTTCAGGTCAGGCGAATACGGGGGCAAAAAGAATAATAAAGCCCCTGTTGCGTGGATAAGCTCTTGTAGTTCCTTGTACATGTGGATCTTGGCATTGTCCATGATCACAATTGAGCGCGGCAAAGGCCATGGGTCGAGGAATGGGATGATTTTTTCCTTAAACACGTTATGGAAATCAACACGCGTGAACGTACCCTCCACATTGCCCCACCCAAAGAAGCCCTGCACGTCCATTGCGGCCAAAATGGACACTCGTTTTCCCCTACTGAACGATAGGGTCACTTGGGCAGGGGTATTCCGGGTTGATCAGCCATACCGACGAAGAAGAGATCTAGCGAGCATTAAGATAGGCATCAATTTGGTTAGGTCAGTAATTCCCAGTAATAAAACTTCAAGTATGAAATATACCTTCCATCCTTGGACGTTTCGTCAATGAAGACGAGCTGGTCGGGGCCACTATAGAAGGGCAGAAGCCGAGCGACATACTCACGGCGCTCACTAGGCACACATTCTCGTGCCCGCTTTGTGAGCACCTTCCTGGTTAGGTTGAGGTCGAAGCGAAGTGCTCGACAGATAGTTGAGTCCGACAGGCTGATCGTGTCTCGGAAGTTAGCTCGCAGCTCGAGGCGCAGCTCCTCGAAGTAGAAGCAAGGGTGGTTTTGTACATACGATCGTACAAATGCACACACCTCACTTGGCCATCTTGACGTCTTGGCCCTTGGTTCATTCTTCAGTACGTTTCCTGTCGTACGAAAGCGACGGTACCAGCGGCCTAAACTACGCACCGATAGACCTAGAACACTAGCTACTGTCGCTGTGTCTATGGAATATACGTACATGAGCACGATCCCTCTCCAACGCATGTCAATTGAGTAGGTTATCTTTAACTCTTCTGTAGCGACGAAAACCTAAAATGGCCGGGCGAGTGTCGGCCATTCAAGCTTTCCCCGAGCTTGTGACTAGCTCCGTAGGTCTTCACAAGAGTGTAGCATGAAGCTATATAATTGGAGGAAATTTGAGAATTCCGCTACTGTGACTGGGTAAAATTTGGTGTTATTTTAAGTACGAGGGTAATTCGTGGTGCCAATCACCGTCAAAACAGACGTAATAACCTAGCCCTCTCTCTAAGCGTGCACTTTCCGAAGTCCGATTTGCCAAAAGAAGTGAAAGGCACAATATATGTTCTTCGCGTAGGAATATTTTTAATGTTGTAGACCAAATTTAATAGAAAAATAGTACACATATCACATTTGTTTCGTAAAGAACTATACATATTTGATGTTTGGCATGAAATATGCATTAAGCGGTCCTGTCTACATGCTATGCCTTTATATAGAAGATTGCATTAATACAATACATGTAGTATTAATACAATGTAGCTGTATTTTGATTATTGACAGATATAAATGAAAACCAATTAATTACGACCGTCCACGCATTTATCTCCCGTTTATATTGCTTCGCAATGATTTTGCCGACCATTTTAGACGTAAATATGGCAAAACCTGCTCCTAAATATGTGTGAAAAATATATACGACCTGCTAAAATTATGCATACATCCACCCTCTTATGCATAATTGCCGTGTGTCTAGGTGCTTGTGGGTAAAAGCCGACCGAATTGCAGCTGCACAGCCACAATAGCAATTTCAAAAGTGCAATTGTGGCACTTTTAGCGTAATTCGAGGTCTCCACCCATTTATGCACCTCGATTTATCGTAAATCTAGCAGGTGGTCGCTATAAATACAGCATATCTCGCCTCATATTGCTAAAATCATTGCAAGCACAATAATTACGACTGTAATTTACGGTCCTTCTAAGTTTATATGAATAATTTTAAAGGCCTTCGTATATAAGTTTTGACGACCTTTCAACTTCAAGGTGTGTCCGACGACTAGGAAGCAAGCAGCGCGGCATTCTTGGTTTCGCTCAAATCGATCCATGTGGCTGGAGGAGCTACCCGCGGAGGTGCTAGAGGCTGTCGGCGGCTTCCTGGCAGGCTTTGACGCCTTCCAGCTATCGCACACCAGTAGCTGGTGGTTCCGCTTGCTGTCGGACGGCCTGCTCTGGCACGAGCGTCTGGTACATGGCGCTGTCCCGGAGAACCAGCAGCACTTGTTGCACACATGGAAGCGGCGCTACATGCAGGCGAGATCCATGATGTTCCACGGCCTGGACACCAACGACAACGACGAGCTTGTGCGCGCTTCCTACGCCTGCGTCGAGTACCCGCCGCCGACGGACTGGGGACAGTTCCGTCGGATGTACTTCGCGCTGAAGACCATGCATGAGGAGAGCTTCAGCTTCGACCTGTGGTTCTCTCTGCTGCCCAAGGACGAGACCAAGTACACGGGCGGGGTCATCTTCGGGCTGCAGTCCGAGGAGCGGGACAGCCGGAACTGGCCGCAGTACCATCAGCAGTTCGTCATGGTGGACTCGAACAGCAACCTCTACTGTTCGGTGCTGGATGTCAGGACGCCGGTGGCAAAGAATCTGAAGTGCGATCGATGGTACCATATCGTTCTGACCTACGATCTCGACCACCAGCGACAGAACGTCTACTTGGACGGAGAAAAGGTCTGGTCGATGACGGGGGCTTTGCATCGCGAGTGGCAGCACTTGCTGCACGAACAGGTCGGCTCGGGCTACGTCACGGCCGGCGGGGGCGACTTCCCGCACGGAGACTTTGTCGGCTGGTACGGCTTCCACGGGTTGCTGGACGAGTTTCGGTTCTACGGCGGCGTGCTGCCTCTGGACGAGGTTCGGCACCTGGCTCAAGGTGGGGAGCTGTCTCCCAAGCGGCTCAGCGGGACGCTCAAGTACCCGGGCATTCGAGGCCCGCAGTCGCGTATCAACGTGGAACTCGTGGCGTGCACGCGGCCGGCCGAGGGTAGACCCGTGGAGATCGTCGCGATCGAGCAGAGGCCGTCGTTCCCGCCGAAACCGTGCCGCCCTCGGGCCGTGTTCGCCTGAGTGCTCAGCCGAGGTCAACAAGTCCATGCACTGGTTCATAGTATTCCTGGTAGCAAATAATTACATGTAGCAAAGAATTCCTGGTTCATAGTTTTCATAGTTTTCATTGTAGCTACAAGTATAAAATGTTAGGTTCGCGGCGATGTTGGCGACGCCAGCGATGTTCCGGCCTTGCCCATCTTCCGGGGTGAGTGCACCATGTCCGCAAGATAAGACGGTGCCTTGAAAGCCTAGAGAACATGTAGAGGGCTCGCTCGCCGCGTGTTATGCAGCAAGGACCTCCACGCGCGCTTGAGGCAGTCTCTGGTTGGCTTTGAGCGCCGATCCGGCCTGAGACTGCGATCCCGGGAGGTTTGACGAATGTACTTCGTGCCAACTCGGAGGGGCACAGCCCAAAACGATATCTTTGCGTTGTTTTGGGTTACATGCGCGAGAGACAGGGGTCCTCCTTCAAGAGAAAGGGGTCCGAATGCGATGTCATACCGGAAACAAGTGAAAGTGATGCTTCATTCATACTTGGTTTCACTATCAAAGTTACCGTTGGGCTACCTCCTCCAGGAATTTTGGGCTCCTCACGTCAAGGCAGTTCCACTCGCTGTCGCGCTGCGCATTGAATGCTTGCTCGAACAGCTGTCGATGGTACCTGCTTCAACGAGCGCGTGGCAAGCATAAGCGCGCTTAAAGTCGCTCAGTTGAGCGTGAGGAGACGTGGGTTACTGTAGCCTATAGAGGCTAGCGGTGTCAGGCACCTCCATCTCGGTCAGACAAGGAGGCTTCTCGTTGTCGAAGCAACCGTTCGGCTCCGCTTTAGCAGTTGACTGCTGTAAGCATTGTGTCAGCACAACGTAGTGAAGAACGATGCAGCTGCCGTTAGCGGAGACCGAGACGTACAGACTAAAGCGTGAGAACGAGACGGGTAACAACTAATACCCGTTTTTACCGATGAGATCAGGTATTAGAGTCAATGTAAAATACATAAAGTGGTGTCTGCCACATATGATTCCCTTTTAAATCCGGATATATCAGGCGTCTCGTTCTCACGCTCAAGTCTGTAATGTAATTGGCTTTACAGTTACTAACTATGGAGGACCAATGCCGCGGATTGGCTGACTTTCAAAGTTTATGATGTTCCGGCCTTACCCATCTCCTTTCGCGGTAAGTGCAACTTGACTGCGTTGAAGCCCGCTGGGCCCCGCCTCTGCTGAAGGCGTGCCTCGGGCGTGTGGGTGCCAGCGTGAAGAGCACGCGGCTGCGAGTCGCTAAAGGACACTGCTCAAGAGAACCGATCATTCTCTTGAGCAGAGTGTTGGTGTCGTGGACACCCTAGACAGCGGCGACCTCACGCGCGACCTCACCTCGCCTGGTCGCGACGCGATGACCAACTTGATCTCCTGAGATTGAGAGTGAGACTGCCGCGCCGACAGCGGCGGACGGCAAGAGCCGAGTGGCGCACAGACAAAGTGGTCAGGACACTACACACACTATGCGAGACTCTCGGCAAGAGTTTGAATAGTTTTTCTTGCACACGAAGTTTTGCGATGCTCGTGAACCAATAAACCTTGGCGAGGCACACGCATCCCAAAACGATATCCTTTCGTTTGTTTTGGGCTCGAATGCAAGCGACAGGGGTCCTCCGACGAGAGAAAGGGGTCCGAATGGAGTGCTCTTTGGGCTACAAAAGTACTGTGGGGCCTCTGCTCTCGCTTTGCTGCTAGAGTTAAAACAAGAGTCTACCGTCTCCTACTTATTAAATAGACGCGGGTTTCCTTTGCGCAGAGGCTGATGTCCTGCACTGCCGCAAACGTAGATACAGTACCGGTATAGGCGCCGACCAGGTTCATGCCCAGTACAGCAACGCTGCAGTGAATGCACTCGCGCCAATGCCGAACTGAGCAGGCAGCGAAGCGCGCTTAAATAAATAGTAACGATGCCAGCCTGCATCTGGCGAATGGTTTGCGCGGCTGATCCTTCCTTCAACTCCCTGCTACCTAGACGCTTTTCCACGAAGCCTTCGTGTGCCGATGTTTAACATCATGACCGTATCTTCCATCGCTGCTGCTTAAAGTGTTTTTTTAACTTCGAGTGCTGTATTCGATATGGTCGCGATAACCTTGCAACGAACATGGAACACCTCCGGCTCCTCCGCAGCTTCATGTGGCAAAATGAACAGGCCCCCATAGAGGCTGTGAAGTCGGTGGCCTACTTTACCTGCAGATTTGTGAGCCGAATGATGAGTGAAGGAGCTTGCGGCCAGGAGGTAGACATTCACGAAAAGTCGGCGGCAACCCCACGACACACCATGTAGAGTCCTCACAGGCTTTGAAGATCTTCACGCGCGGTCGCCATTGAGTTGAGATCGCATTGGCGCGATTCGAAAGAGCCGAGGGGGGGGGGGCAGTCAACAGAGCCATGGACTGCATGCACCGTTCGAGTGCAATGCACCCAGTGCATACGGAATGCATGCATGCCTTCTTTGAGGTGCAGCCTCAAAGAAGGCAGGACCAACCCGATGCTGGCAGTGGTCGCTGACGACGCAGCCGACAGGCACAGCAAAACGATACGGTATTTTTTCCCGTTGTTTTGGGCTATGGCAGGGGTCCTCCTCCAAGAGATAGGGAAGAATGAAACAGCCGGTTTTAGCCGGTACAGACAACGACGGATAAATACGGCAACGCAAAACCCGGCACACATATGTTGTACTTTTTACAATAAGTAATTCAGATAGCCAATCATCTTCGAGATTTACACTTGACATTTGTAATTCATATGGTTTTAAGTACTTTCTCTAAATTTGTGTGTACTTTATGCTCCGTTACGTGTACTTTATGTCATTGCCTTGTACAATCTCTATCGTTCCCGACAGAGAATTCTGGTACATTTACTATGGAGGATGCCATTCAGTGGTGCCGGATTTATCCGTCGTTGTCTGTATACCGAATTGAGACTTAGCCATCGGCCTGACAGTGTAGAAGGCCTCTTGGCGTTTGTATGGCCCATACAAGCGCCAAGTGGCGGCCCGGCGGTCGTAAGCGCCTGACCACCGCGATTCAGCTTCGATTCAACTTCGGTTGGGCTCCGGAATTTTGGGCGACTTCAAAGTGGATCAGCTTTGCAGATTCATTCTTCATTCTTGCCTTGCTACCCATTAGATATGAGCTGCTACGAGAACGTTTGCAGCGCGATAGTCGATGCACTACTGTACACTAAGGTGTAGTCTCGACGAAAAGGAGGCATGCATGAAGGCTCTTCCTTCGTGGTTGTGGTCGGCGCGACACGCAGACCGCCTCGTAGCCTCACGTTTCCCCAATGCATCATGCGGTTAAATGCTCGCCTAACCTCGCGCATAGGGCGTGTGGGCCGTAGCAAGTTGAAGCAAGATAGGAAACAGGGCTGTATTATAATAGCAGGTACAGAAGGTGAAAAGACGTCATTCAAATGCAAGTACATGGGGATATCCACCATACAACTTCGGCGCTGCGCTCGCTTATCGCTTGAGGTGGCTCACGTATTTCAGCGTCAAGTAGATGGCGAGCTGCACCACGACCCAGATCACAATGAGGCCGACCATGAAGTTGTACTTGCGGTTAGGCCGGAAGTCGTACGTGATCTCGATGTAGTGCGCCACCGTCATGTCCGTGGTCGTGTTGCCCGACGTCACCGCGATGATGTCCTGGTTGTCACCGAACTGCACGCCAACCAGCGCCGCAAGAGAGTAGCTCGACGGCATCAGATACGTGAACCACTTGTAGCCGCGCCTCATCGCCGTGCGAGGCAGCAGGTAGCCCGAGAACAGGTTGAACAGGCACGACAGCGCACCCACAGCCACGTTCGCCACCTTCTCGTTCGGCATTAGCACCGACATCCACTGGCCCACATACGTACACGTCGACGTGTACAGGTAGAACACGAACAGGAAGAAGAAGAAGTCGCCAGCGTTATCGCTCCAGCCAACCAGCCAGTACTCGATCGTCACGAACAAGATGATCACCACAACCAGGTACGGGATCTCGGCGAACCACAGCGACAAGCTGTACGGTAGCGGTCCGTAGTAGTTCGACATGCGCTCGCGGTAGAACACGGCGCGCTCGGCGCATGTCACTTCGAGCACCGTCATTAAATTCACAACGCCGATGAAGTCCATGCTGTTGTAGATGAGACCGATGTGCGAGTTGATGCGCTTCACGCTGTCGGCCGACAACTGGTAGAACGTCGTGCCGAAGATGATGGCGAAGATCGGGAACAGGAACACTCGCATGAAGTTGTACTGCGGGTTGCGCCAGTACGTGAATCGCTGCTTCTTGGTGAGCTCGGCCAACTGGTTCCAGAAGCCCGTAGCAATCGGGCGGTAGTTCAGCGTTGAGTGGCGCACGAATTCGCTTGACACCTCGCAGAGCTCCAGCGTACGCTCGCGATTTTTGCGGTACAACTCGCTGTTCTTGTACTCCACCGAGTAGTCCTTCACGTCGCGGCCGATACCAGCGCCGATCACCTCGAGCATGTACGTGGCCGGGTTGTATTGCGGACGAATCTCCTCCGTACCAGGAATCGATGCGAAGTACTCCAGCATCTTGACCGAGTCCACACCGAGGTCGCCGAAGTAGGCCGTGTAGCCACCCTTTTGCAGCAGAAGCAGACCATCAAATAGCTCGAAGATGGAGATACTCGGCTGGTGGATTGTGCACAGCACCGTACGACCCGTGCGAGCAATCGACTGCACACCGCGCATCACGATCAAGGCCGAACGTGCATCCAGACCGCTCGTTGGTTCATCAAGGAACAAAATGCTCGGGTTCGACACCACTTCAACGCCGATCGTCACGCGCTTCTTCTGCTCCACCGACAAGCGGCCAACCATCTCGCCAGCAATCGGCGACAACTCCAGCAACTCCAACGTCTCGTTCACCAGGTTCATGCGCTCCTCAATGGTGAAGTTCGGGGGAAGACGAAGGTTCGCCGAGAACACAAGCGCCTCGTAGATCGTCGCAGCCTCCGAATGAATGTCCATCTGCTCGCAGTAGGCCGTGATGCGGCTGAAGTTGGCCGGGTCCTTGAGCTCGCCATTCACGTAGATGTCGCCCACGATGCGGCCACCCGTCTTACGGCCAGCGATCACGTCCATGAGCGTCGTCTTACCAGCACCGGTGGCACCCATGAGCGCCACCATGCGGCCCGGCTCGAAGTGTGCCGTGATCTTCTGAAGCAATTGCCGCTCTTCACCGGACGAAAGTGTCACGTAGTAATCCAAGTCCTTGATGCACAGGTTCGATGGAGTAAATGGTAGACCACCACCCTTCGCTCCTACCGAGGCTTGATCAGCTGCACCTGGAGTCTTCACTTGGACGTAGACGTTATCCTCCTCAGGAGCGTTGTCAGTCATGGCCTTGGGGGTGACGCCCTTGTACTTCTCGTAGCGGATGAAGTGCAGCGCCAGACCGTTCAGCGTCGTGAAGAAGAAGTAGTACGCCAGCAGAACAATGACACCGAACCAAATGTACTCCGTGCCCTGTGAGATCGAGAAGCTGTCGAGCAGCGTCCTGCTCTCAACGGGCGTGTAGCGGTCGCTCGAGAACTCCGACAGCATGTTGCTGCGCAGCGCCCACGAGATCGGAGAGAACCAGTACATCCAGATCCAGTAGTCCGGGATCAGGTCGGCCAGGATAATGTTACCCGAGAACAACAGGAAGAAGCTCACGGAGATCGAAGCCAGGGCCTGGCCAACCGTGATGCTCGGTGACAGCGCGCTCAGCATCGTCATGTACGCGCTGATGGCGTGCTGGAAGCACACAAGCACCAGGAAGAACACGATGTACTTCTCGAACGTGCGCGTCAGTCCACTCATGAAGTAGAAGAACGTGCCGAGGATGAACGAGACGATCAGGTTGACTGGAATCTGCACCACACTCTCGGCGATTGCGTACGAGTTCGTGCGGAAGAAGTTGCGCGCGCGCTGCTTGTAGAAGACCTTGCGCAGCTGGAACGAGATGGTGATCTGCTGCCAAGCCTGACGCTGGAACAGCGCGATACTGAAGAAGATCATGCGGAGGTAGTACGTCGAGCTCACGTTGAAGTAAATCATGCCGAGCACTAAGCCAACGATGATGGCCTCGATAACCTTACCCCACAGAAGCGGGGGGTCACGCAGCCAGATCAACTTCTGACGGTTCAACAGCAGCATGGTACTCGGGAGGAAGGCCAGGCCGAACTCGGATTTCTCCTTGGAGCGGGCCAGGTTGGCCACACTCTTGGCCTTCTTGAAGTCCTCGGGGCTCTCGAACTGGTGCTCGTTGAAGCCCTTGCTGATGGCCTCGTGCGTCTTGCGGTAGATGTGCGACTGGCAAAATAGATTGTTGAAGTCCTCGGACGTCACAGGCAGGTTCTTGTTGGGGACCGTTCCGTTCGAGTAGCGGTGGCCACGGCCCGACGTCACTTCAATGAGGAAGTCAGCCGGGTCCACACGAGGAGGACACGTGAAGCCGTGTTCTTCAAAGTAGTTCAAGATCTCCGTTCTCGGCCCGTGATAGACCATGTATCCCTCGTTGACCATCAGAATGTCGTCGAACATCTCCACCACCTCAGGCGTCGGCTGCAGCAGGGCGATCACCACCGATCCACCCAGCGTCTTGCACCACGTGCGCATGGACTTGACGATATCGAACGTAGCGGCACTGTCGAGACCCGTGGAGATCTCGTCACACAGGAACAGGCTCTGGCCACCCACGAGTACCTCGCCAATAGTCACGCGCTTGCGTTCTCCCCCACTCACTCCACGCAGCAGCGCGTCGCCCACCACCGTATCAGCACACTCCTCCAGGCCCAAGATCTGGGTGAACAGCTCGGTCCTCAGGGCCGCAATGTCCCTCATCTCCTCCGGTTGGTCCTCGGGTCGGCCGTTGACGCACATGTCGGCGAATTTGAACGTCTCCCTCACCGTCAGCGTCGGGATGTGGTTGTCCATCTGGTCAACCAGACCCACGAGCTTGATGAGGTCGATCTCGTCGCCACGCAGACCCGAGTACAGGATCTCGCCGCCGATCTCCGTCTGCTTGTTGTCCTGCAGCTTGCCGGCCAAAGCCTTCAGGAACGTCGACTTGCCAGCGCCCGGGTTAGCCAGGATCAGCGTCATGGAGCCAGGCTTGATGATGCCGCTCATCGGGTGCAGCGCGTGCTTGGTGGTCATGGGCACCTTCTGCCACGGCGTGAAGATGGAGGCCAGGTGCGAGCCCACAGTGCCGTAGGCGCCGGCCTCAGCAGGCACCTGCACCGAGAAGGACAGGTTCTCGAAGCGCACCTCGGGCGTCGGCAGCTGCAGGTTGATCTTGCGCGACAGGTGGTTGTACTTCTTGTAGAAGCGCTCGAGGCCGCCGTTGAGCATGGACTCGAGGTCGTCGGCGCGTAACGTGCTATAGCGACTGGCCATGGTGTCGCCGGCGCCGTGCGAGTACGGGTCCTGCAGGCTGCGGAAGTTGAGCGAGCGGTACACGTCGGGCACCTGCTCGCCGGCGTCGCCCGCCTCGGGCTGCAGCAGCTTCAACTTGGCCTCCTCGTTCGTCGTCGCCATCTTGGCTGTTGGATCGGCTTGCTGGGCGCGGCGCAAAAGCGAAAGTGAGAGTGGCCGAGCGCAGGCAGAGGCCGAGTCGAAGTCGAACACGGCAGCATGGATGGATGCCATGGGTAGCGTGGCGGCTCTATAGTCAACCCAAGAGTCGCTGGCCACGTTGAAGTGGAGCGATTGGTACATGTATCCCTCTAAAGTGCGAATGTGCAGTAAGAACGCGTAACCTTTTTAAAAGGGTCGATAACGATATAGTTTCACTATGCTAAAAGCTTCAAATTGACCTTTCATTTTACATGTACGGACAAAATGCAAATATATTATAGCGTTTGGGGGCCGTTGAAGTTCGCCCATCACCGCGGTGTCTGATACAACTTTGAGGGGCCGTCATACTCCACAGTGGGAATCCCAGCGCGCAACTGAGCTCCAACTTGCACTGCGTCTCGATGCGCTGCGTCTTGCCGCCCGCGGTGCTGTGGGCGATTTGCTACGGTGGTTTGCTAAAGGTATCGATCGGCTGACCCGCATCGGAGCTTCATGCAGCTGGTGCCCGCCGAGCGGCTCGTTCTGGCGCCACGCGCAACGCGCTGCAAGCTGACCGGTCGGGCGTATCCACCAACGGCAGCGCTCTACGTTTGAAGTTCACGCCGCGAACAGCTTGTTGGTGTCGTCGAGTGGAGGGAACGCCGATGGGAATGGCGCTTGCGGGATTAATACGTGCTGAAGTGCTTTGTCCTCACTTACGTACGTGAAGCGCTGCCGCCGTCGCGTCTTCTGCCTCTTGCGAGGCAGCACGCCTTGGTTACCACAGCCGAAATGATCCCGCGCTGTTGATGAGCGCGAGCGCACGAGACCAGCTTGCAGCGCTACGTCCAGACCGCCGAGAGCCGACTATCGAGGCGTTGTCGCGATCGCAAGCGAGCACCGCGCGAGGGCAAGCGCCGGGCAAGCAAGTGAACAAGATGCAGAACAGCGCAGGCTACATACACTTACCGGTACGGGAGCGCCGACACTCGGCCCGATAGGAGGAGCAGCAAAACGGAGATGGACCCATGGACACTCGTGGACCTGTGCGTAAGCGGCTTTCTGAAGTTATTATTGGTGCCGGTGCCGGATAACAGATACAGCGGTGGCTCATGCTACACGGCGCTCGTTGCTAGCGCAGTCTGCTTTCTCTGGCCCAAGCTACTGCGGATCCCAGCGATGCATGCTCACGCTTCAGCCCAAGCAGGGCGTCGTGAACCTGTATTTGGGGCTTTGCTCGGCGACGGCTGTGGGGAGATCCGGTCCAGGCGAATAGGATTGCCCAAAATTCAGGTGAGGTGCCCAAGATAAACATAGCCGATCCGTTGCGTCCCGGCGTTGCGATCCGACTTCTTTCTAGTATGGTGGCGTTACCTACCTTCCCAAAATAACAAAGATATCGTTTTGGGCTCGCGGCTGCTTGCTCGTCACCCCTTCACCCCTTCACGTTGGCTGGCCCCGAACACCGAGCGCCCCCCGCTCTACTGCAGACCGACAGATACTAGCATGCTCTCGTGGCCACCGCTGTAGCCGAAGCGTAGCGTCGTGCTCTCCTTTTCGTCTGTGCAAGCAGATAAGGCTGGGAACCCTTGCCTCCGGCGCTGTGCCGATGGAACCGTTCAATCACGAGGCCGGAACAAGGCCCCGCCGCATTGTTTCTGGCCGCGCCGGACGGCTGTTTCGCCGATTAGCGCGCGCGAGCGGAGAGAGAACTCTTTCTTTCGTCCGTCTTACTCAGCCCGTTCACCATCTGCAGATCTGCCTCCTTCTGCTGCAGCAACGCTGTGTCAAACGCTTCTGGTCGCGGTGCCGTCGACCGGCGTGTTCGCGGGGCTTCCCGAGCCAAGCCGGCCGGATCTCGGCCAAAAGAGAATCTTTTGCCATGTCAGGCGTGGCGATAGACAGCCCCACACGCGCAACTTCAGCGAAGCGCCCCAGCCCTTGCACCAGCTGGGCTCGTCGTGGGGTCGCGAAGCGGACGTGGCCGCGGCCACGTACTTGCCGTGTCGCTCCATACAGCCAGCCTATCAAAACGCCCATCAGTCGGCGCTGTCATCCACCACCACCTTCACCTCGGTCTCTCGCTCGGCTCGGTTCGGCCGCACGCCGCCGCCTCTCGTCTCGGCTCCTCACTCTTCAATTTGCCTCGGAGGACGCCCAGCCCCAAGCTCCGCCCGCCCCCCATCCGAATCGAAGAGCCTCCCCCAGTCCCGACCAAGACGACCGACGCCATGGCCACGGAGGACAAGAAGAACAAGGCCACGGCCAGCCTGCTCCAGCCGGAGGCCAACGACGCCGGCGAGCAGGTGCCCGAGGTCTACCGCTCGCTCAACTTCCGCAGCCTGCAGGACCCGTACTCGCACGGCGCCGGCGACACCATGGCCAGCCGCTACAGTACGCTGCGGGCTGACAACCTCGAGACGATGCTCAACGGCGGCCTCGAGCGCTTCTACAAGAAGTACGACCACCTGTCGCGCAAGATCAACCTGCAGCTGCCCACGCCCGAGGTGCGCTTCGAGAACCTGTCCTTCTCGGTGCAGGTGCCGGCCGAGGTGGGCGCCCACGGCACGGTGGGCTCGCACCTGGCCTCCATCTTCACGCCGTGGCAGAAGGTGCCCATGACGACCAAGCACGCGCTGCACCCGATGAGCGGCATCATCAAGCCTGGCTCCATGACGCTGATCCTGGCTAACCCTGGCGCCGGCAAGTCGACGTTCTTGAAGGCTTTGGCCGGCAAGCTGCAGGACAACAAGCAGACGAAGCTGGGTGGCGAGATCCTGTACTCCGGCCTGAGAGGGGACGAGATCGACCTCATCAAGCTGGCCGGCCTGGTTGACCAGATGGACAACCACATCCCGACGCTGACGGTGAGGGAGACGTTCAAATTCGCCGACATGTGCGTCAACGGCCGACCCGAGGACCAGCCCGAGGAGATGCGCGAGATCGCTGCTCTCCGCACGGAGCTGCTTCTGCAGATCCTGGGTTTGGAGAACTGCGCCGACACCGTCGTCGGTGACGCTCTGCTGCGTGGTGTCAGTGGCGGTGAGCGCAAGCGTGTCACTGTGGGTGAGGTACTGGTCGGTGGCCAGAGCCTGTTCCTGTGTGACGAGATCTCCACGGGTCTCGACAGTGCCGCTACGTTCGATATCGTCAAGTCCATGCGCACGTGGTGCAAGACGCTGGGCGGATCGGTGATCGTCGCGCTGCTCCAGCCGACGCCCGAAGTCGTTGAGATGTTCGACGACATCTTGATGGTCAACGAGGGCCACATGGTCTACCACGGCCCGAGAACCGAGATCCTGGACTACTTCCAGGGCCTTGGCTTCACGTGCCCGCCCCGTGTGGACCCGGCCGACTTCCTCATTGAAGTGACGTCGGGCCGCGGCCACCGCTACTCGAACGGAACGGTCCCCAACAAGAACCTGCCTGTGACGTCCGAGGACTTCAACAACCTCTTCTGCCAGTCGCACATCTACAAGAAGACGTACGAGGCCATCAGCAAGGGCTTCAACGAGCACCAGTTCGAGAGCCCCGAGGACTTCAAGAAGGCCAAGAGTGTGGCCAACCTGGCCCGCTCCAAGGAGAAATCCGAGTTCGGCCTGGCCTTCCTCCCGAGTACCATGCTGCTGTTGAACCGTCAGAAGTTGATCTGGCTGCGTGACCCCCCGCTTCTGTGGGGTAAGGTTATCGAGGCCATCATCGTTGGTCTTGTCATGGGCATGATCTACTTCAACGTGAGCTCGACGTACTACCTGCGCATGATCTTCTTCAGTATCGCGCTGTTCCAGCGTCAGGCGTGGCAGCAGATCACCATCTCGTTCCAGCTGCGCAAGGTCTTCTACAAGCAGCGCGCGCGCAACTTCTTCCGCACGAACTCGTACGCAATCGCCGAGAGTGTGGTGCAGATTCCAGTCAACCTGATCGTCTCGTTCATCCTCGGCACGTTCTTCTACTTCATGAGTGGACTGACGCGCACGTTCGAGAAGTACATCGTGTTCTTCCTGGTGCTTGTGTGCTTCCAGCACGCCATCAGCGCGTACATGACGATGCTGAGTGCACTGTCGCCCAGTATCACGGTTGGCCAGGCCCTGGCTTCGATCTCCGTGAGCTTCTTCCTGTTGTTCTCGGGTAACATTATCCTGTCCGACCTGATCCCGGACTACTGGATCTGGATGTACTGGTTCTCTCCGATCTCGTGGGCGCTGCGCAGCAACATGCTGTCGGAGTTCTCGAGCGACCGCTACACGCCCGTTGAGAGCAGGACGCTGCTCGACAGCTTCTCGATCTCACAGGGCACGGAGTACATTTGGTTCGGTGTCATTGTTCTGCTGGCGTACTACTTCTTCTTCACGACGCTGAACGGTCTGGCGCTGCACTTCATCCGCTACGAGAAGTACAAGGGCGTGAGCGTGAAGACCATGACCGACAAGGCTGACGAGGAGGACAACGTGTACGTCGAGGTGAACACCCCTGGTGCTGTGTCCGACGGTGCCAAGTCTGGCAACGGCTCGGGCCTCCCGTTCACGCCGTCGAACCTGTGTATCAAGGACTTGAACTACTTCGTGACACTGCCGTCGGGCGAGGAGAAGCAGCTTCTGAATGGCATCACCGCTCACTTCGAACCGGGCCGCATGGTGGCGCTTATGGGTGCCACCGGTGCCGGTAAGACGACGCTGATGGATGTGATTGCCGGCCGCAAGACTGGCGGTCGCATTGTTGGTGACATCATCGTGAATGGTGAGCCGAAGGACCCGTCCAACTTCAGCCGTATCACGGCGTACTGCGAGCAGATGGACATCCACTCGGAGGCGGCTTCTATCTACGAGGCACTTGTGTTCTCGGCGAACCTGCGTCTTCCCCCGAACTTCACCATTGAGCAGCGCATGAACCTGGTGCACGAGACTTTGGACCTGCTGGAGCTGACGTCGATTTCGGGCGCCATGGTCGGCAGTCTGTCGGTGGAGCAGAAGAAGCGTGTGACGATCGGCGTGGAGGTGGTCGCTAACCCGAGCATCCTGTTCCTGGACGAGCCCACGAGTGGCCTGGACGCGCGTTCGGCCCTGATTGTGATGCGTGGTGTGCAGTCGATTGCTCGCACGGGTCGTACGGTGCTGTGCACAATCCACCAGCCGAGTATCTCCATCTTCGAGCTATTTGATGGTCTGCTTCTGCTGCAAAAGGGTGGCTACACGGCCTACTTCGGTGACCTTGGTGTGGACTCGGTCAAGATGCTGGAGTACTTCGCGTCGATCCCCGGCACGATGGAGATTCGCCCGCAGTACAACCCGGCCACGTACATGCTTGAGGTGATCGGTGCTGGTATCGGCCGTGACGTCAAGGACTACTCGGTGGAGTACAAGAACAGCGAGCTGTACAAGTCGAACCGCGAGCGCACGCTGAAGCTGGCTGAGGTGTCGGATGAATTCACATGCCACTCGACTCTTAACTACAAGCCGATTGCCACTGGATTCAGGAACCAGCTTGGCCAGTTGGCCAAGAAGCAGCAGCTCACGTACTGGCGCAATCCGCAGTACAACTTCATGCGCATGTTCCTGTTCCCGCTGTTCGCCATCATCTTCGGCACGACGTTCTACCAGCTTTCTGCTGACAGCGTGAAGCGCATCAACTCGCACATCGGTCTGATCTACAACAGCATGGACTTTATCGGTGTCATCAACCTGATGACGGTGCTGGAGGTGACGTGCGCTGAGCGCGCCGTGTTCTACCGCGAGCGCATGTCGAATTACTACGGTCCGCTGCCTTACAGTCTGTCGCTCTTCTTTGCTGAGATCCCGTACCTGGTGGTGGTGATCATCCTGTTCGTGACGATCGAGTACTGGCTGGTGGGCTGGAGCGACAACGGCGGCGACTTCATCTTCTTCATGTTCGTGTTCTACCTGTACACGTCGGCGTGTACGTTCGTGGGCCAGTGGATGTCTGCTTTGATGCCGAACGAGAAGGTGGCGAACGTGGCTGTTGGTGCGCTGTCGTGCCTGTTCAACCTGTTCTCGGGGTACCTGCTGCCGCGCCCTGCCATGAAGGCTGGCTACAAGTGGTTCACGTACCTGATGCCCTCGAGCTACTCGCTTGCCGCCCTGGTTGGTGTGCAGTTCGGCGAGGTCCAGGATGTCATCTCTGTGACCGCTAACGGCGTCACGACGGACATGACGGTGGCCGACTACATTGCGGAGACGTACGACTTCCGGCCGAACCGCAAGTACAACTTCATGGCCGGCCTCATTGTGATCTGGGCTGTGCTGCAGCTTGCCATCTACCTGACGTTCAAGTACGTGAGCCACCTGAAGAGATAAGCGGTGACGTTGAAGACAAACGTTGCCGAGCTCTTGTAGCGACTCAGCGTAAGATTGATTTAGCAGCGAAGAGATAGCTGCCGTGCATTTGCTTTGAAGTAGACTTGTTTCATTTACCCCTTCACTTCAAGTGTTTGTTTGGTCTTTAATGTACTTCGAAGTAGTTCGGACTCACAGAGTTATTATGGTTCGAACACTTATTGTGGTTTTCAATTATTTTGCCGCCCGATTTGACGTGTTATCTCGGAGTCCGATTTATATATTAAATGGAGCTCCTACATGATCGGTAGGTCCAATTTAGCTATATCTGACCTGAGTTAGTAGCATAAGGCTCAGGGGGGAGGCATTCCAAGTTGGCCATACCTCCCCACCTCTCATGATGCATTAGAACTGCAATACATTGGGAATAATAGTACACCACTTCATGGCACTATGACCAGCTAAATTGCCTGTGTGATCATCTACAGCGGCTACAACTTCGTGCCACGCCGATCTGAGAGGACCCCAGGCATGTTTTCGCGGCGGTCCTTTTTGCCGGCGAAAAACGGCATTTCTGGCCCTTGCTTCGCAACTCGCAGCCCCCAGACGCAAATCGGGCCAGATATAGTTTGCTTCCCTCAGCCCTTCCTGCTAAATCGGAGCCCTCCAGCAAATCGGGCCCGATACATATGTATATCGGATCTTGGACCACCCGATTTGCCAAAACGGATGAAAGCCACAATACACTTTGGACGTGGTGCACGAAATCCGACAGAACAGTCAGATATCTTCAGTATCTCGAGAAATGGACATCAGTAGTGCCTTGACCGCGTCCCACGACTTGATATCGCTACTCGCGTCGCGAACAGCAGCAGCAGCATTCGCTACAGCAATACAGCACATATGACGATAGACGCTATCAACTCTGTTCAAGCTGGCCCGCCAAATGAAGCGATAAGACGCTCGTGCAGTTCAGCGCTAGATTTCTGTGGAAAGCGCGTGCAGGGTGAGTGTGAGTGCGGGATTTGTGCGCTGACACACCTCCTGAGTGCAGGGGTTAAGTGCGTGGGCGCGCACCGATGCTCTTTCAGGTAACACGCTGATCCAGGCGTTCTGTATCCAGTCCACAAGCAGGCGTCCAGGTTTGCACCGGGCCCAAGTGCTCCAAACGTTTTGCAGTAGTAGAGTTGCTATGCTGCGCTGGTCAGCAGAAAGCTGGTCCGATATGAGCTCGTGAGGAGGAGCCCAAAGCAATATCTTCTGGCGGCTGTTTTGGGCTACGTTGAAGTGCGAGCCAGTTTTGGGCTGGCTCCATTTTCAACTTTGGGCTGATGCTGTTCAACATATATATGATAGTAATCCAAAACGAACTACTTAGTACATGTAAAATATGAAATAGTAACCTAAAATGTTGGAACTAATATTTGGAGATATTGCGGTTGCAACGGCACGCCCTACTGATAAACTGAGATCAAGTTAATGGGACTCAGGTGGTGTTGACGTTTCGGTGCTTTGTGAAGAGGACGAGACCAACGAGCTATACGATGAGGGGCGAGTACTGCAAGAAGAGATCAGTTGCCTATTGCCCTCCTTTTCCACGACTCGGGCGGGGCGCCTCCCGCTTAATTCGACTTTTCGTGTGGAACGCTTCGAAGGCTGTGGGGAAGTACGGCACCACGTTCTCTACTGGCCTGGCTGCCGGAGGAGGTCAGTGGCGCTGACGCCTCGTTGGACGTCGACGACGACACGCTGGTAGTGGACAACAGCAATCGTGCTTGGAGCAGAAGGCGCGCAATGCTGGCGATGCCAAGCATCTCGGCGTCGAGTACATCAACGACAACAGCTGTACGGAGCTGCTGCTGGACCTGGTTATAGCCGACAACGTGCTGACGCGTATTAATAACTGGTGCGGCAAGGTGACCATGACCGTCAAGGCGAGCCCATGTTTGTGTCAGACGTGATCGTCTCCGATGTCCACGAACACATAGCCGAGGTGCAGCGCTCGACGAGCGCACTGGAGGTGCAGGACCAGCTCGCCGAGTACGTCCACAATGATCAGCTCGTAACCAGCTCGTAACCAGCTCGTGATATAAGATGACCTCACCTGGAACCGATACCTGTTCTTCTGGCGGAGCTGCACGCGCGTCTGGTACGAGAAGCGACGCTGGTGGTCATCAAAGGCGACCTCAACTACCGCCGTGTGCTGTGCGGCCGGGTCTGGCCTACGTTCACGCTACGCTTGCTCACGCTGGCCCGCAGTTTTACATTTAGTAAGTATACGTTACCATTCACGACGAATCCTACCATAACGCGAAGGTTTGCAAAAACTCGGAAAAGTTGTAGAGCTCCGAAACAGCATTAGAGACCATCTTCACACTTCGTTGTGTTGTTGTTCTACGCGTTGACGAATTCAATGCACTAAACGCGATCAGGGTTTTGTAGTAAAACGGTATTAGATGCGAACACCTTATTACTATATATTTATAAATATTACATATTATAATCAGTTTGGTAGATCACTACTATATATTATTTGATACTTAATATAATTTAGGAAAGTAGCAAATATCATTATAACTATAATTATGAGTCGACCAAAACATATTAATACTATTGATATACCGAAACCATTTCCTGATCGCGTCTAACGTCGTCAGCACGCAGAAAACAACACAACAAAGTGTAAATCGGGATCCCCAGTGCTGTTTAGAGGCTCTGCGACTTATGAACACGATTTTTTTTCTTGAAGACTGTATTGTCACTTAGTTACTAGTAGCTTACTACTCCTGTCTACCACCAACTAACGACAAAGCAACCTGGCCCCGCTTGTGCTAGAAACGTCACGTGCAGGGTGGCCCTCCGATTGCGGAGAGTCCGATGAAAATCCAAAGCGCGACCTCATAGAGGATCTCGCCACCCACGAGGCTCGGCAGGCGCAGGGCACGGGCCCTGCACCTACCTGAATGCGGCCGTAGTAGCCGCTGCCCCACTGGGACTTGACTTGAGCGTAATCGCGTTCGTCCGGCGCGTGCTGTAGGATGCGTGAGCCTAGGCTCCAACATCGCATGACGGCAGCACACCGCCCAAATGCCTCCGTGGAGGCGTGGCTTCAGTGCTTGAACCGCGGTCGCCTGCCGCGAGCTTGAAAGAGTGGTCGAAGGTTGGGCCTCCCACCACCGTGGCAGCAATCCATAGAATCACCGCCCTCTTGGAGCGCAATCGCCGTCGTCGCGCGCGAGCTGCTCCAGTGCCGACTCCCTTCGTCGGCCGTGGTCACGCGGAAGCCGTCGCTGCTGCCGCCATGCTCCTTCCTGGGCTCCCGAGGGAGGATTCCCCCCAGGAAGGCCAAGGCCCCGGAGATCCTTGGAGGCGACCCTTGGCAGACACTTGCCCGCGACCCGTCGTTTTGTGGAATAAAACACGAAATTGGACGCCGTAGGGTCGGTCCAAGCTCCTCCACGATCTCTATCTCGGATTCCTTTCAGGGCCGAAGCGCCACACATTGGTTTGTAAGTTATTAGTAGTCAGCACGTTGCTTGCATTTTGAGAAGCTAACATCAACACGGCTTTAGCCTTTGCCCCCCCTACAAACACGAAATACCCTGGTCATCGCTCGGAGATGGATTGGCAGATTGGCTAAGGTGTGGTAGTAAACTCTTTGTTTCTATTCATCACTATACAAGTAGGGATTCAAAATAAAGTAATTAAGAGTATGTTGATGCTGCGCTTGCCCATGCACAGTTTATCAGCCATCTGCGGACTTATTTAGCTGAATCGCAGTATTTCCAGTATTAGTTCCGACATTTTCAGCTACTATTCCATGCTTTACAACTATTAATACTAAGTAGTTGGTCTTAGACTACTATCATATAGGCGAATATCATCAACCCAAAGTTGAAAATGAAGCCAGCCCAAAACTGGCTCGCACTTCAACGTAGCCCAAAACAGCCGCCAGAAGATATTGCTTTGGGCTCCTCCTCACGAGCTCATATCGAACCAGCTTTCTGCTGACCAGCGCAGCATAGCAACTCTACTACTGCAAAACGTTTGGAGCACTTGGGCCCGGTGCAAACCTGGACGCCTGCTTGTGGACTGGATACAGAACGCCTGGATCAGCGTGTTACCTGAAAGAGCATCGGTGCGCGCCCACGCACTTAACCCCTGCACTCAGGAGGTGTGTCAGCGCACAAATCCCGCACTCACACTCACCCTGCACGCGCTTTCCACAGAAATCTAGCGCTGAACTACACGAGCGTCTTATCGCTTCATTTGGCGGGCCAGCTTGAACAGAGTTGATAGCGTCTATCGTCATATGTGCTGTATTGCTGTAGCGAATGCTGCTGCTGCTGTTTGGGCGCTAATGACTCGGTCTTACCGCGCACCGGGACACCCATCCCCGCGACGCGATCAAGTCGTGGGACGCGGTCAAGGCACTACTGATGTCCATCTCTCGAGATACTGAAGATATCTGAATGTCTTTGTCGGATTTCGTACACCACGTGCAAAGTGTATATGTTTTACGCCGGAAGTTCATCAATTGTGTATGAACCGCCAAAAACCTAAACTTTCGTTCTCAAGGTCAACATTCAAGAAGGAAAACAGTGGCGAACACTCGCGTGTGAGAGCCCGGTGGTGTCTGCACGTATTCTCCAGTACCCCCTTTCTCGCCTGCACGAAAGAGAGAGCTCAACTACGAGTGGTCAGTGCGCGAGCATTTACGTACTCACGCCCCCGCCTGTCTCCCACACCTGCAAGAGGTTGGTTAGACTACGCAACGCGGTGTGCACCTCAAACGACCGTAAGCTCCACACCGCATGAAGAAGGTCTCATTTTCCAACTTACCTCGCCCCTAGCAAGACACCCGAACGCAGCCCTCTCAAGCGCAATGACGAAGGAGGAAGACAAGATCAGACTGTTGCGCCCTGAAGCTGACGGAGGTGCCACCGAAGAAGTGCCGGGTGTGTACCGCTCGCTCAACTTCCGCAGCTTGCAGGGCCCGTACCACCACAGCGACACCATGACCAGTCGCTACAGCATCCTCCGCGCCGACAACCTCGACACAATGCTCAACGGCGGCCTCGAGCGCTTCTACAAGAAGTACAACCACCTGTCGCGCAAGATCAACCTGCAGCTGCCCACGCCCGAGGTGCGCTTCGAGAACCTGTCCTTCTCGGTGCAGGTGCCGGCCGAGGTGGGCGCCTACGGCACGGTGGGCTCGCACTTGAGCTCCATCTTTACGCCGTGGCAGAAGGTGCCCATGACCACCAAGCACGCTCTACACCCGATGAGCGGCATCATCAAGCCTGGCTCCATGACGCTGATCCTGGCCAACCCTGGCGCCGGCAAGTCGACGTTCTTGAAGGCGCTGGCCGGCAAGCTCCAGGACAACAAGCAGACGAAGCTGGGTGGCGAGATCCTGTACTCGGGTCTGCGCGGCGACGAGATCGACCTCATCAAGCTCGTGGGTCTCGTGGACCAGACGGACAACCACATCCCGACACTGACGGTGCGCGAGACGTTCAAGTTCGCCGACATGTGCGTCAATGGCCGGCCCGAGGACCAGCCCGAGGAGATGCGCGACATCGCCGCGCTGCGCACGGAGCTGTTTCTTCAGATTCTGGGTTTGGAGAACTGCGCCGACACCGTCGTCGGTGACGCCCTGCTGCGGGGTGTCAGGGGTGGTGAGCGCAAGCGCGTGACTGTGGGTGAGGTGCTGGTGGGAGGCCAGAGCCTGTTCTTGTGTGACGAGATCTCGACTGGTCTGGACAGTGCCGCCACATTCGACATCATCAAGGCACTTCGTACGTGGTGCAAGACGCTGGGCGGATCGGTGATCGTCGCGCTACTGCAGCCGACACCCGAGGTGGTGGAACAGTTCGACGACATTTTAATGATCAACGAGGGCCACATGGTGTACCACGGCCCGAGAACCGAGATCCTGGACTACTTTGAACAATTGGGCTTCAGCTGTCCTCCGCGTGTGGACCCGGCCGATTTCCTCATTGAGGTGTCATCCGGCCGAGGCCATCGATACGCCAATGGCAGCGTCGAGCTCCGAAATCTCCCGGTCACGTCCGAGGAATTTAACGGTGCCTTCTGTCGATCCAGCATCTACAAGGAAACCCACGAAGCCATCAGGAAGGGCTTCAACGAGCACCAGTTCGAGAACGTGGAGGACTTCCAGAAGGCCAAGAGTGTGGCCAACCTGGCCCGCTCCAAGCAGAAGTCGGAGTTCGGCATCGCGTTCATCCCGAGCACGTTACTGCTGCTGAACAGGCAGAAGTTGGTCTGGCTGCGTGACCCACCGCTGTTATGGGGCAAGCTGATCGAGGCGCTCGTTGTCGGTCTTGTCATGGGCATGATCTACTTCAACGCGAGCTCAACGTACTACCTGCGCATGATCTTCTTCAGCATCGCGCTGTTCCAGCGTCAGGCGTGGCAGCAGATCACCATCTCGTTCCAGCTGCGCAAAGTGTTCTACAAGCAGCGGCCGCGCAACTTCTTCCGGACGACCTCGTACGCGATTGCCGAGAGTGTGGTGCAGATCCCCGTGAACGTGGCGGTGTCCTTCGTACTCGGTACCTTCTTCTACTTCATGAGCGGCTTGACGCGCTCGTTCGAGAAGTACATCGTGTTCTACCTGGTGCTGCTGTGCTTCCAGCACGCTATTAGCGCGTACATGACGATGCTGAGTGCACTGTCGCCCAGTATCACGGTTGGCCAGGCCCTGGCTTCGATTTCCGTGAGCTTCTTCCTGTTGTTCTCGGGTAACATTATCCTGTCCGACCTGATCCCGGACTACTGGATCTGGATGTACTGGTTCTCTCCGATCTCGTGGGCGCTGCGCAGCAACATGCTGTCGGAGTTCTCGAGCGACCGCTACACGCCCGTTGAGAGCAGGACGCTGCTCGACAGCTTCTCGATCTCACAGGGCACGGAGTACATTTGGTTCGGTGTCATTGTTCTGCTGGCGTACTACTTCTTCTTCACGACGCTGAACGGTCTGGCGCTGCACTTCATCCGCTACGAGAAGTACAAGGGCGTGAGCGTGAAGACCATGACCGACAAGGCTGACGAGGAGGACAACGTGTACGTCGAGGTGAACACCCCTGGTGCTGTGTCCGACGGTGCCAAGTCTGGCAACGGCTCGGGCCTCCCGTTCACGCCGTCGAGCCTGTGTATCAAGGACTTGAACTACTTCGTGACACTGCCGTCGGGCGAGGAGAAGCAGCTTCTGAATGACATCACCGCTCACTTCGAACCGGGCCGCATGGTGGCGCTTATGGGTGCCACCGGTGCCGGTAAGACGACGCTGATGGATGTGATTGCCGGCCGCAAGACTGGCGGTCGCATTGTTGGTGACATCATCGTGAATGGTGAGCCGAAGGACCCGTCCAACTTCAGCCGTATCACGGCGTACTGCGAGCAGATGGACATCCACTCGGAGGCCGCGACGATCTATGAAGCGCTGGTGTTCTCGGCCAACCTTCGCCTGCCACCGACGTTCTCGGAGGAGGAGCGCATGAATCTGGTGAACGAGACGCTGGAGTTGCTGGAGCTGTCGCCGATTGCTGGCGAGATGGTCGGGCGCTTGTCGGTGGAGCAGAAGAAGCGCGTCACGATTGGTGTCGAGGTGGTGTCAAACCCGAGCATCTTGTTCCTTGACGAGCCCACGAGTGGCCTGGACGCGCGTTCGGCTCTAATCGTGATGCGCGGTGTCCAGTCGATCGCCCGCACGGGTCGTACGGTGCTGTGCACGATCCACCAGCCGAGTATCTCCATCTTTGAGCTGTTTGACGGTTTGCTTCTGCTGCAGAAGGGTGGATACACGGCCTACTTCGGTGACCTCGGTGTGGACTCGGTCAAGATGCTGGAGTACTTCGCATCAATCCCCGGCACGATAGAGATCCGTCCGCAGTACAACCCTGCCACGTACATGCTGGAGGTGATCGGTGCTGGTATCGGCCGTGACGTGAAGGACTACTCGGTCGAGTACAAGAACAGCGAGCTGTACAGGTCGAACCGCGAGCGCACGCTGGAGTTGGCCAAGGTGTCGGACAACTTCGTGTGCCACTCGACGCTCAACTACACGCCGATCGCGACGGGTTTCTGGAACCAGCTCGGACACTTGGCCAAGAAGCAGCAGCTCACGTACTGGCGCAACCCGCAGTACAACTTCATGCGCATGTTCCTGTTCCCGCTGTTCGCCATCATCTTCGGCACGACGTTCTACCAGTTGTCGGCGGGCAGCGTGAAGAAGATCAACTCGCACATCGGTCTGATCTACAACAGCATGGACTTCATTGGTGTCATTAACCTGATGACGGTGCTGGAGGTGACGTGCGCTGAGCGTGCCGTGTTCTATCGCGAGCGCATGTCGAACTACTACGGCCCGCTGCCCTACAGTCTGTCGCTGTGGTTCGCCGAGGTGCCGTACCTGATCGTGGTAATTGTGCTGTTTGTGACCATCGAGTACTGGCTGGTGGGCTGGAGCTCGAGTCCGGGTGACTACTTCTTCTTCATGTTCGTGTTCTATCTGTACACGTCGGCGTGCACGTACGTGGGCCAGTGGATGTCTGCTTTGATGCCGAATGAGAAGGTGGCGAACGTGGCTGTGGGCGCGCTGTCGTGCTTGTTTAACCTGTTCTCGGGGTACCTGCTGCCGCGCACAGCGATGAAGACGGGCTACAAGTGGTTGCAGTACCTCATGCCGTCAAGTTATTCACTCGCGGCTTTAGTAGGCGTGCAGTTTGGTGACAACCAGGACATCATCGCCGTGACGTCGGGCAACATCACGACCAACGTGACAGTGGCGCACTACATCGAGAAGACGTACGACTTCCGCCCGGACAGCAAGTACAACTTCATGGTCGGTCTGATGGTGACCTGGGTCGTGCTGCAGGTGGCCATCTACCTCACGTTCAAGTACGTGAGCCACCTCAAGAGGTAGAGTACTGTACCTCGGATGTTCCCAACCAGCCGTTGCTTTATGTGTCGCTCATAACTTCGAATCATTCACACGAAGGTACATACTACTCATTTAATTAACACCCTTGCGATTGCCTTATCAAAACAATTTACTTAGGGTACCTTTTGCGATTACAATTTCTTATGATAAATATTGTTTTGCGAATAACTTAGCCTGCCTTTTTCTTCTTGCCTACTGCTTACATGGTCCGAAAAATCGCCACAGCAATGCCGTTTGGTTTGAGCATGTTGAAATACTACTACTATAGTATTACTATTATTAGAGTAGTAGTAGTAGTGGTATTAGTAGTATTCAACTCGAGATTGGAAAAAAATACTACCTCCGGTCTGAAAAACAATGGCCACTTCAACTATAATGTGTACACATAATTTTGTTTTACGTTCCGATTGGACAAAATTATATTGCCATCGCAACTCAGTGCACAAGCTGTGGAGTGGCCGCGCCACTATTGCCGTGCAACAACCAAGCAACCGCGGCCGGCCCCGGGCCTACACAGATGGGGCTATTAAGGCCAAGATTGCGTCGGCTCCGTTGGAGAGTCGGACCACGCTGTGTGGTCTCGCCGCCGCCACAGGTATCCCGCGGACCCAGCTCTTCCGACGCTTGCAGGAGCGAAGCGTTGTCAGGCGAGTCACGGTTGTGCCGAAGCTGCTGCTCACGCCGGAGCACATGGCGCAGCGCCGTCAGTTTGCTCGGACTTTTGTGACGAAGATTTCCTGGTAAGCGTTTTGACTGTCTAGCTATCTGTTACGAGTAATATGTGTAATGCCTGACGATATGTAATGTAATGTCTGTCATTTAGGTGATCGCGGATACCAATTTGATGACATGCAGAATGTGGTGCATGTTGACGAAAAGTGGTTCTACGTGCACCGGAACCGCAACACTTACTACCTTACGAGCGACGAGCCTGCGCCGCGCGCCGTCACCAAGAACCACCGAACCAAGGTAGTGTTTTTGGTGGCGGTCGCGCGGCCACGGTATGACGAGCACCAGCGCATGACCTTTGACGAAAAGGTGGGACTGTGGCCCGTGGTGGAGACCAAGCTGGCTGTCCGCAGCAGCAAGAACCGCCCGAAGGGTACTCCGGCCACGACCCCAGTCGAGATGACGAAGGACGTCTACGAGCGCATGCTGACGCAGCACGTAATCCCCGCGATCAAGCGAGTTTGGCCAGGTAATTGTTTTGCAACTTGTTTTATTATGTTTTATGCTGACTATTTTTATTACGACTATTTTTATATAGGTAAGGAAGAGGTGATCGTACAGCAGGACAACACCCCGCCTCACCGTGCCTCGGAGCGGACTGCAGTGAAAGCAGCGGCTGCAGCGGGCGGCTGGTCGATTAAGTTCGCCAACCAGCCGCCGCGAAGTCCTGACTTCAACGTGCTCGACTTGAGCTAGTTCTGCTCGCTGCAGTCGCTGCAGTACAGGAAGCAGACGCGGGACGTCGACGGGCTCTTCGCGGCTGTGAATACCGCGTTTGAGGAGATGTTAAGTGCCACCACCACCAAGTGCTTCCTTACGCTGCAAAGCGTACTTGAGGCATCTATGCTTGCTGGTGGTGGCAACAGCTACAACATCCCACACCTGAGAAAAGATGCCCTGACCAGGAATGGTAGCCTGCCTCGCTGTTTGCCGTGTTCGGCTGAGGCAGTTGCGGCTGTCGATGCTTTAGCCTAACACGCCGGTTTGATAGCGGTAATATTAAGCCAAAATATTACCTTCATTCTGATTGTTCTGTCACTAATAGTTCAATTTGGTGAATGCATATTGTTTTTCGGACCGGAGGTAGTACGATGCTATTCAAGGAAAAGCGAGAAAAAGTAAATTTCGAATCGATTCCAACTCGGTGATGACGAATTTGCAAGCAAGTTACTGCATAGTATGAACCCGATTCTGCTGCCTTTGCTTTTCCAGCAGAGGTCGTTGCACCACGCTTCCCTCTTTTCAGTACGGGCTAGCCGACTCGAGGTTTGGTTTGAAGGCTTCGTCGATGATGGGGGCTGCAAAATGCGCTTCACTGATACCTTCACGCGCCTCCTCAGTCATTTGCTCCCACATAATGAGGTCCTGGAACTCGCCCCATTTGCCGTCGGAAGTCAACTCCACCCCGCTAGACGTGTAGTCGCTCGTGAAGAGGAGCATGGGGTGCGTGCCGTTGAGTTTATCCTCGAAAGTGTAGCATTCCGTGTTGCGGTACTCGTCGGAGCCACTCGTCGCGACTTCATACACTCCTCCACGCCCAATGGTTGACACGGCGACTATCTTCGGCTTCTCGACAGCAGGGTTGTCAAGCCACACAACTGCAGCAGTCCACTTGTGTCGGCTGTCCGTCTCACCCGAGTCCTTGGGGAAGTACCACACGTACATGATAGCCCAGAGGTCGTTGTGCCAAGCAGCCCGGCCATACACTTGCGAGCCCAGACTTGACCCCTGGCAGCTTTCAACCCCCGTGTCGCCATATTCCAACCCTCTGCTGGTATCTCCAGCGGCATTGACAGCAGGGTACGGGCGGCACGTGCCGTCTTCAAACTCGAGACTCGTCTTGAAGTTGATGGCAGTTTCTCGGATACGGTGGCTGGCTTGGGCTGAGCAAACGAGTGGACCTTGTCGTACTGAATGTCATAAGCTCCCACAGAGCAGAGCAGAGCGGCGGCAAAAGCCGTGGAGAGGAGTTGCGACAGGTTCATGATCTGCGTTCCAGGCGGGGGATTCGAAACTGAACTCGGCCCGAATCGCCGATTCCGTCGCAGTGCTGCCTATATAATGTAAACATGCCTGTAGTAATGATGTTTAAGAGGCTATGTAAGCTTTATAAGCTTATTGTAATAGCTTACCACATCTAGCGATCAGATGGGATGAGTAACTATCCAGACTATTTTTTCAATACAATCATTTGGCGTGTCTTGCGCATATTTTAAGCCGCTTAAAAATGTTGTGAACTCGTGGAGTGACATGGGTCCGAAAAAATATCTCCATTTGGCTTTATACCATTGTGATAAGAGCACATTTGGGACCCCTCCAAGTTTTTTTTTGTTTTTGAATTGAGTATCATTGTTGTCACTTAGCTTTCCGCTAACGACTAAACCCGTCCCAGTTGGTGACGGCCTTGAATATTGGGTGGTAAAATAACAATAATTGCCATGAATGGCGTTTGATACCTCTAGTGCGCTTGCGATACGATCAGGATGAGTTGATGTACATGCTTGTGGTCATCAGCAAAAAGGTGCTTTCGTCCGCGATTTTCGCATATATCATCTTTTTTTGCTAAAGAGGCTCAAGAGGGAAGCGTCCAGGTTTCACCCGCTACGAGCGCCATAGAGTTGACGGAGTCGCCTTGACGATCCACAGTTGCAAGGAATTCGTTGGTGGCGAGTGTCAGCTTGCAGCGTGCTGTGCTGACGGAAACTAACTGATATTTGTGAAGATGCTGAGTGCATTACTACGTGCGTGCGCATTTTCCATTTGGTTGTGGGTCCTACACTTTCGAATATGCACTCATTCAGGGAGTACCTACTACTTGCGATGTTTTTATTCCGGTCTTGTGATCAAATTTCACCACTCTCCGAGCCTGTTTAACCCCAACAGCCTCCAAATCAAGGACACAAAAAGGACCACAAACTTGAAGCTAACCTTGACCGGAGTTTTGAGAGATACACTATCGGACTACTATGGAAGAAAGCCCTGGATTGCTGCTTTAAAGTGTGTGTCGCGCGTACTGTCCACCATGGTCCATCATGCCAAAAAGGCTACAAACAAAGTGTCATTATTAACATATCAAGTTTTCCCTTTTGTCCTTCAAATATCTGAGAGTGACTTGCGTTCAGTATGTGGCCTCGGCCGTTACGCCTCTCGAACAGCCATCGTACTTGTTATACATGACACTCTCGTACTTACCCGGATCTTATCCCCTCCAATACAAACGCCAAGTCACTTTTGGTCCTTTTTGCTGGTTCTAGGACAAAAACACGAAAATCACAGCGTACTTAAGCGAATTTTGGTCCTTAATTCAAGGACAAAAAATGTTGGGGTTAAGAGGAATTGGGTGTATGACTGCCTGATAATCAGACTGCTTACGGGGAAGTTGTTCCAAGTGACACAGTATCATCTACTTTAAAAAATCTTGTAGACATCAGACGGGTGGATGTATCCCGCTCGGACCCAGCACTCGAACTGCGCTTTCTGCAGCCTCTTGGTGATCTTATTCGTCTTCTTAACCGCCGTCGCCGCCTGCAGAATCTCAGCAAGCTTCGCTTCGCCAAATTGCTTCTGGAGTTTCGTGATCATGACGCTGTCCGCCGTCCAAGTGCTGACCTTGGAGACGTACTTTGAAGGCGGGGTTGGTTAGAAGCTGGCCCCCGGCAGCATCGAGCTTGAGAAACGTGAAGGCGTCGTCGGGGCTCTGGTGGCTCTCCACCAACTGCTTGTACTGCTTTCGACTTCGACTTGCCGACGTTAACCCACCGGCGACCGTTATCCCGATTTTGCTGGGATAAGAAAAACCTCGGAGGAAAGTGCCGGTTCAAGCCATACAGGTGGTTAGGAAGACTTCGCCTCGTGGCGTGACAAGAACGGCTACAAGTCGCTGCGTGATTTCAGGGTAACTGCGACTCTTCAAGGTCCCGCCGACAGCGTTTTGGCCAATGCGATCTGTTTGTGGATTTCTCACATTGAAAGGTAGATAGGCATGGGTGCCGGGCTTCCGCGTCACCATTGGCCACCGCACAAGCATTTACACCCGCAGATTGCCAGGTGCCCGCGAAGGATTAGCGCTTCTCTGCTATGGTAAAATTCTGAGTTGATAGGATGTACCGCTCACTAATGTTAACTTTCTTTTCCCTTGTATCATTGCCTTCTATAGATGCCTTCACACGCGCGTGGTACGCTGGTCGAGGAGCTACGAGCACGGCTCTGCCGGTGCCACTGCGAAGACCGAGTTGTTTCGATTTAGCTGGACGCTCCTGTTCGTGGAGGAGCCCGACCGCTATTTCGGCAATGTACGTGAGGCGTCAGGGCTACTGGAGCTTTAGCAGAAGGGATGCTGACGCTGAGAGATGTTGTGGACTCGGTAGGTGTGCGAGCTGGACACCATCTTCAACCCCCACAAGGTAAGGCGGCGTCTTGGCAGCTTTGGCGTTCATATCTAAGGGCTCATGCTGGTGTTGTTGTTGTCGACAGGCGTATTACATTGAGGACGAGCTGTTCACCGGCTACTCCCGGCAGGAGTTGAGCAAGGAGGCGATCTTGCGCATCTGCGCCCGCCTAAGCTACGTGCCCCCACCGCTGGTGAAACCATGCGGGTGCTGACACTTCACCCTAACGCGAGTCGACTTCACAGCGAATGTCCAAGCGCGATGCCGAAGGTGGAAACAAGCGGCAGGGAGGACGCCAAGAGCACGACAGGGACAGCGGGGTGTGGCAAGACTCCAAGAACGACAGATACAACGGCGGCTTGAAGCATGGAGTCTTCATGGTCAGCTGGGTGGTTACGGAGCCCACGATGCCGTACATCGACTCGAGTAAGCTCGTCCGCTACGAACACTTCATCTTGTATTGGGTTCTCGACCTCGTATGACAGCTCATGGGACGACAGCGGCTTCATTACGCCGTCAAACTCAACTGCAGGTCGAAGTTGATTAGAGTTGTGATTGATTTTCATGCAATTAATACATAGTTGTTGGTGACCCTCGGCGGCAATGTTAGAGTAGTGATCGTAGTTACTGCATCGACCATCTTGGTTCAGCTGCGTACAGGTGTAAATCCCGAAGGGAGCTGCTGTAAGTCATCGGAACCTGAATTGTTTTCAGTAACTTCCACCGCTTGCAAAACGAATTTCGGCACGTATTACGATGCCGCGGACACGCTCGTGTTGTCAGCGCCACCAGAGGTAGATGAGGTAGCTTCATGCACAAAGCACGCATTGCCAAAACCACATCTTCTTCGAACACAGTGTCGTGGCAAAATAAAAGGGTGGCGGAGCTGATAAGGGAGCTGGGTTGAGCCAACTTCGAGTCTGGATCAGCACTGATAACAGTATCGCTGCCTTCAGCAATATTGCGGATGTCTGCGGTGACGACGCTGAACTTGAGCAAGTGTGGAAAGCGCGATGCCCTAGACGCAATCAGCTCCATACCTCTAGCGGCCAGGTCACGTTGGATCTCAATACCAACCACACGAAATGCTTGCGTTTGCAGAGCGATTTGAGCGAGAACATTTCCCACGCCGGATCCAGCATCCAGAAACACGTCATTCACTTGAATATTCGCTTCTTCAATCAGCATGGACACCCCAGCCAATGTTATCCCCCCGGTATTTAGCTGACGTTCACTCGCGCGCACATCACGCCTGATGAGTAGGCAGAATAGTCCTTCAGTGGTGTTGTAGGTTTATTGCGGTGATAGGGTCGCAATGGTATGTGGTGAAGGCGAAAACCGTAGAGGAGACGCCGCTTTGGCTTCCAAATGCAGTCCTGCTCGGTCTGGTGGCGGGCGGAAATAGCGTGGGGGGAAACTCAGCACGTTATTGCCATATCGTCTCTTGAGCGTCTTGATTCGCTGTTGCAGTTTGGTTGCGCTCCATGTTGACGGCCTCATGTCTTTCTCCACTGACACCCAGTCGATTCGGCTTCCCGCATGCTCGTACACCACCGCGAGCCGAACGAGTTGGCGATCCTCTTCATCTCAAAAGTCGGTCATTTTTCGCTTCGGATACTGTCTATACAAACTCAAATAAAACGACCCTTTGGGGTTTCATACTGAAACCGAGTTTATTTTTTTTGGATTTGTAAGTCAACGTTGGGTCGCTGTCGACCGAGTCAATGTAGACTCGTTCAGAGTCGACGTTGACTTCGCTATTACTGAAACTAGTACGTTTGAGTCAATGTCGACTTGGTTTAAGTCCATGTTGACTTCGCGATCAATAAAACAAGCGTATTCGAGTCAAAGTTGACTCACTCTAAGTCATCGGTGACCTGGAAATGTGTATTCATTCATCGTTACGCAGCAGCACACACAACTACAGCAGGATGGCACTCTCAAACGCAGCCACTGCTTCCATAATCTTCGCGCATGCACACGCGTATCTGCCGTGGTCCATCGAGTGAATGACGGTACCTGTCTTGTCGTAGACCAACTCATTTCTTTTCTCCCAGAACTCGACCGCAAGCCTTGAACTCTTCAGCATCCGCCGTCTTCGATCCAAACGCCTCCTTCACTTTGCCCAGAATGAAGTCGCGCTTCTTCTGCATTGTGCTCGTGTTATCTACATTTTTTTTCAATCCAGAGACAATGGAAGTCAATACAATGCCAAACCACACTGAAGCAGAAACTCAAGCGGCTTACCATCTCGGATGACGGCGTTCCATTCCGTGGACTCTTCGATAGCTTTCTCGGTCACCGCGCTATACTTGTACGTATGCAGCTGCAGCTCTCGTCTCGCGATGGTGTCTTGCAATCCGCTGTTCTCCGTTTTCACCGCCTCTAGCGCAGCCTTCATCGATTCCAACTGCGTTCTCACTCCATCCCGTTCTGCTTGCATCGCCGTCCTCTCTTCCTCGATCCGGTTGCGGTTGGCTTCGAGCTCTTTAAACGCAGCTGGGCACCCGTTGTTCTTGAACTGCTCTTCCAGGAGCCGGGTCTGGCGCTTCATTTCATTCAAAATCTTCGCCTGTCTCAGCGATATTCGGCCTCCTTGTTGTTTATCTCGACTCGACTCCTCTCGTTTCTTTTTATCCGCGTCCAACTGCTCCCGCTCCCGTTGCAGGCGATGCGTTACGTTCTGGAGACGCTGGCGCTCATCTTTGAGCTTGACCTCATGAGATTACAGCTCCTTGGCTTTTACTTGTAGTTCTTCCTCCTTGTTCTCCATATTCTTCTCTCGCGTAGCCACCTCCTTCTCCCGGTCCTCCAGTTTTTTCTTGCGCTCGTCCACCTCTCTCGTGAGGTTGTTCATGTCTTCGTGAACATCCTGGAGTTTCTTAGCATGGCTAGCCTGCGCATTAAGTAGATTGTCTGCATGCGTGGTGACGGATTGCTTCGGCAAATTCAACTCAGTTTCCACATGGGCAAGTTTGTTGCGTAAGCCACTTGAAATCGCCTTCTTCTCGGCTAGTTTTGCAGCCGTCTTCTTCCACTCATGCGCTATCACGACTACTGCTATCACCACTGCCATCATTCCTGAGTTCGGCCAGCTCCTTCGCAGGGGCTGCTAACTGCTCCTCTAATCTCCTTGAGCGTGCTTGCTCCTCCTCCAGCGGTCGAGCCCCTTTCTGCTTCTCTTCATCCAGCTTCTCTCGGAACTGCTGCAGTGCTTGCGAAATGGTATTTTCAAGATGCGCATACTCCCCTCGCAAAGGGTGGGTTTGCAGGCTCCGAGCTGGGGCACCTTCCACCTGCACGGCCACGGGTGTCTGCTAGATTGGAGACCCTGGAGCTTGGTCTGACGCTAGCGATGCTTGGTTTCTGGCTGCGGTAAGCTGCTGAGCCGCCTGGATGTCGCATTGCTCGATCGCCAGGTGCTCGGCTCCGCCACGTTGCGATAGCTTCGACGAACTCGATCCAGCGGTCTGCGCGTGTGCATCTGCTTTCAGGGCTTGGTCCGCTAAGTAAACCTCGTAGAACTCTTTCAGCAGCGCAGGCTCGTGACGATGGAGCTCTTCTGGGTTGTTTTTGAACGCCTTGAATTGAGTCAACTTGCTCAAAGCCTCGTAGTCCAAGTCGTTGCCACTGTTCCTAGCAGCTGTGTATTTCTCCGCCCACACACGCTTCTGGTAGTCTACCATCTTGTAGTAATCACCTGCCTTGCGCCGTGGGCCTTGCCGGCGCTCGTCCTTTTCGTCTGCGATCTTCTTTTGTAGAGCCAAGCACGTGGACCGGAGCGCGTGCTTGGGTACCAGGGGAGTCGTCTCTTCATCGCGAGTCATCGCCTCGTCCTCCGATGCACTCGCGGCGCCCAACTCGCGCGTCGTCCCGTTGGATCCTTCGCCAGTCTTCTTGGCAGTCTTCCTCTGCTTACGGGTGCTTGGCGAAGTGTCTGGCCCTTTCCCCTTCTTCCGCTTCTGCTTGGCATTGCCGGTGGCAGGCGTGGTCTTGGCAGCGTTTGCTGACTTGTCAGTAGGCGCGCTCGTCCGCTTTGTCGCTGGCTTGTCCGTCGCCTTAGCAGCTTTCTTGCTCCTCGTCATGGGCGCCTGGCGAGCAGCACTGCCAGTAGTTCCCTCGCTCTCTGCAGCCTGAGATCGCTTCGCCATCAGCATCGCCATCAGCACTTTGCTGCAGTCAAGGTTCTTTGAGAAAGTGAAACCGCAAATCCTACAGTTGAAATAAATTGATGTGGACCAATTCGATTTGGAATCAAGAGGACGTTAAGTCAACGTTGACTTGGTATAAGTCGTTGTTGAGCTGGCTTCAGTAACGAGTGTCTAAGCCAGCGTAGACACGTTCCAAGTCGTAGTCGACTTGGTGACTCAATGAGATATGTACGAGTAGATGCACATGGTTGTCTTTACAAAAAGATGCAGAAGTGGTGAGATAAGCGCCAACACAAGAGTGGATACGTCACATTAGAGATTTACTGAAGCTACCAGTCACCTCGTCGGCATTGCCGGAGCACGTTAGCGATCACACATAAACTCTTCCAGCGTGATGATGCAGGCGCGCGGCCTATTGACGGTGGTCAGCTCGTTATCGATGTGCAGCTCATTGACGGTGTCCACCTCGTTGTCGGGGCGCGGCTCCTCCGGTGCGTTGTGTCTCCAGATATTGAAGTACTCCACGAAAGTGCGACCAGCGATAGCGTGGCCAACACGATTAGCTCGTTCCAAGAGCTGTGTTGCTTCCGCTATGCCAGGGGGCATTCAAACGCAGCAACCGCAAGTTTGTCCGAGGGAATGTGCAGATCCTAATAGCGCTCAAAATCATCCATCCGAACGTTGCAGTTGTCGACGATAACGATATCCACGCCACGGTCGGGGCTGCGCCACAAGAGTTCTCTGCATTGTTCGTAGCAGCTTCGATGCGCCTCCCAAAGCAGACTTGCGTCGAACACATAGGATCCTCCGCGCTGGAAGAAGAGATCAGCTGAGCAAATTGATGCGCGGAAATCAAGCGTTGCTGCATAACAAGCGACCTCTTGAGCAAACGTTGTCTTGTCACTGCCCGGGAGGCCTCTCATGATCACGAAGAGCTGAGGCGGGTACTGCATATACGCGCGGCAGTCCTCCCAATACGCCCGGTAGTCGTCAACGATTTGTCGGGCTTTGAACTCCATTTCTCACACGTCGGATGTAGTCGAACCTCCAAGATTCCGCTGCTTCTGATGTTGACCACACCATATCACCGACCATGTGTGAACCACACATAAGGTAAGTCAACATTGACCTGGGATAGTCAACATCGCCATCTTGGCCGGACCCGTTGCGCTCCTGGACGATCTCAGCGGCGTGGGCGATTGTCGGCCTGCATTTCCGCGAGCCCGGCCACAGCGTCACGGCGAGCGTAGCGGTAGCGGGGACAGCGAGAGCATCATGACGAGCATGGCGGCGGACGGCACAGCGAGAGAATCATGACGAGCATGGCGGCGGCGGCATGGGCGACAGCAGCACGGCGAGCATAGCGGCGGCCAGAGTAATGATCAGCAGCATGGCGAGCTTGGTGGCGACCGTGGCGGCGACGGTCGATGCGAGCCGGGCGACGGCATAGTTGGAGAAGCGCGCTGGAGCAGTAGCTGGTGGTTTCGGAAATGAGGTTTGGGATTGAGCGCGCCGAAACGATCTTCTGGCACGGATCGCAGCGCGAGCGTGATTGGCCGCGAAATGGCTGGCCAATTACACGTCGCAAATTCAAACGATGAGGGCGCTGATTGGCGTAGATACCGGAGAGAACCCACGGGCGAAAATCTGCGTGTTGCGCGAACTCAAAGCGCAAGTTGGAAAGCGCGCGAAAAGCTGTGTGTTGCTTGATGGCTGAAGCCAGGCTGATACCATTTCGTGTGACCTTTGGATTGAGCCAATGCTGATTGGCTTATTAGCTTCAACTTCAACCCTCGATAAGCACTCCGAATTATAGTAGTTCTTGATTTAGTGACTACCTAGTACGAGGGCATTTATTTTGCAGTTCTATAGTAACTTACTTTTGCAGGTTCTTCTGCAATAGAAATGATGCCTGTACGTCGCTCGCCTCGCTGCCTAGGCCAGTGTGGTGTCCTCACAAACCGCGGTACCCGTAGATATGAAATACCAACCAATGCGTGCACACGGTTTCTATAGGTGAGCGCTAGCACCATTGATCTTGTCCGTCGAAAAAGCTCTGTTTCTGGGTGGTCAAAAGCTCACGAGACAGCACACTAATTCCCTCCTGTTCCTCGACAACACTGATACGAATAGACGCCAGTGACTTCAGCGAGGAATACACCGCGCTAGCTAAGAACACGAACCCCCTCCCCCTCCTTTATTTTACTGCGATTTACTACATATAGGAGCCCACATACTGCTAGACCTCCCGTGCTCACCGGAATGCTGCCCGACGGTCGCCCGCGCCGCCGCTGCCACGCTCGTCATGATGCTGTGGTTGTGCCGGCCGCCGCCATGCTCGTCATGCTGCTCTCGCTGTCCCCGCTACCGCTACGGTCGCCGTGACGCTGTGACCGGGCTCACCGGAATGCTGCCCGACGTTCGCACTCGCCGCCGCCGCCATGCTCGCTGTTCATCTGTACCACTATGCTTGCCGCAGCTATGCTCGCCGTGCAGCAGTCGCTGCTCCGGGTGCCGCTATGCTTGCCGTGAAGTTTTCTGGCGAGCTTCGATGCCTCGCTGATCTGGAGTTCCAGCGCCTCACGATGTCAATGTTGACATTCCCCAGCCCAACGTTGAATCCCTCTTCTTTACATGCACGTAGGTGGGTGTGCGGCCGTCATGCCCATCGTTTCGCTTCTCGCGAGCTCGGTCGTGATGCCCGTTGCCATGTAGCGGGTTACGTGCACGGTGAGTGCGACGCCGAGCGTGTATTCATCACTGTGAAAATAATGTTGAGGAGCTCTAGAAGCAGTTTAGGACATCTAGCAGTACCAGTCTATTTGTTATTGCCAAAGGAATCTGCTAAGCAATTCACCTGCGATGTCAACATTGGCACTTGCATCTCAACATCGAGATATTACTAGTATACGATCTACTCTGTCGTGCTTCGTATCCCGATGTTGCTCATTTCCCACAAATCCTATATAGACCTCCGATACTAGACGAGCTTCGTTACCAGGTTGATCGGGTGGAGATCCCGCCTCAACACACTTACGTATTAGGCGATGGTACGATTGCATACCACACCGGATCTGTGACTCCTGACACCTTTCGGTTCCTGACGTCGGTGGATGTGGCATGCATTGTTGCTCAGCATGTCAAACGTGCAGTCCATCATGTTGTGATTCATCCACACCCACGATCAGCGAGGTTGGCTGCTATGTGGGCTGGTCGGCGATAGGGACACTCAAAGAAAAAGTTCAAAGACCGATGTCGGCGGGTGAGACAACAGAAAGCGCTTGCACTAGTTTCCGCGACATCAGGCAAGTGGAAAACAGAACCCGCTGCGATAGGAGCTGCATTGGCAACTATTAAATGGAATTCGATTCACAAGATCAGGGGGCATATCCACTAGATGTACAGTTGCTTTACCGGCTCAAACATAAGAGGGGGGAGATGTATGATGTGCAACATGGTGAACGACGTTGTCCGCTGGATTTGTGCGATACCAGCACGTCTGCGACACATGCGCACGTATTTTGGACGTGCCCACATGCTGTAGCTCTATGGGATGGGCTTTGGCAGAAATGGTGTGCAGTAGGGCTAGATCCAACTTTGGTCACGCCACGGCGGGTCTTCGAATTTAAAGTTCCGCTTGTTCCACCGGATATTTGGCGCCATATAGAAGCTGACCACCATCAAATGTCCGCCAAAGACCGGAACACCGTACAGGACAACATCGGCGACGTTGTGCAGGATATGGGGGCGCTGTCGATCGTTGTAGTGTTACGAGTTATTTGGCGCGTATTTTTCGGATGATCCTCAAAATGATGTCACTGAAATCCGATACCGCCAGGTATTGAGCGCACAATTGCGGCGGGGGTACATTGCCGTCATAAACAGCTATCGCTGGGCCCCTCGGGCAGACACCAAATGTCTGATAGGAAGCACATTTATGGAGATGATGGAGGCGCAGCCAGAGCATCCGCAGCCGGTTCCACGGACGCCAACCATTCAGCATCTTCTATTCTTTGACGGTGGATCACGAGGTAATCCAGGCCCTGGAGGTAGCGGGGCAGTTATTGTACGGCTTGATCCTGAAACAAATGCGCATGAAGTGATATGGGTCAACAGTATGTCGTTAGCTCAACGACGAACCACGAACAATCGTGCAGAGTTTGTTGGACTCATCATGGGTCTACGGCGAGTGGAGCAACTGCAGCATCCTAATGTGCATGTAGTGGGTGACAGCGCAGTGATAATTGGTATGCTGCAGTTGCGACGGACCCCTCGGTCTCAATCACTACAAGGACTTTACTTGGCGTCACGACGGATGGCAGATCGAATTGGGGTTCGCAGCTGGACGCATCACTACCGCAACAACAATAAGATGGCTGACGGTTTAGCCAATATCGCTATGGATTCACAGCGAAGCGTGCAATTTGCCCCGTCCGCTGGCTACGAGGCGTCGTTCTTTCCGATGGACACTGTTTTGAATTACTTGGAAAACGATGTGAATCACTGGATCTTCAACTCAGTCGCAGCCGCGGACGGTGACGAGCAAGAGGTGATTTCGATGCATTAATCTACATTTTCAACTAGGACTCTGACTGAGTCGACTCTTGTACCCCGATCTCAAATGCAATACAGAGAACGGAAGGGAGTTCAGTTCAGCACGGCGCGGTAGGAATAATAAACACCAGTGTAGTGTAAGTAACCTAAATACACCTTATTCTATCGTAATCCCACCAGGAAAACTGGATTAGGAATCGGATTCGGACATTTGCGAAATCTCTCTATTATGCCCGAACTTACAGAAAGGTTATCAATCTCCTAAGGTAAAGTGCCAGTTACGTGCCTACAACCAGTTCTGTGCCTACTTGTTTAAGCCAATTAGCATCTTCTCCTTGTTAAACTCTCGTAGTCTATTGGTTGATTTATCCAGCGTCACTTTCAATTTCCGTGATGATCCTCCTAGGATTTGCATAGCATACGAAAGTGCTATCAAAAAGAGGCAGGAAACTGGCAGCTCACTCCAAATCAACAATTTTTTCAAAACAATAACAAGAAATCCTGCAAAATGGACACGGGCCAGCGTGAAGTGCATAAATTCAGCCTAAACACGCAGATTTAGCAGGCCCAATTAGATTTCAGAATGGGCAATTCAATGAAAAGTTATGCCACAGTAAGTCCGCAAGTTCGAAGAACGGCACGAAACTGACAGAAGACCTTAGTATTAAAAACGATATAGTTTGAAGTTTACAAATTTAGCGAACTTAAAACTCCCATAATTGGTGTTTCGAAGTATGATGAGATTCTCGTACTTGATATATATATATATATATATGAAATTCACGTACGATAAAGTATATTTGAGACAACGGCAACAAAAATGTTACTTATCCACCATTTAGAGTTATCGAGATAATCGCCTTAAAAGAGGCCAGGTTCAAAATCGTACCTAAACGAAGTCGTGAGAAAACGAGGAGTTTTGATTTTCAAAAATTTGAAGGGGGTGTATCGGCACGGATACCATTTCGAAAAGCCACTCGGACCACTACCTACAGCCATGTAGACACCACCCACGACGCCGACAGCACCGACCTCGCGCGCTGCAGCGCCAACTGCGCAGCCTGCGCAACCTCCAGCGCTGTCTCTCTCAACCTCGCCACCGGCCACCTCGGCGCCAAGCCCGCCAGCCACGGCTCCGAGTCCGCCAGCCGCGACGTCGGGTCCGCCAGCCACGACATCGCCCTCCCAGGCGCTGACTCAGCCGGCCACAACGTCCCCCTCCATGGCGCTGACTCTGTCGGCCACGGCACCCCTTGCTGCTCGGCGTCGCGAAGCAGATGAAGAGCCTGATTCTGCCGACGATTCTGCCTGTGGTGTCGATCCCACTGCTACCAGTGAGAGTGAGGTGAACGAGGACAGCAGCGACGACGACCTTACGCCTGATTCGGAGGCGTCGCCCAGCGACGACGAGGAACCGCCGACAGCAGAGAGCGCGAGCAGTGAAGCCGAAGATGAAGAGGATATTAGTATCTTTTTGAATGACGCGAGTCCTCGAGCCCGTGTGACTGAGGTGATTCATGCGGACGCGTGTGAGAACGAGTGCGTCAAGGGCAAGGCTCGTGAGTTGGAGTTCTTGCTGTGCTCGCTGGACCAGATGACGAAGCAAGAGCACACCACGAGCTTGTACACGCTCCTGGCTGTGTTGATGCAGACCCCCACGGTTGAGCGGAAGAGAGGACGGGGTGACCGTGAGAAGTTTCCGTACATCCTCCCCTACGTAGGTCATGTGTGCCGACCCACTTTCGCACTCTGCTATGGAGTAGTCCCCATTACCTTGCAGCGCTACAAGATGCGCATCCGAGACGGTAACATGTCGATCAAGGCGCATGGTAACCGGCTCAACACGCATGCAGCTCAAGTGAACGTTGTTTGGCTGGTGAAATGGTTCCAGTCTTTTGCCGAGGAGGTCGGCGAGGTTGTGCCGGTTCGAGTGCGGATGCAGAAGAAGAAAGACGGAACTACGCAGAAATACTACAGCAGCGAGATGTACACGTTACTACCAGCGCACTTCACCTGGGATACCATCTACGACGAAATGCACAAGTTTGTTGAGGCGGGCTTGCGCGTCCGTGAACCCGCTCGGTCGACAATGAGGAAGATTTTGACGCTTCACTGTCCAACCATCCGAATTCGGTCGCCACGTAGTAACGTGTGCGACGTCTGCTCCATTTACCACGCTGGAATGCGCGGCGGCGTAACCAGTGACAAGACGGAGGCGCTGGGGCGGCACACAGAATCTGCGCGTCGAATGCTGTAAGTTTTGTATACGGACATAAGTAACATTTTGATTTACTCGGCAGATTTACCTGGATGTTAGTAACATTTTGTTTGATGGCTGACAGGCGGGAGTACAAGACGGACAAGACTTCTACCGATGTCAACCACGCTGTCATCGTGATGGAGTTTTCCCAGAACTTGACACTTCCGAGCGAGTCAAACACCCCCTCGCAGTGGAACTTTTGCTCGCTGGTCTCTGTGAGCTGCTTCGGCACTTTTACGAGAACGAAGGAATCCAAACCAACTATCCGTACGACGAGACTTCGAGCGGTAAAGGGAGCGACCAGATTAACTCCATGCTGGCTCATTCCATCAGCACCAAGATCATACCGGCGGGGAAGACTCGGCTGACCGTGTACGCCGACAACTGCTCAGGGCAGAACAAAAACAACAACGTGATCAAGTTTCTTTTGGCGCAAGTACACATGGGAGCTCTACAGCACGTGGACTACAAGTTCTTTGTCAAAGGGCACACGAAGAACTCCTGTGACCGTGGTTTCGGCCACATCCGCAAGCACGTGGCCAAAGCGGATTATTGGACGATGAACCATCTCGTAGAGGCTGTTAGTTCGGCGTCCAAGAGCTCAATCACGGTGCATCTGCCTCGCGGAAGCTCAGCGTTCAAGTCCTACAAACCTATTCTCACCGAATTGTACAAACGACGTGACGGCATCCAGAAGTTCCAGATTTTCACGATGGACGCATCGCAGCCGGGCGTCGTTGTCTGCAAGAAAGGCCCCGAGAGCGAACCTGTAGAGATTAGTTTGAGCCGTCAAATTGACGGGATCTTCACCACGAAGGAGAAGGTGCAGCGGATGATGACGGACCATATCGAGACGCTGTCCCCTCCTGTCCGCAACACCGAGAAAATTGATCAAGAAGCACAAAGCTACTGCGGATCTGCCTGCTGAGCAAGAATAGGCAGCCCAAGGTTGTAGTCGATCATTATGATACTTATGTCCACAGTTCATTCAAAATGTTACTTACATCCAGATATCAAATTTTCTAAAACAATTCAAAAATATACCCCTGGTGATTTGAAGCGACGGCACAAAAGTGAGATTCTAACACTGTTAGGTTTCGAATTAGCTAAAACGGACAACATTGTCGGATTCGCTGACTAATTTTACACCAGTTCATCAAAAAAAAAATTCCCTTTCGGGATTGAAGTCGGACATATATTTTTTGACGGTCTCGTTCTCGGTCGTTTCTTCATACCAGAAGCTCGGGAGGGGCTCAAACGAAAGAGGAGACATCCCTCTTTCCAATTATGCGCCTTAATCGCGATTCGTACTTAGGTTGATAGCTAACATTTTGTTTGCCGTCGTCTCATTTAAGATAATGACGCAGATGCACATATGATATTTTATAAGGATCGCTAAGTAAATAACATTTGTGACATATCTAATAACTATGAAAGCCACAGCGCCACGATGCTAGCGTGAAGTGTGTTCAGTTTCGATTGGAGAGCCTCCGGAGCTCTTGCGATGCACTGTAGGCTGAGTGCAATGGAGGGATCTGCGTCTAGCCTGGGACGCTTCCGCTCAGCCCAAAATGATATTTCATTAGTAATGCCAAGTCGCCGTAAGGAGTCTTTACGGCGAGTTGGCGTGACATTGGGTTTTCAATGGATGGAAGTTCCAGCTCTGCAGGAGCTTCCCATTGCTGGGATGTTGTATTAAAAGTCTACCTATCCAATCTATCTCAACACGAACTGGTTGCAATACATTGAGAAGGCAGGAAGAAATGTGCATGCGTATAGTCAATTGGGTATGATATTGCAATATTTTATCTTACACGTTCACCGGCATGAGCGGCGAGTACTCCTGCCGCCGCTTGTGGCGCGCCATAATGCGCACGCCGGCGACCACCACAACAATAACCCCCACTGCCACGCCCACGAAGCTCCAGAAGATGACCATCACGGGCGACGATGGCTGCATGTCGCGGTGCAGTCGCTGCTGCTGCTCCAGATTCGGGGTCGAGGCCACGTGGTTCGTGCTCAGTAGGTGCGCGGCGCCACCGAAGTCGCACGTGGCGCCCGAGTGGCGGTGTGCATGCCAAAACTCGTTGAACGCCCAGTCGGCGCGCTCCTCGAGCGTGAGGAGCTTGGACTCGATTTCGGAGCAGTCGACATGGTCGCCACTGCACGCGTAGTCGAGTCCGCGCTCGAGGTCGTCCGGGTGCACGCCGCGCTTGGCCGCGCACAGGAATTCACCGCGGTCCTCCTTCTCGCAGGCCGAGAAGACGTCCTCGCTGTCGTGGTAGTGCGAGACGTTCTTGGGGAACGCGCCCTGCCGCACCAGTTCAAGGAAGTTCCAGCGCGAGCCAAGCTCGGTCTTGAAATTCCAAAAGTACCAGCCGTGGCCTAGCGCGAACGCGTTGAGCTTCTTGAGGTTTAAATTGCGGGCGAACTCGGCGTCGTCGTCCTGCTCGAAGGCCGTGTCGCTGGTCACGGGGCACTTGCCGAATGCCGGACCCGACTGGCCGGTGCCGTACGGTCCCTGAATGGGCTTGGTGATGTCGAGCGGCGTGCCGGGGAAGCCTTCGCCCAGGTAGGTGCTGTGCACGGGGCAGTCCACCATGCGGCACTGCGTGTTGGGGAAGCCCGGCAGGTTGTCGTTGAAGCCGTTGAGCCACATCGCGCAGTTGTCGGTGCCCAACGACCACTCGCCAACAATCACCGGCATGACGGCGTTCTCCATATCGGCGATGGTGTACTTCTGCTGGCAGGCGTTGGAGAAGTAGTCGGAGCGCGTACCCGGAGCGTTCCAAGCCTGGTAGATGTGCGTGTCCAAGGCGATGTCCGGGCACCCGACCATGAACTGCGACCAGTACTGCACGCCGAAGCGGAACGAGTCGTGGATCACAAATTTCCAGTGCGGGGCGCGCGCCTTCACGCGCTTGTACGAGCGCCAGTAGTATTCCTTGAGCAGATCCATGGGGGTGAGCTCCCAGGGCTCATTGGCAGGCTCGAGTCCGACGATGGCCGGGTGCGAAGCGTATCGCTCGACGATCGCGACGACCGTGTCGAGCGAGTGCACCATGTGCTCGTAGTTGATGGACGTGTACGTGGCCGACTCGGCGTCGAAGCTGCCGACCCACTCGGCGGATCGAACGGGCCAGTGTTCGAACATCGTGGCGCCGACAGGCTGCGTGCTCATAGTCGACGTCCACCTGACGGTGGAGCTCTTGCCGCTGTTGTCGAAGCCGTTCTGCGAACCCTTGAGCCCGTGGATGTCGAGCAGCAGGTCAATGTCGTACTTGGCCGCCAGGTCGGCCACGCGGTCGAGCTCCTCGACAGCGCCGTCCGTGCAGCCGACGTAGGGCTCGTAGGGCTGGAACATCCAGTCGCCCACCGGCACTCGGAGCGAGTTGACGCCGGCCTCCGCCATCTCCTTGATGTCGGCTTCCGTGACCCAGTTGGCGTAGTGGATCCGGAGCTGTCGGTTCGCCTCCTCCTTGCCCAGCGCGGTGCAGAAGGAGTGCGTATCCATCGCCGTCTTCTCCGGGGCCTTTTCACCGTAGCGCTCCTGAGTCCCCAAGAACTGGTAGAAGAGCGAAGGCGTGATCCAAGGCTCCAGCACGAGCCAACCGCCGAGGTTGGCTCCGCGCACTTGTTTGTCGAAGGGTGTGGCGTGCAGGTCACTGGAGCACGTCTGGTTCGCGTCGTTGGGTCGGAAGTTCGCGAAGAAGCCCGTGTCGGCAGCGTATGCCGGGTCTTCCTCGTTCTCCCAGAGCCACTTGGCCTCCTTCTCGACGGTCTCAGCCGCCGAGAGACTCAGCGCCGTCGTCAACACGGCAGCTTGGAACAGGGAATTGCGCAGCACCATCGTGGAATTGCAGTCAAGTCGTCGGGTGTGGCGAGGTGGCTTGGTGGGGTGGTGAGCAAAATTGAAAGTGAGCGGAGCGAGAGCGAGCGAGCGCAGCGCTACACCTCGGAAGCAGCGCTTAGCAGAGCTAGGGACCGTGACTTCGACCTTGAGACGATCGTCGGTGGGTAGACCATGTTGTATGTACCTCCTCTTGTGTTGGTTTCAACGTCTCGAGGGTGATGTCGTCCGGCTGCTTGCCGGCTGAGCGACTATCTAAGCGAAACTTATCCTCTCGATGGGAGAGCATTCTTGAGGCGGCGCCCGCTTCGCCTTGCTTGCTTGCTCAGCGAGCCTGTCCCGTCAAGAGGATGCCCCCTACTCAGCAAACAAAGCAAAAAGGCCAGCTGGTACAGTGGGGGGCATCCTCCGCACAAAAGGAAACAGCGGTGAGCCAACATGCTTGCAGTTGCAGCCGCGATTGAGTGAACTTAAAGTTCTTGCTCTTGTCGTTAGCTGCGGTGGACGATCCTACGCGCGCGGACTGCGGCCCACGCGAATTGGCGTGCTGTTGTCAGCGACAGGAACATGTCCGTGAACTTGTCGTCCGTCGTCGGGTCGTCCGGCGGTATCAGTTCCGCCCTCCTCAGGATTTGCCGTGTTTGCCAGCTCGGAGTGGGACCGCGTAAATTTGCCGACGGCCGCGCGCAATTGCGGCTGAAGCAAACGGCCAGGTGCGAGCATAGCGCGGATAACGGACGCAGCCACTTGGCAACAACAACGGACAACAACGGACAACAACGGAGCATGTAACGGACGCGTGTTTGACTGCCGGATGTTCCGGCCTCGAATACGGACAAGGAATCGTCTACATCTCCACTGCTAGAGAAATCGTCTAGCACGATGGGGGGACTCTGACGGGAGAAGAAGAAGTGGCTGCACTCTACAGGAGGAGGGCTGGGCCTCCCTCGTGTGAAAATTTTTCACATCTCGTTGAGCTTATCCTCGTTGTATCCATGTACGCCGACCATGTGGGTTCTACACTTCAACATGCTGGATGAAAGATCTCCTTCTCCGAGCACGGAATGCTGCTCTCTCGTGGGAGCCTCAGCCGTACTGTACATGTACATGTACTGCTCCCTCGATTGCTCACCTTTGCTCCCATGCTAATTTTCAAGCAGATATTCCTTTCCTTCGCGTCTTCTCCCGACTCTTTCGTCTTGGGGTGCAGGTGAACTCCATAGCGTCCCCTTAAGGCCTACATGACATGTAGGCTTCAATACATGTTGTACATGTATTTATACGGCTGCTGTTGCTCTCTTTGCGGGGCTGTCCAGTAACTGGGTGGAAATGTGAAGTAACAGAGGCCCTGCATGAGCACTGAGTCGACGTACGAGTGCGGCGTGACAAATTTAATGTGCTGGTATTCGCCGCGATGCCAGCTGCATGGATTGATAGACTGTATCCCTGCGTTTGAGGAGCCGGGCCTCATTTTGAAGTACGCGGAATGGGCGCATCTGCGTGGAACAAGAGGGTCGCGCAGTAAGCCGCGGTACGTGCATGCAGTGCACATGCAATACGTGTGACTCCTCGTCTTCGAAACATCGTGACTCAAACAAGCACGTCCGATATCCGGGTAACTGGGCGACTGCTGGGGCGGAGCGGGTACCGCTGGTTCACAACTACACTGCATACTCCGCCCAAGATCCTCTCACAAGCGTGTGCGGGGTCAGCATAAGCTTCGCGCTCTGCTCGCACTAACGGCTGCACCCGACCGGCCGTCATAGCACTCTCGATCCATGTCGGCCCAATGCACGCTGGTCTCGAGTATCTATTAGGCTACTAGCTCGCCTGTGTACTTGGTTAGGTAGCTCGCCTAAGGGCATCTTCTTGCAGGGACGCTCTAAAGTAAAGTGACCGGAAGTTGCTGAAGTATATCTCGATTTTAATGAATAGGAAATCCTAGTTCTTCCCTGCTAAGGCTCAAGGAAAAATCTGATCATGAATCAATGAGCTACAATTCGACAAGTCTCGCGTGCCTACTGTTAGATACAAGACGAAGCGACTTTTAAAATCCCCCAACTTTGAATAATTCGACTGCGACTTTAGTTAACGTACACCATGATGAAAACTCAAAAAGTAGACCCAGGACAATATAACTCAAGGTAAACTCGTGTAGCATTCATTACCTGAACCACAACGCTTTTCCTTACCGGTGCGTATGAGTTACTTTAGTTCGTCGGCACAGCTCAAGAGATCACCCTCCAATTCGAGGGCTATGCAGTCTTCGTCGAGGTCAAAGAGCTGGTGCCTTCAAATCCAGCCTGTGAAATGTTGAGGTGTACTTGAACGCCCGGTAAAATACATAAACTACTCACAATCAGGAGGAACACGAACACCCCCAATCCGATGGTAAGTTTTCGGAGTCCGTGGCTTGAGCCACCACCACCACTGTCGCCCTGCGCTATTTCCAGGGTGTTCGCTTTTATTCATGCTCGTCACATGCTTCAAAATAGTTTTGTCGATGGTTGAAACCCCTCCATGCTCTACAGACACGAGTTTGCGGGTCTAGCGGAGGACCAAGTACCTGCCACCTCCTTCCTGCGCGGATGCGGTTGGGCCCTCCTTCCAGCTCATGGTCCTCAACAAAGTGTACGCAGCCGCCGCAGACGACGAGGATGGCGTGACGCTGGCATCCACAGAAGACGGCACTCAGCCTAGCTCTCGACCTCCATTACTCAAGAAATTATCAGTAAAATCCGCCTCCAGGAAGCCCAAGGAGCCATTCCACCGCCGATTACAGCGCAATCTACTCAAAGAGTACAACAAACTCTCATGGAGTACACGGCAGACGATCAGCGTGGCCATCAGCCTGTTTGCGGTGCTGTACGCGTTCGTGTCGGTCCCGTTCCGGATCGGATTCCTGTATAACCCGTTCGACGCAACAAATGAAGAGCGACGGCAATGGACGTGGGAGCTCGCGGTGTTCACGCCCATGGACGTGGTCACCGACCTGATCGGAGTCTTGGAGTTCGTGAATTTCTACCGGTTATGGAGGAACGCGCTCACGCACAAAGAGAAGGAAACCAACTTCGATAAAGACGCCAAGCTCATGCGCGGGATCTCCAAGCGACTACGGAACACGAACGTCTTGCTGCGTGCTAGATCGTCCGTGGGGCTGCGACAGGGGAAGGCCAAGTGGACGCTGTCAAATATCGGGCGAACCACGACGCTCTACGACAGCACGTCGGACGATCTAATGCTGGAGAAGCAGTCCCGCGCTGCGAGGAAATGGGAGTTCGCTCTGGAAATCATCGCGCTTATACCGGTCGAGCTGATCCCGCTAGCGCTCGGACTGTACGACTTGCTCCACGTCGCGCGCCTTAACAAGCTCTGTCGGTTCTACAAAGTGCGCCGCTGTTTCGCACGACTGAGCAAAATTTACTCGGATCGTCCGTGGGTGCAGCACCTCTCGTCTACGGGTATCCGAAGTCTCGTCCGCACTATCGGGTACTGCGCTGGGGCGTGTCATTGGGTGGCTTGCGGCTATATGTTCATCGCACACGCTCAATGCGGAGTCTCTCTTCATCACTGTGACCCCGAGATCGAGACGAGCTGGGTAGTACGCGATCGACTGCATGGAGCTACAGTTAGTCGGAAATACGGACGCACGCTCTACTGGGCGTCGAGAACGATGGTTCTACTTGGGTACGACGACGTGACCCCCGTCTCGAATGGAGAGACGATCTACGGCATTTTTGTTCAACTGGTTGGCGCGCTCTTCAGCTCGTCCATGCTGGCCACGTTCCTATTTATTTTCCGCTTTCGCAACGCCCGGTACGCGGCGTACTCGGCCCACGTGGACAACGCGCGCGAGTACATGCACTCGAATAACATCCCGCGCGTGATTCGACACAAGGTGATGGCGTATTTCGCCTACACTTGGGACACCCACCACGGTCTCGACAGCGAGGAGGCTCTGCATCTCATGCCCAAGCATCTCCAGTCGAAAGTTGTGGCCACACTAAAGGCGAGTCGCATCCGACAAGTGAGTTTCTTGGCCAAGGAGAGCGTCGAGTTCATCAACTTACTCGCTCTCGCACTCGAGAGACGCATCTACTCGCCCACCGACCGAATCATCGAGCCGCGGACGACCGCGCACATGTTCTTCGTGATCCGTGGCAACGTCATGATCACCCCAGTCAACGGGAACCCGAGGGAGTGCTTTAACGGCGATTACTTTGCAGAGGTTTGCTTGCTGTTTCCAGAGCAATATATGGAGAAGGCCGTCGCCAGGACGTTCTGCGAGCTCTACGTGCTGGCCAAGGCCAAGTTCGACGACGTGGTGACTCACTTTTACCGTGGCAATGAGTCTGCAGTGCTGGCTCAAATGACGGAGTCTTTCGACAGGTATACGACCCAGCAACGCAAGACGCAGAAAGTTCTAGGCAACGATGGCCGAGATCGCAGCAGTCTGCGCATGTCTTATCGGCGCACGAGCGACGTGTACATCCCGGGCATGGGACCGAAAAATATCAACTGGAACTTCCCCGACTCGAACTTCCGCATGATTTGGGATACGCTGCGGCTTCTGGGCGTCATTTACGTCGCGTTCGAGGTCCCGTACTACGCCGTGTTCGTCTCGATGGCCGATGGGGAGAACATGTTCGTGGAGACCTCGTTCATCACGCTCCGATACGTCTGCACGCTTCTGATCGAGGTCTTCTTCGGAGTTGACATCGTGCTACAAGCTCGGTTTCTGGCGTATCTGGACCCTGTCGCCATGCTGAACGTCGAGAACCCGTCGCTCATTTTCGCTGCGTATCGCGAGAATGGCTTTTACTGGGATTTACTGGCGTGGTTGCCTGTAGGGCTCATACTGGAGTCTGTGCCGAGTGGCGCGGACTACGCGTGGTTCTTACGACTGCTGCGTCTGTCTCGATTGCGCTTGTTCCCGTACTTGCTGCGAGAGCTGTTCGACGTGTACAGCTTGAGCTCCAAGATCCACCTCTTCATCTCGCTGTTGCTGAGTGTGACGCTGCTGTTGCATGTTGTCGGGTGCGGGTGGTTCGAGACGGCGTGGATTCCTCGTGACACGCAGTCTTTCAGTGACAAGAGCATGGCTACAATGCATGAACTCACTCGACCCGAGTGTCTTCGCCAAGCCACGTTGTATGGTAACTGTTCGTGGATCAAGTTCGACTGCTACGGTAACGTCGGAGAGGTGTTCCCCGTTGAGGACAGTGCGTCCTCCTATGAGGGAACCTTTGCCTATGTCCGTGCAGTTTATTGGTCGGTGATCACTCTGACCGCGGTCGGATATGGAGACATCGTGGCGTTCTCCACTGCGGAGAGCTACTTTGCCGCGATATGGATATTTATCGGTGGAATGATCAATTTCGGCGTGGTCGGCGCCATGTCCAGTACTATCGCCAACGCCATGGCCGCACGGCACCACCACCTCGAGCTGCTGAACACGCTGAACAGCATCATGGGCCGACTGTCCATCTCGGAGAAGCTCAGCGCCGAGATCCGGCGGTTCTACATCCACCACTTCACGGGCCGCAAAGTGGCCTACGAGTCGCAGCTTCTGTCCCATCTTCCCGACCAACTGTGCTACCAGATCTCGTCGCTGCTGCACGCTGAGGCCGTGAAGAGCGTGAGGCTCTTTGACTCCGCTAGCAGGAAGTTTCTTCAACAAATTACGGGCAAGTTCCGACATCGCACGTACGAGAATGGGGAAACTATTTTCCTCGAAGGCGACGTGTGTCGAGAGTTTATTGTTTTACTACGCGGGAGTAAAGTGAATGTCTTCTTCCGCACGCGTAAAGTACCTGCGCGCGCTCTTCAGGAAGGAGATTGCTATGGAATCCACGAATTTTTACTTCGCCGCGCGCATGCCGCTACGTTGACAGCGGCTTCAACAGTGCACGCGTCCGTCATGACTCGCGTGGAATTTGACGTTATTCAACGCAAATTCGACGAGGACGTGCGGAATTTGAAGTTAGAGGCGCAGATGCTGTGGGACGAGCAGCAGACCTGCCTTCGACGCGTTGTCCGGAACCTCGAGAGGCTCAAGCTGAAGCCGCATGTGCTCCAGACCCCCAGTCTCTTCTACCAACCGGACACTGTCGTTGAAAGCGCCACCACTAGCAGTAGCAGCACTCGTAAAACCAGCAGTACAGCAATTCGAGACTCGTACGCGACCCGCACGACGTTCATCCATGCGTGGAACGCCGGGGTCACTTTCTGGAACGTGTACAACGCCTTCTTCGTGATTTTCCGGGTCGGCTTCCACTCGCATCTGCACTTTTCGAGTGAATTGAACCTGGTTGTGTGGTTCATGGACTTGTGTGGAGATATTTACTTCGCGATGGACATTTATCTTCACTTATATTTCTTCGGCTGCACGGACGTCTCGGTGAACAACCTCCTGCATCGCAAATGGGTCGACCGCGTCTACCGTCGCAGTACGGCGTTCAAATGGGACCTCGTGGCTTCGTTGCCGCTTTACGTCCCGTTCTCCAGTGATTCACTTATCGTCAGCGTTTGCCGACTGCCGCGTCTAATTCGCTGTCTCGATCTATGGGTTTACTTGGACGAGGTCATCGTGCAGGTACAGCAGCACTTTGCATCTCGCAATGTATCGGCGTATCTGGGTCCAGTCAAGTTGATGATCGTCCTCGTCCTGGTCGCGCACTTCGTGGGGTGCATCTTCCTGTGGATCTCCGAGCACGAGTGCGAGTACTACGAGAACTGCTGGATGGCGCACGACCACCTGCTGCACGAGTATCACCACGCGCTGCCTGTGCTATATTCTAAGACTTTCTACTGGGCTATCACGACTTTATTACTTGTGGGCTCGCGTGAGATGGTGCCTCGAGACATTCTCGGTACAATCTGGACGCTGATCACGTGTCTGGGCTGCACGTTCGCCATGGGGTACATCGTCGGCGAGATCTCGGAGCTGATCCTGGATTTGGGCAAAGAAACCAAGAAATACAAGAACCGTATCGCAAATTTTGAGAGTTTCGCGCAGGCGAACGAACTCCCTGAAAGTTTGAGGGAGCGCATCGGGTTCTTCTTCCGCGTGCAGTTCGAGAGCACGCACGGCCACGATTTGGACCACACGGTGCACAAATTGTCGGCGAACTTGCGACTGAGGTTGATGCTCGAGATCTACGGCGGATCCCTCGCTCGACTCCCGATTACCCACTTCCTGTCGTCTGCGCAGATCAACAACATGGCGTTGCGGCTGCAGTCCGAACTCTACATCCCGGGGGATAACATTCTAGTTGAGGGAACGTTGGGCAACCACTTGTGTACGCTTCGGAAGGGGTTGGCTGCCGCGTTCTGGACGAAATCCGTCTCCAGCGTTGCAGTGATAATGGAGGGCGCTCTGTTCGGAGAAGCAGCGTTCTTCCTCCCAGATCAACGCCGACTCGTGACTGTGCGCGCCACCACAACATGTGAGGTTTTGTACATCTCCCGCCACGACTGGGAAGAGCTCTGGGCCCCGACCGGAGACCAATCCGACTACAAGGTGCAGAAGTACGAGCTGCACTCGATCCTGGACTGGGTCAGCAACCGCCTCCATCGATACCAGCAACGCTGCATCCACGTGGCTCGGAAGGCGAAGCATGAACTGGCAGTGCGTGAAGGACTCTCGAGCCTCATGTCATTGGCGACGCCTAATAAACGACGGTCGCACATCAGCATCTCGCAGTTCCGTCGCAGCAGCACGAATCTGCTGACCATGTCGGGCTCCTCCATGCTGTCGATCCCTCGGAACCCCCACCCGCTCTCTCAGCCGCCTCGACTGACTCAGATGAAGTCGTTCCTGTCTCCAGAGCTGCAGCAACTGCACAAGAAGGCCAAGTATCTGCTGGAGAAAACGGACAAGTACGCGCAGTTGGTGCGTCCTGCCATCGCCGCGATGCAGATCCGTCGTCCGACCATGACGGCCAACGGAATGTCCACCAGGACGCTGCTACGCGCGATGACAGTGAGAAACGCGAGACGGAGCGTGCTCTGGGGGATGACGACGAAGCGGAACTTGAGGCCGATTCGTCCGACGCACGCTCCGTTATACCGCAGCAGTCACGGCGCGAGTATCCCCATCCGGGCCGCACGAAGTAAGCGAGGTGACAGTCCTCCCCGACACCACAAAGGGGCCAAGGCTTCCGCGCACAAGATCATCCAGAACCAGTTCATGGTTGACCTGAACCCCATCAACAAGCACCTCAAGACGACGCTGAGTGACGAGACCATACAGCGTCTGGAGGACGAGTGCTGGCGCAGGTTCAAGCTCATCGCAGCCATGCAGCACTGCGTGCGAGACTTGCTGGAGACGCTGATCCCGCCCGAGCACGACCTCACGAGGTCCTACAACCGAAGCGCGAGCACAGCTCCAGGGGCTCACGCGCAAGTCAACCAGAACCCGTCTCGTAAACGGTCGAGACAGCTCGAGAAGATGCACTCGGCCCACATGGACGAGCTCGAGATGCACAGGAAGGGAGCGGAGCTCTTGGCCAAGCAATCGCGGGCCAAGCACCGACGATTAGTGAATGCCGCAGCCAAACCACCAACTTCTCAGAATGGGGCACTGTTTGGGAAGTCTTCGGCCTCAAACGCGCGGAGATTTACCACGGGTATCAAGCATCTCCGTCACGGGCGTCCCGGCGCAGTCTGGAGCCCGACGAAGAACGGTCAAAGTGAAGAAGTCAGAGCCACGCTCGCGCGAATGCGACGCTGTAAATCGCTACCGAGTTTCGGCAATAAATTCTTCGAGAGCGTCCGGGAGGAGGAGGCGAATCGGCTCATGGTGGAAGATGTGTGGACTGTGGGCGCGGACATTGACTTTGAGACCATCAAGCGATGCCAGCGTCCGCAGTACGAGTCTCAGTTGCGCTTGTACCACCAGTACCGCATGTGGAAGGGTCTGGATATGGTGGAGAAGCCCGCAGCGCAGACCTCGAGTAAAGGCAGCACCAGCCGAAGACACTCGAGAAGGAGGTCACTGCGTCTGCATCTCCAAGTGACCAACAGTTTGCGTCGCATCAGCGGGAGATTCGACAACACCGACCAAGTCGATGCGCAGTTGATCTTCCAGCGCTCGCTCCGGGCTGAGGCGACAGACAGGAAGACCAAGGAGTTCATCAAGTTGGTCAAACGCATGGGCAAGGTTTGGGACGCGATCATGCTCCTGGTGGCGGTTTACCACGTCATGATCACGCCGTTCAAACTGTGCTTCCCTCACGAACTGACGGAGCTGGACGCTGGGACTCTGCGCGCTTGGGCGGGCTTTGAGATCTTCCTGGACATGTTGTGTCTGTTTGACGTCGCTCACAAGGTGAACGAGGCTTCGTTTGCGAGTCATAGCTCGGGAACAAAGGTGACCAAGTCGAAGCGGCTGAGACTTCGTCACGTACTCGAGACAAACGCGAGTCTGGTGGTGGATATCGTCGCTGTCTTGCCTCTCGAGTTACTGCTGCTGGCGGGGAGCGTCCGCGTATCTCTTGAGCACGAGGTGGCAGGCGAAGTGGACTCGAACTGGTGGACGACCCGCTGGATCTTGAGGATGAACCGAATGCTCTTCGCGTGGCGCATCGAGTCGCTCTCGGAGGGGATTCTACAGTACCTTATCTACGACTGCGACGTGGACGTCAGCGAGGCGTTTATCTCCTTCTTACGAGCACTAGCGTCGTACCTCACTATGGCGCACTTCTTGGCCTGCCTTTGGTTCGCTACCAGCTACTACGGACTGCATCAGTACGGGACTTCGTGGCTCTCCACCTCCGGTATGCTCACGTACATTGCGCCGGTTGCTACCGCTTCCCCCTCCCACCGCGCTCTGGCAACCACTACGTCGGACGAATTCCTCGAGCTCGTCCCGCTTGGACGGAAGTACCTGCGCTCTCTCCACTTCTCAATGGAGTGCATCACAACGCTCTTCTACGGCGACATTCTCTCGATGAACCGGCTGGAGCTGATGGTGGAGATCGCCATTACGTTGTGGGCCATCTACATCTACGGTGCCCTCGTAGGAGCTCAGGGAGAGCTGTTAGACTCGAGCGCCAGACGTGAAGCTAGCTTTGAGCAGAATCTGGCGGAGCTTCAGCTGTATTTGGTGCAGAACGACGTGCCCAAGATCCTCAAGCGCCACATCAAGGCGTACTACGCGCATATCTGGCACCGCTCGCACGGCGACAAGGACTTTGCTATTATTGAAGGCACCTCCCGATCTCTTCACGAGGACGTTGTAGTTGCCACGTTGCAAGACTTCGCAGTTCGAGTCGAGGTCTTCCGAGCTCTGGACGAGCCCTTCCTTCGAGCACTGCTGGTGTGTCTGCAGTATGTTGTTTGCTCCCAAGGAGAGGACGTCGTGGTCGCTGGAGATGTGGATCGCAGTATGTACTTCATTGCAACCGGTAGAATCCGCGTGCAGATTGGGGACACGGACACCCCGCGTGGCCGAGGACAATTCTTCGGGGAGCTGTCACTGCTCTACGGTGTCTCGAGACTAGAGACCTCTGTGGCCATGACTGTGGCCGAGCTCTATCGTCTCGACCATGAGCCGTACGAGCGCGTACTCGTGGACTTCCCCGAGTACCGTGTCCGGAACAAACTGGCGTGGAGTACATCCGCATCGACTTCATTCGACCGCCAAGTGCTGGAGAAGTCGGTGCAAGCCATGAAGAAGCAGGGACCGAACACCATCATCCCCATCAATATGCGCGCGATCGCAGCCGAAGAAGAGGCCAACCGCGTGGAGGCGGAAGTACCAAGGTCCTACGTGTTCCTCTCGACCATGGAGATGCTCGCGCGTCTGCATGAGGTGGACCCGCTTGAGGCCAAAGACCTCATCATCAAGTGCCGAACTGGAGCCCGAAGACACGTCAAGAAGCTCCAGCACAGGGTGACACTGAACACGATCGAAGCTGCCGTCAAGATGCTCACGGACAAACCCAAAGGCGACAAGCACGAAGACCTCGTCCAGCACATCTCGCTACGACCTGTGAAGCACTTGCAGCCTTTGAAGGACGAACGGAGGCGGCGATCCTTTGAGAATCTGTTAGTGGAAAACTTGGAAGAGGACGCTCAGCCGCCTGGGCTGTTGACCTCCCACGATTAGGTAGGAAGAGAGGAAGTATTCCATGCATGGGACAAAAATGAAGCACGTCGGCATTGCTCCTCAGTGTTGGTACCTGTGCTCCAAAAGCTGATGCTTTTTGAGGAGGAAGCCTTCGAGGTACTCGTAGTATGCCCTTCTAATAAGCAGACGGCTTGAGGGGGAGTTGTTCCAGGTTTGGGAGTCCATCTTGAAGACGCGGTGAACCATGCCGGACGGTTTGTATGCCTTGTCCAGCCAGGTCTTGAACTGCGCGTTCTGCAGCTTCTTGGCGATTTTGCTCGTCTTCTTAACCGTCGTCGCTACTTGGAGCAACTCTGCAAGCTCAGCGTCTCCGTACTGCTTCTGCAGTTTGTCATCACGACGTCGTCTGCGTTCCACCCGCTGATCTTCGAGACGTACTTTCGCCACACGTTGAAGGCGGGGTTAGTAAGAATCTGGTCCCCGACAGCGTCAAGCTTGAGGAACGCGAAGGCGTCATCAGTGCTCTGGTGGCTCTTCAGCAGCTGCGCGAGCTGGTTTCGCTTCGTCGGCTTCAACGAGTTGACAAGGGTCTTCAAGCTGGAGAACCCGAAGTTGGGACCTCTCACTTCTTCCTCTTCTCCCGTCGTATCCGTTCGCAGGAACTTCGTGGCTGGGGTGCCGCTTTCAAGAGCGCGAGCGGAAGCTGGCACCTCAACGGGGGTTGAGTCTACCACTGCAACCAACAGGATCGCAGCAATGAGAAGAAAACCACGGTAGAGGCCCATGTTCACGCTTCGTTCTTGAGAGTTGGGCGCGGAGCTGTAGGGATTGAGGCTCAAATTGAGAAGTGATAGAACGTTGAAGGAGAAGCCAACGCAGGCAAATCGCCACGCTCACCAATAAGGACTGGTCGGGGATCGGATAATGACACGGATTCACATACGAATCGGCTACCTGCTTTTCATGCAGGAGGATTCGTGGTTGAAGACATGCTGGCGAGCGGATTGCAAGTTACAATTGTCTAGTCAACACATCGCTCGCCTGTTAATGTGCATGCTGCGTGTGCGCTCCAGTAACTACGTATCGCATGCTAACACACCAGCAAGTATGGGTATTTTCGAATAGCGATTACTGACAAGGTTTGCCAACACTTAAAAAATTAAGCCGTTTGGCTCTGTCGCTGGCGTGGCAACGCAACGATCCGAGCCAGACCCCGATGTACCTGTGCAACTAACGACGGGCCGGACATTGGGTGGCCGTCGACGCACAATCGGTCGGAAGCGCGTGCTGGTTGCAGCTTTAGAGCCCTCGTTCCGATCTGCTGGACCGCTGGGCGCTTGAGATGTCGCCCGGTCTCGAGCGAGAACAACATGCGCCAGACCTCGCTGCGTGGGTGGGTGCCGTCGATGACTGTGATGTACGTGTACCCGTCATCAAGCTGAGCGCCGGGCGCCACAAACGCGGATGGCGTGGCATGGCTCGCGTTCGTGACCCACGCACTACGGAACGGGCCTTGCAACTCCGTCCATTTGCCACGACCCAGCTCAGTGAATAAATCTTGGCCAGGGGCATCTTCATCATCGCTTGAGTGCTGATGGAAATACTTCGCTGGCTGGGAGACTTCAGCGTCTTCGCGGAGGTACCATATTCTACCCGAGAATGCAGGCGTGCGAGCGATCTGTTTCCGTAGCGACATGGAGTAGCGCAGATCCCCGACAATGCCACTTGTCATGCGATCTGGAATGGCCTGACCTTCCTTAGATACTGCCCACTCGAGCTTGAGGAACGAGTAGCGGGTCTCCGTTCCGTTGCTGACGGAAGTGATGTCAAGGTCTTGTGGTCGGCCCTTGACTAAAGTGAAGGCTGAATTCACCAAGTCCAAGTTTTCGTGGCCGTGGTGGGCGACAGAGGCAGCAAGCCCGTTTGCTGAGCCACTGTCGATCGGTAGAATACCCAACGGCTGCCGAATGGCTTGCTTCCAGTCAGGTCGAGCCATGAGTCCTTGGATAACTAGAGGAGCAAACGGTAAAGTTAGCACCACACAAAAAACATCAAGACCAAGATTCCAAGCACTTACACTCATGCAGATAATTGTCGCCACCTGCTACCGCGACACACTCGAAGTGGTTGAGTGGGAGCTGTTTGGCGATCTCGCGGATGCGCTCAACATCAGCCGTGATTTCCAGAGTCGTCTCGATGTTGGCGACGCGGAACATGGGCGCCACGAACTGCTCGTACTTGCGCAGACTCCACCCTGCTCCTTCACTGGGGTCAATGAGCACGCGGAATTTCCGCTGTGGGCCTGAGATGGCCTCGTCCGGCTTGAAGAGAGCTTGAGTGTGAATTTCCTCGAGAGAATCGCGGCGCGGGTCGGCCCACTTGTTCAAGGCGTGGTGCAGTTGAGTAACGCGCTCGATCTCGTCGCCGTAGAATCTGAAAGTCCATTCTCGCAGCCGACGCTTAGTGGGGAGATCGTCCTTGTGGTGGTGCAGGTGGTGGTGGTGTTGTTGACTTCCGTTGGTCATCAATCCCTCCGAAGGACACGCGTAGAGCGCCAGCATGTAGACTCGGCGCGGGACGATGGACCGTCGACACAGCGGCTGTCCACACGCCATCTGCAGGTGAGCGCCTAGGACTTCGTCCCACTGGAGCTTCATGAAGATCGGGTCCCTTGGCTTCTCCCCCTCCTCGGAGCTGCTGCTGCTGCTTCCTGTCGACGGCGCCTTCTCGTGGCTGGCCGACTTGCGACCTCGATCCCCTGTCCTTCGGAGCCTCTTGGGCACAATGCGAAGCGTGAGGTGCGTCTTGCTGAACTCGAACTGCACCAACGGGTGCTGCGTGTGCTGCGAGTGCCGGTGCAGCCATGCGAAGCGCTCGTCAGGCGGCTGACTGCTTTCCAGGTGTAAATGTTCCAGTAACTCGGCCACCGAGCGCTGCTGCTGTTGAGGCGGCGACATGGCGGCAGAATCGGACCACGTCGAAGGAGGCAAGTTGGGAAATGGCTCGCAATCTACTGCCCCGCCACGCAGCATTTCTGCTTGGGGCAGAGTAGCCATTTTACCTATGAGAACGCATATCATTTCTAAAATAGAACACATCACTGTCCGGGAACTGCCCTAAAGCAGAAATAGGCTGGTGTATAAAGTGGGTTAGTTAGTGTCGGACGCAGCGAGGACGACCCTCGCATAATGAATACTGAAACGACGCCGGAAATCGAAAGGAATATCCTTTGCGATTGTGTGGTAAGGCTGCCACGTACCCTCGTGAGCAAGCGGTGGGGCTGTCTAGGGGCAGGCCGCAAAGGCGCGCAGCACGTCACAAGTCCCGTGCGTTGCACGATCTCCTTCTGAGGGAGTAAGATAAGTCTGCTATTGCTGCCGACATGACAGCAGTCCGTTTCGAGCGATCACAAGCTCCTGTGGCGTTCTGGTCGTGTCAGCACCTCCACCACCAACCAAGCGCCGGAGACCATTCCTGGCAGATGCCGCTGCTATTGCGCGTGGCAAGTTATCCATAAGTCGTTGCCAGGAACTCGTAAAGTCGTGACTCACGACTCGTGAGGCAGCATGACTATCGCATTGCATCGCGCAGCTGAGGACTGGATGGAGTTGCTGCTACTAACGATAACGGCGACCTTCTTGTCCAACGCAGTCGAACAGCAAAGCGATATAAGTAGGTAGCGTGAGGCGTACACAGAGACTTGTTGCATAGGCACCACGAAGCGCGCAGAGCTGCGCGACACTGTGGTGACATCTTAAAAATAAAACACCCAGCAGCCAAAACGGTCTCCAGAAGGCCATGCCTGCCGGGTCATCAACAGTGTTAGCGAATAACGCACAAGCCGATAGAATCTTACAACACAACTTCATTTAGTTTAGGCAACGGAGGCGGAAAAGCAGGTGATCGAGATTGGTCTGTCTCTGTGGAAAATGATCGCGTACACGGTTGCGATCGCCACGACTCCGGCAATCACGATGCCAACGATCGCTCCAATGCCGAGTCCGGAATCACCTTCACCAGAAGAAGACGAAGACGTGCTCGTGTTGTCCGTGGTTGCTGTCCCTGGGCTGGTGGCCGAATCGTTAGTATTTGTTGTGTCTGACGTGGTATCTGTAGCTGTCGTAGTGCTGGAGTCTGTCCCATCGGTGGAAATGCCCTCACCGCTGCTGCTGCTCCCTGTGGTAGTGGTGGCGAGCGGGGCCGCTGTATTGCCTTTGTTGGTGAACCACTGCAGCTCCTAGTTGGCGTCGCACGCGTTGCTGTCGAGGTCTGCTTTGCTCGTGCGCTCTGTGCTCAGGAAGAGGTCGTCCTCCGAGCACGACTCAGTGGTGAAATGCTCCAACGTCGCGGACCCGTTGGCCTCGATGCGAGCGGTGAACCAACTGGTAGTGGACCCCACCTCGCACTTGCCGTTCGCGATGTACACGCGGGCATACGCAAAGTTGGAGCACACATCGTCATGGTACACGGCTTGGAGGAGGTTCACGCTGCTGCCGAATCGCTTCCACACTTCATTCTGATAGTCCTTCGTGCAGACCGTGGAGGCAACGCCGTCGTACCAGCCATTGACGGACGCGGCGCAATCGGCTTCGCTGCACTCGGAGTCTTCATTGACTTCGATCCTGTACGGCGTGCCCCCACACGATGTGTCCGAGTCGGCATAGTGGATCGTCACTGAGTAAGTTGTCGCTGCCGTCTGGAACTTGTCCGTTGATGTGAAGGCGAAGATAGTCAAAGCCAACACCGCTAGCTGGCGCATTGTTCTAGACCTGCGGGCGAGTTTAGTCGAGGAGAGGTCTTTACAAACTGAGCTCTCGCTCTAGCGACCATTCTGGCCAGCCCATGCCTCAAGCGGACGCTGGAACGTTTCCGACACACTTCAAAGGCGCCGTGGGGTCGAATGGGAGAGGATCGTGAACAAATATATCGCCACACTCGCGTTTTTGCAGCCCTAAATGGCTGGAAGTCAGGCGAGTTGCCGTCTACTTTGTGCTTTTCCGGAGATAACACCAGTGGAACTGGACAGACAGCTAAACGGTAGCAATGGCGAGGACTATAAAACCTTCCACACAGTTGTTGCGCGCACCTGTTCCCTTGCCAGTTCTTCCATTTTTTGAGATGTCCGTGGCCCACAGCTACGAACAGTGAGAGCACTATGTACACCACGCTTGTGATTCGGCTGCTCGGTTGAAGTTGACGCACTCGCAGCTCCCTGGGGGTATTCAGCGAGCCCACGGCGCCATCATCTATGTGAGTTTTGCCTTACACCAAGGCCACTAGTACAGTAACATCACATTATTTGTAGCGCAAAGCTCGCACAATGATCGATTTCACATTAAGCACTTCGCGCCGAGCAATGACTAGCTTGAGCAACTAACTGCATAGAGTTAGAACTCCAGCACAAGGAGCCAGTCGTCGTCCACAGTGCCTCCCGACGGAGGCGTGAAGTCCACATGAGTGGCGTTGGCAGGGACGTTCACGGTCGAGTCCGAGTGGAATTCGCCATCGCGCGGGGAGAACCAGCGAGCCGTTCCCGAGCGCTCCGACCCGTTGCCGAGCTCAAGGCTAAACGAGTCGCCATGGCCAGTGTAGACGTAGAAGCGGTCGCGCGTCTCGGACGCCAGCACGGAAATGAATCGCGTGCTGCCAAATGCGTTCACAGCGACGTCGGTGTATCCGCTGGGGCTTGCGAGCAGTTGACGTGCAGGTTCAAGCTGCTCCAGTTGAGCGACGGAGAGGTTCTGCAGGGGCTTAGTCACGTATTGAGCTTGTTGGCCCGCCTCAAAGAAGAGGTCCTTCCTCCACGAACTCGAAGCATTTTCACCCGACGATGGCGAGTAATAGTCGCTTTCGCGGAGCAGGTTGACCGCGGGCTCGTACATCTGCCACACGCTGTTAGCACCATAGGTGAAGCCTGCAGCTCCAGCGTACACATTGTTGTATAGGCCCGTGCGGACCTGCGACGCGTTCCAGATCATCGCAACACTGGCATCCAGGTTGTCATGAGCTCCTTCGTAGTGGTTCTCCAGGTCCAGTACTGGGCCCGTGAATCCGTCGCGCATTGCCGCAATCAGCTCGTAATTCTTCGTCGAGTCCCAGGTCTTGTAAGGAGTGAACCCGCCGAGCGCCTCCGGTGTGGCGTGGCCCGATTGAACCGCGTCAATGGACACACGGTCCTCTTCCTTGGGGAATTGAAGGTGACCGTAGGCTTCAGGGGTCTGCACCGGTCTATCGATGTTACCGGCAGTGGGGTGGAAGAGAATCACGGGCTCGTAGCCTTGCGCGCTCTCCGCGTCCTTGACGCCAGAGCGCATGCTCAGCCAAAGATGAGTGGTATCTTCCACAGGCCCCAGCAGCGTAGCAGGGTCCACCGTCGGGCTCTCAGCATACGATATCATGGCCGCAGTCGTGTTGCGCACCCAGAAGCAGTTGGTGTCGCCTCCAAGTATCTTCGGTAGCCCCGGGTACCGCTCGCCGACGTACTTGCCCCACTCGTACGCAGTCGAGTCGTTGAAGAGTGACTCCTTGGTGCCGTGCCAGGCGCCACTGATCCAGTTGCCCCACGCAGGCACCAGCGCCATCAAGATGCCGTAGCTTGCAGCGAGGTCCACGGTCCAGTCAATGAGCTCGAAGTACGACTCATTGAACTGCGTCGTGTCCCCGTTGTTGAACGGGAGGTCGCCGTAGAAATTGGGGCGCGTGGTGCCGTTGTAAGCAGAAAGCACGACGGACAGCACCACATTGTAGCCTTGCTCGGCGCGGGTCTTGAGGTAGAAGTCGATGGACGTCTTGTTCAGGCGGTGCGTGAGCTCCCACGCGGTGTCGGCCTTCCAGAAGAACGGCTCCTCGGATTCGGTACGGTACAGGTAGCGCCCGTACTGCGGGGCCGTGATGGTAAGGTTGTGCCAAGACGGCTCTGCCAAGGCGAAGCTGGCCAGTGACGCGGCGCCGGCGATTGCAGTTAAAACCTTCATGGGAATCCCGGTTGTGTGGCCCAAAGCAAATCGGAGAATGAGGTCAATTTGTCGTCACTTCCTTTGATAAGACTCGGTCATGGTAGAGTAACAAGCGCCGTCGACGGCCTGGATCAGATGGGGAAGGTCAAGGAGGGTCGCCCGCCACACATGACCCACTGCCTTGAAGTACGTGCATGGCGAACTGCAAACTGGTGAAAGATGCGCGAATTACCGCCCGTCTTCTCTTCACGAAAGAATTGCTACAGTGGCGGTGGGATAACGCAGCTCGAGGTGACTATGCAGAAACACGTCAGGTGAGTTGCACCTTTGTCCGAGGGCAATCAGAATTGTTGATGGCGGGGAGGATTCGTGGTTGAAGTGGCACGGGCCACCAGGTTCAACTCGTTCACGTCAACTTGGTCTGTTTGCTGGGGACGGGAATGACCCTACATGTACTGAATTCCTTCTTGTTGTGGCCATGTTTTCACGTTTCGACTACTTGGGGCCATATCGACAAAGATGAGGGGCGTTTTTCAATATTTTGATGAGGTTAAAGCTAGATACGAAACCATCAGCAGCTTAGCATTCATGTTACCAAGTTTGCCAAACGCTCAGGTGCCTAAAACTCCAGGACCAGGACCCAATCGTTGTCGACACCTTCGCCCGAAGGTGGAGTGAAGTCCACACGCGCGTCATCGCCATTGGCAGCGACGGTCACCATAGAGTCTGCGTAGTACTGCCCGTCGCGAGGGGAGAACCAGCGTGCAACACCCGAGCGTTCCGATCCGTTGCCCAGTTCGAGGCTAAACGAGTCACCGTGCCCCGTGTACACGTAGTAGCGGTCGTGGGTTCCCGATGCCAACACGGAAATGAATCTGGTGCTCTCGAACGCGTTGACCGCTACGTCCGAGTATCCGCGGGGACTGGAGAGAAGGTGGCGAGCGGGTTGAAGCAGCTCGAGTTCTTCAATCGTGCGGTTCTGCAGCGGTTTGGTGACGTACTGGATCTGTGTGGCTCCTTCGAAGAAGATATCGCGGCGCCAAGAGCCCGACACATTCTGGTTCACCGAAGGAGCGTAGTAGTCGCTGTCGCGGAGCAGATCGGAGCGCGGCTCATACATCTGCCAGACGCTGTTGGCGCCGTAGGTGAAGCCTGCGGCTCCGCTGTAAACTGCGTTGTAGAGACCCGTGCGCACCTCGGACGAGTTCCAGATCGGATAGTTCGGGTCGAAGTTGTAGTGCGCGCCTTCGTAGTGGTTTTCGAGGTCAAGCACTGGGCCGGTGAAGCCGTCTCTCATGGCAGCGATGAGCTCGTAGTTCTTGGTCGAGTCTCTCGCTTCAAAGGGAGTAAACGCACCAAGCGACTCAGGCGTGGCATGGCCCGACTGCACCGCGTCAATGGACACGCGGTCCTCCTCCTTCGGCAGCATCAGGTGACCCAACGCCTCCGGAGTGCTCAGCGGCCTGGCGATTCGTCCCGCCGTCGGGTGGAAGAGGATCACAGGCTCGTAACCTTGAGCTTCTTCGCCATCTTTCAAGCCCGAGCGCATGCTGGTCCAGAGGTGGGTCGTGTCCTCGATCGTCCCCACGAGCGTGGCAGGGTCCACATCGGGGCTAGAAGCGTACGAAATGCTCGAGGCCATCAGATTCCGTGCCCAGAGGCAGTTGGTGTCACCTCCGAGGATCTTCGGGACTCCGGGGTACCGGTCGCCAATGAACTTGCCCCAGTCATACGCGGTTAAATCGTTGAAAAGAGGCTCCTCGGTGCCGTGCCACCCACCGCTGATCCAGTTGCCCCAAGCAGGAACAAGCACCATCAAGATGCCGTAACTCGCAGCGAGGTCCACGGTCCAGTCCACCAGCTCAAAGTACGCTTCATTGGGCTTGGTCGTGTCCGAGTCGTTGAACGGGAGGTCGCCGTAGAAATTGGGGCGCGTTGTCCCGTTATTCTCCGAGATCACGACGGTCTGGACCGCGTTGTAGCCCTGCTCGGCGCGCGTCTTGAGGTAAAAGTCGATGGATCGATGGACGTCTTGTTCAGCTTGTGGACGAGCTCCCAGGCAGTGTCGGCCTGCCAGAAGAACGGCTCGTTGGAGGCCGTGCGTTTAAGGTATCGACCGTAGCGAGGGGCGGTGATGGCGAGGTCGTGCCAGGACGGAGTGGCCAACGCCGAAGTCGCCAAGCCCAAGGACATTAACGCAGCGACTGCCTTCATGGATCGTTGGTCTTGATTCAGGAAGAGGTGGTGCTTGTGCTCGCTGGAGAGAAAATAGGAGAATGAGAAGGAGTTTGAGACCCGATCCGTGGGTTGCGAGTGGGGATCACGCTACTATCATAGGCATAATCGGCTTAGCATAAACTTCGAGGAGGGCCGATAGTCCGATAGTAAGCAGTGGAACTGCAGCTTGCTGTTACTCAGCACGTAGGTGACCTGCTTGGATAAATGGACCAAGCTTAACCGAGCTCAGAAGCAGACTTCAACCACGATCTCGCCAAGGTGGTTGACAAAGCCTTGGTCTGCTTGTTCATCTTGTGTTGCGTTACCCCTTCAATAAGCGCCATAGGGTTTCCTGCAAATTTACCCACATGAAAAGCCCAGCAGCATTTCACTGAAAAGTTCTTGCGTTTTCGTACCACAAAGAGTGCATACGCTGGCAATGGCACCACTCCATGCAGAATGGCAAAGCATAGCTGAAGCAAAGGCAGGAGTCATATTCGAACCGTGGAAATACAGAATAAGCAATAAAGCGCTAACCTCCGAGCTGTACACGTTCCAGCAATCTGGTCGCTGTTCAACAGCATCCACGCTCTTTGTAGCTGTCCGAAGTCGCGGGCTAAGGCGCTACAAATGAGTGAGAAGCTTAGCAATCAGCTCTGCATCGCTCTAGCGACTACAGTCGGCCTCAATGTGTGGTAGGCGTGATGCCGACCGATGTCAGGACCTCCTCGTAGCTCTTGCCGGCTTCAAGTCCCCTCTCCAGTTCAAGTGCTTGCCCACGCCATCGATCATCGTCTGTACAAGTTCGACCTCGGACTTCCCGATGCCGCCACCGCCTTCGCGTGTGGTACCTCCGCAGCTGGCTTCGACCGGTTCGCGAGACGCGGAGACAGCATGTCGGCCTACGAGCACTTGTGGTGCAGGTTGAGCCCATTGCAAACGACGAGACGGTCTTCAACGCGCAGTTCATGCTGCGTTCGCCTCGCCTGGGCGTCTTCTCCTCGCCATAAGGCAGCAACCCGTACTCGTTCGTACGCTCTCGGTCGTCTCGGAACTCGGGAGGTGGCTGACCTCGCTTGAACTCGGCCACCGGCAGCGTGCACCGACGTACTCGGATCTCGTGTAGCATTGGCACTTCAAGCCAGAAAACTTTAACCTTATCGATCTTTACTCATCATCAGGCAAATCTGGTTCCGCAGCGAAAGAAGCTGCTAGAATGTCTTTAACGAAAAATAGCACTCTAAACTTATTAGGACACCGTACTCCAGACTCTGCCCATTGGACAAGTCGAAGTCTATTCACTTACCATTATGCACCGCTACAGGAATCTTGTCGGCGAGAGCTCAGATCTTCGAGGCCATTCACCAACGATAACTTGCAGGACATTATTTTAGGTTTCCGAGTCCGTCCACGTGCTTCGCAACTCTGCAGTCGTAAGCCGAAATTGGCTCCTCTATTGCTGGGCGACCAGAGTGGCGTGGACCGCGCCAGAACAGGAAAACGCAACCTTATTATCCTGACGCCAGCACCCCAGCAGGTATAATAAACTCAATGCCTTCTATCTATAAGTAGCCACAAATGCAAGGTAAGTTGAAGACAGATGTGTGGGGCACACCAACTGTAGCCATCTATAGAAATCCTGAACGGCCGCGGCCCTTCGCGTCCTGCAGAGCCTATCCATGCTTGACTTGGGTTCAGTATACTTCGCGGCAATCATTTCGACACGCACATCGAGCATTGCGATCTTCTAGCAAACCCCCCAGCCAGCAGGCAGCGCCGTTCATTCCGCAGTCGGAGCCCCAAGCCGCACGCCGCGCCTCCCTCTCTCTATCGACCTCCTGAAGTCTCTCCGCTCGCTGCAACCATGGCCGAAGACGCCGCCGCCGCGCCGCCCGCCGTGTCGCCCAACAAGCTGGCGCAGAAGCTCTCGTCGGCGCAGCTGACGGACGCCAAGATCACGGGCTTCCCGCAGTTCACGCCGGCGCACCGCTCGCTCATGTCCAAGCACCTGACGCGCGAGGTCTACGCGCAGCTCAAGGAGCTCAAGACGTCCACGGGCTACACGCTGGACCGCGCCATCCAGACGGGCGTGGACAACCCGCACCTGGGCGTGGGCGTGACCGCCGGCGACGAGGAGTGCTACGAGCTCTTCAAGCCGCTGTTCGACCCCGTGATCGAGGGCTGGCACGGCTACAAGCCCGACGACAAGCACAAGTGCGACATGGACCCGTCCCACGTGACGAACGCCAAGCTGCCGGACGAGTTCATCATCTCCACTCGCATCCGCGCGGGCCGCAACATCCGCGGGATGCCGCTGCCGCCGGCCACGTCCCGCGCGCACCGCAAGGACGTCATGAACCTGCTGCAGTCCGCGCTCGGAGACATGAGCGGAGACCTCGCGGGCAAGTTCTACAAGCTGTCGGAGATGTCGCCCGAGGACGAGCAGCAGCTCATCACGGACCACTTCCTGTTCCAGAAGCCCGGCGGTGGCACTCTGCTGGAAGCTGCAGGCGCCGCGCGCGACTGGCCCGCGGCCCGCGGCATCTTCCACAACAACGAGAAGACCTTTTTGGTCTGGTGCAACGAGGAGGACCACATGCGTGTCATCTCCATGCAGGACGGAGGTGACGTCGGCGCCGTGTTCGAGCGCTTCTGCCGTGCCATTAAGAGCGTGGAGGAGAGCATCAAGGGCAAGGGCAAGGAGTTCATGTACAACGAGCACTTGGGCTTCATCGGCACGTGCCCATCTAACTTGGGCACGGGGTTGAGGGCCAGTGTCATGGTCAAGCTGCCCAAGTTGACGGAGGATGTCGCTCGCTTCGAGAAGATTTGCTCCCTGCTGCACCTGCAGCCGAGAGGAACTGCAGGTGAGCACTCGGCCTCCGTTGGAGGTGTGTACGACGTGAGCAACAAGCAACGCATCGGCCACTCGGAGGCCGAGTTGGTGCAGACCATGGTGAATGGCATCACGCTGCTCATTGCCATGGAGCAGAAGTTGGTGGCGGGCGAGTCCATCGACGCGCTCATCCCCACGGAACCTGCCGCTCCCGTGGTAATTGACGCCGGTGCTCCTCTTGTTGCTTCATCGACGAGTACTGCTGTGCTCCCGTCGGAAGAGGACAACTACCCCGTGTTTACTCCCAAGCACCGCAGTTTGATGGCCAAGCATCTGACCAAGGAGTTGTACGACAAGTTGAAGGGCAAGCACTCCAGCAAGGGCTACACCCTGGACATGGCTATCCAGACGGGTATTGATAACGCCCACCTCGGCGTTGGTGTTGTCGCAGGCGACGAGGAGTGCTATGAGGTGTTCAAGGAGCTGTACGACCCGGTCATCGAGGGCTGGCACGGCTTCAAGCCTGACGACAAGCACCACACCGACATGGATGTGTCCAAGCTGGTGAACGCCGAGAAGATTGACAACGCCTACGTGCAGTCGACGCGTGTCCGCGCTGGACGCAATATCCGTGGACTCAGTCTACCGCCTGGAACGACGCGTGCTGAGCGCCTTGAGGTGGAGAACCTCATTGCAACTGGTTTGGCCACGCTGACCGACGAGCTTAAGGGAAAGTACTACCCGCTGAGCAACATGACGAAGGAGGAGGAGGACCAGCTCCAGAAGGATCACTTCTTGTTCCAGAAGCCTGGAGGCGGCACTCTTCTAACCGGCGCTGGAGCTGCGCGCGACTGGCCGAGTGGACGTGGCATCTTCCACAACGACCAGAAGACATTCCTGGTCTGGTGTAACGAGGAAGACCACATGCGAGTCATTTCGATGCAGAGCGACGGAAACATCGTCGAGGTGTTCGCGCGCTGGGTCAAGGCGGTTGGCGCTGTGGAGGAAAGTATCAAGGCCAACGGCTACGGCTTCATGCACAACGACCACCTGGGCTTCATTGGCACGTGTCCGTCCAACCTGGGCACGGGACTGCGCGCGAGTATGTTCGTTAAGCTGGAGAAGCTGGGGGCGGACCCTCACGCTCTTGAGGCGGTGTGTGCACCGCTTGGTTTGCAGCCACGAGGCTCGGCAGGTGAGCACTCGGCCGCGGTTGGTGGCATGTGGGATATCTCCAACAAGGCGCGCATCGGCAAGTCCGAGGTCGAGCTTGTACAGACGATGATCGACGGCGTGGGCAAGCTCATTGAGCTGGAGAAGGAACTTGAAGCCGGCAAGAGCTACGAGGAGGTCCTGGCATCGGTCGGCGTCACGCCTACCGCACATTGAAGCCGACTGTAGTCGCTAGAGCGATGTGGAGCTGATTGCTAAGCTTCACACTAGGATATCTTCGCCCGCGGCAACAAAGAGCGCGAACGCGATGAACAGCGACCAGACTGCTGGAACGTGTACAGCTCGGACGTTAGCGCTTTATTCCTTATATTTCTACGGTTCAAATGTGACTCCTGCTTGCTGGTGCCTGCCTGCGTTGTCTTAGCTATGCATGTCAGTTTACATGGAGTGGTGTCGTTGGCAACATGGCAACATGCCCTGGTACGATGAAATCCAAGAGCTACACGAGCTGTCAGTATATTTACTGAAAGACCATTATGCGTTGTCCCGTTATTCTCCGAGATCACGACGGTCTGGACCGCGTTGTAGCCCTGCTCGGCGCGCGTCTTGAGGTAAAAGTCGATGGACGTCTTGTTCAGCTTGTGGACGAGCTCCCAGGCAGTGTCGGCCTGCCAGAAGAACGGTTCGTTGGAGGTCGTGCGTTTAAGGTATCGTCCGTAGCGAGGGGCGGTGATGGCGAGGTCGTGCCAGGACGGCGTGGCCAACGCCGAAGTCGCCAAGCCCAAGGACATTAACGCAGCGACTGTCTTCATTGAGCGTTGGTCTCGATTCAGGTGGAGGTGGTGCTTGTGCTCGCTGGAGAGAAAATAGGAGAATGAACAAGGCTTTGAGACCCGATCCATGCGTTGTGAGAGGGGATCGGCGTGACTGGGGCTTGAAGATTAGCATAACTTCGAGACAGACCGATCGTAAGCAGTGGAACTGCACTTTAATGTTACTCAGCACGGAGGCCACGCGTCTGGATAAATGAACCAAGGTCGATGCAGACTTCAACCACGATTATTGATATAAAGCTTTGGTCTGCTCGATGGCCTGTAGCAGTGTATAATGGTTAATTAATGAATAGACTTTGACTGTATTCGATGTCTGTCATCAGTTTCGAGTTGTAATTTTTTGCTAACGATAGTGTCCTATCAGTCTCTAGCAGCTTCTTTCGCTGCGGAACAAGTTTTGCCTGATAATGAGCAAAGATCGATAAGATAAAACTTTTCTGGCTTGAAGTGCCAATGCTACACGAGATCCGAGTACGTGCGCGGGAGTCCCCGGTGCACGCTGCCGGTGGCCGAGTTCAAGCGAGGACGGCCACCTCCAGAGTTCCGAGACGACCGAGAGCGTACGAACGAGTACGGGTTGCTGCCTTGTGGCGAGGGGAAGACGCCCAGGCGAGGCGAACGCTGCACGAACTGCGCGTTGAAGACCGTCTCGTCGTTTGCATCAGGTTCGTCCTGCACCACGAAGTGCTCGTAGGCCGACATGCCGTCACCGCGTCTCGCGAACGGGTCGAATCCAGCTGCGGAGGTACCGAACATGGACACACGCGACGGTGGCGGCGGCATCGGGAGGTTTTCGGCGGCGAGGGCCTCGGCCAGGCGGTCGTAGTTGACGGAGTGGTGGTTGACGACACTCCTGCCGAGCGCCAGACGACGACCTTCGAGACGCATTTCGGACAGCGAGTGGATCGAGTCGCGGTTCATGAAGTACGCGGCGGTGGCGAAGTCGCTCGTGGTGCTGATCTCCTGCGAGAGGGACTTGGCCAGCTTCTGGTCCAGCAGCGCCATGCGCGTCGCGATATTCGCCAGCGCGATCGCAGGTTGGATGATGAGGACCCCCAGCTCCTTCAGGTCCTTGCTGAAAGTGCAGTCGGGAATGACTGCGATCATGCGAGGGTGTTCTTCTCCTAGAAGAGCCTTCATCGTGCGGACGTGCTCAAGCGTACGCATGCCGTCTCCAGTGAAGATCAACACGTCAGCCGACGACATTCCTTGCACGTGCTCGTCGTTCTCGCGTTCTCGCACCTTGTTCTTGTACTGGATCAGCTCACCCTTGGCTGACCGTGACAAAATGGTTTTGTTGATAGTATGCCACTTGTCCGCTTGTTCCTTGTCTAACAGGGGAACGTTGACTTGAGCTCCATACAGTGACAGCTCGAGCGCGATCTCAAACGCCACTTCGTCCTCTCCGATGACCACAGCACTCTTGACCTTGTAGAATGGTAGCAACGTGCGCGGGTCGCCGTTACCCTGTGTAATGTTGCTGCTGGACAGCCGACTTCTTGTTCGATGGAGACTTCGGCCACCATTGACGCTGCTCTCGCTGTCCGAGACATCAGCTCCGTCTTCGATAGGTTGAGGCTCGGCCACTCGGTCGTACATACTCTCGCCAGCACGACTGAGTCCAATAGCGCAGAGTACAGGGCCGACGATCTGGTTCACCACCACAGCTGCCACGATAGTCGCCGCGAATTCACCCGCCCACGGGTCCGTACTCAGCGCCTTCACCTCGTTGGCCAAACCCAGAGCCACACCGGCCTGCGGGGTCATGGTCAGCCAGAGATTGTTGTACTGCCTCGGCGTAAGCTTCAGCAGGAACCGTCCGCCCAAGTAGCAGGCGATGAAGATCGCCACGAAGCGCAGACAAACGTACAGGCTCATGAGCGGGATCGCGTCCACCACCTTGTCCAACTTCAAAGCCGCTCCGGTCATCACGAAGAAAGGCAGGAACATGTAGGGTGCCACGGTATCGAGGATCACGTGCATGTCGTGGCGAATGAGTGAGTTGTGGCCAGCGAGGCACGAAGCGACCATCAGCACGAGCAGCGGCTCAAACTTGACCTCCCAGGACAGTCCATAAGACGCCACAGTCGCCTCGCTGATGGTCGTAGTCGAGATGTAGAACACGTAGCCCAGCGTGAGCCAGAGGAAGCCCTTGACGTACAGCGACATCCTCGTGGTCCAGAAGGCATGTCGTCTTAAGCGCCTCCGTTCGTGGTCCGTCTCCTCCACGTACGCATTGTGCGGGTGCGGCATCCTGTCCGGGTCCTGAGAGCCTTCCAGGTCGAGCTTTTGACTGAAGTTCGACGCCGTGATCGACTCCGGGTCATGCAGATCCAGGTGCTCGTCCGCCGTGCTGCCGGGGATCTGGAAGATCAGGATGATGATCAGGCCGATGATCGCGCCGAGTACGAGGTTCGAGACGACGATCGACAGCGTGAAGAGCAGATTCCCCATAGAAACCTCCAGGTCCGCGCAGTAGATGGAGCACACAATTCTTGAAATGGAGAAGGACACGAGCACCACGAATTCCGCAGTCATCGTGGCCCCCAGCATGAGGTTCGTAAACGGTCCGACGCTGTTGAGCTCGATCTTGATGGCCATGACGGTGGCTGGCGACCCGAGCACCGAGATGGAGCCGAACATGAGCGCGATCCCCAGCTGGCAGTTGGTGATGAAGTCGTCGTAGAAGAAGGCGTTGTTGGCCAGCAGGTGCACCGTGGTGAGGATCACCATGGCCGTCACGTACAGCACGCTCAGCAGCGCGAAGATCTGCTTGAGCTGCGGCCTCAGCTCCGGCAGGTAGATCTCCTGGCCCGCTTGGAACGAGATGAAGGACAGCGCCAGCGCACTCACGTAGCTGGACAGCATGTCCACGAGCCCTTTGGGCAGCAGGTTGGCCACGAACGGCCCGGCGATGATGCCGATGACCAAGTAGCCCGTGATCAGCGGCAGCTTGAAGAGCCTGGGAAAGTAGAGGCCGAGCGGGTGCGCGGCCACGAGCACGACGATGAAGGCCAGCGCGTACTGCAGCGTGTCCACCGTGTTGTTCCACGAGTTGAAGGGCACCGTGGCGTCATCGTCGCTGGCCGCAGCAGCTTGAACCAGCAGCAGCAGTAGCGATAGATGCCACAGCAACGACGGCATGGCTGGCTGGACGTGTGCGAAACGACCGGCGTTGGCTGCAGTCAACCACAACACGTTGACTTGACTTGGTCTGAGCTAATTCAGAATTGCGACCTGCACTGCCCCGCCACCGCGAATTACTGAGTCGGCAGAGAAGCACCTCACCTTTCTGCTCAGAAACGCAGGTGCTGCTACACATCCTAACATTGAAGTAACCCACGCTCGTCGAGTCGTTGACAACAGTTGAGACTTGTGGTGGTGCCAAAACGACTCGTTGTTGGCACCACAAAGTCTCAAATAAGCCCCAGACCGCCACGAATACCCTGGCGTTAACAACCTGCACACGCATCTGAACGTCAGGGTGTCCCTGGCGGCGTTTACATGTGCCCATGACGACTGGATTCTGATGGTGGTCGAGTCCGGCGTCTTTGCTGCTGAATGAGGAAGATGGACGTCCTTCAAACGTCCATCCCCGAGCAGACCGCAGGTAAAGGGCCCTTCCGACTCTCTCTGTTTAGCTCGCATCCCTGATGCTGATGCAATGCGCACTGCCCGCCATGCGCAGAGCTCTATGCGAGATACACCGCCGGGTTAATCGCGCACTTCAAGTGATTAATGCAAAGCGTGCATGATAGGGGGACACACAGCCGGCGTTGCGGTGCATTACCTTCCCTGTCATGCGGCCGACGGAAGATCGCTGGCAATTCCTTCGCTGACAGGAATTGTCCAGGGTCGACTTCAGTGGTCGCACTCACAGGATGGAGATCAGTCTGAACCACACACGAGTACACGTAGCTTTGCAGCCTGAAGCAAAATCGAGGAGGAGGAGGACAACGACGACGACGAGCTCCTTTCCGAATTTTCAAGCGCAGACACCCAGCGGATCGGCTACCTGTCGACCCACGCGGAACTGGCGCAAACTGGCGATGTCGGGAGATCGATCCGCTCAGTCCTTGCGCGTGGGTCGGTCCTGCATATCGCGCAGCCTCCGCTTCCGAGCTCGCTCGAGCCGCTCCTCCTGGCTCAGAGGCTTCCGAGGACCGACAGGCACAATGTTCTTCTTCTTGCCGTCCTTCTTGCCCTTCTTGGCGGCTGCCACCGCCTTGCGCCGCGCTCGCTCCTCGTCCGAGTCGCTGTCGCTGTCTTCAGGATGCTCGTCGTCGATGATGTAGAGCCGTCGTCGGCACGGGCAGCACGTGTAGTACATGCAGCCCATGCGGATGCGGATGGCCTGCTCCTGCCGCTTGAGCTTGGCGACGCGCTCCATCTCCGCCTTCTTGGCCTTCAAGGCCTCGTCGCTCAGGTCCTCGACGTTCTCGGCGGCTGCCTGCTGGGCGAGTTTGTCCTGGTGCTCCGTCACCAGCTCCTCGATCTTGCGCTCCCACCACTTCTCGCCCAGCGTGAAGATCTTCATGTTCTGCTGGATACGGAAGGCCGGGTACAGCAGACTGGGGAACTGCGTGTTGAGCTGCTTGAACTCGGCAAAGTCGATCTTGCCGTCCCCGTTGAAGTCGAAGGTCTTGAGCGCGTGCTTCATGTTGCTGGTCTGCTCGTCTGCGTGCAGGATATCGAGCAGGTGCGTCAGTTCCTCACCTTCGATCGTGCCGTTCCTGTCGTCGTCGAACACGTTGAAGCAGACTGCAGGGCGGTGAGTGTCCATGGTTAGTGATCAAATTGAGTGTTCTGGGCGTACATTTGAGCATGTCTTCCTTGTTCAGCAGGCAAAACTTGCCCAGAGCCTCGACATACTCGCTGAAGTCGAGGACGCCGCTGTTGTCCTCATCTGTACGAACGAAGCACAGTATTCATGAAACCTTGAGCTGATGTAATGAGTTGCGGCTGTGAGGACAACACACCGATGAGGGCGAAGATTGCATCACCGAACTCCGAGTGCTTCTCGTCGATCGAGGCGTAGAACTCGCTGCGATCAATTGTGCCGCTCTTACTGCATCATGGCACCAAACGTATAAATCCTGTCAGACCTCACTGTGACCAGGATCCGGTCTCTTTTGCCGTTAAGCGTCGTAACTGGACCAGAAGAGCACAATAAACGTGAGTATAGCGCATGAATTCGATGCAGCTTCACGTCAACGACCTCGTTACCTCTTTGTCGTATCGAGAAAATCTGCCGTAGAGCACACGGAGGTCCTTGGCTGTCACTGCAACGAGCGAAAACGTCGTTAATCAATAATGATGACCATACCGTACTCCAAGTCTTACGTACGCTTAAGCTTGGTTATCATGTGCTGCATGCGCTCGTCGGGCACAGGCACCTGGCTGCTCAGCATGCCACCCATGGCTCAGGCAACAACAATCGATACTCGAGCGCGAGTCGTAGTAATAAGTAGTGAAATTGCTAACAATACGGAGCCGTTACGATCGTGTTTTCATGCAGGGCTAACCTCGCTGGAAATCATCGCACCACTGGATCAAGTGCTCGCTCAATAACGCTTCACTCTCGTAGCAGCTCGGTACGCTCAATTGATAAATCGACCAGCAACTTACTTTTCGCTCTTGCTCTGCCAGCGAGGGATGGCCATGATGCGAGCCATGCCGCGGTGGACCTGTGCCTCGAGGTACGGGCCGTCCACCACTTCGCCGTCCACGCACATGAGGTCCGTGGACCGCTCCGGCACCAGCTTGAAGGCTCGCGTGCGCACCTGCTGCACTCCCTTCTTGTCCATGTGATCGCCAGTCTCAATAGCCAGCATCATCGCCAGCAGATCCTTGCGCGGGTGGGTGCCATCCATGAACGTGATGTAGTTGTATCCGTCATCGAACTCCGCGCCGGGGGCGATGAGCGCGTCCGACGCCGCGTGCGATACGTTCATCACCCAGACGATGCGGAAATGGTCGCCCAGTTCCTTCCACTTGCCACCGCTGGCCACCTGCTTCTCAGTCGCTTCACCCTCTCCGTCCTTCTTGTCCTCCGGCCCAGCCGCCTCAGGAGGACCTTGACCTTCGCCGTCGAACAGGTCCATCTTCGGACGCTCCGAGGAGTTAGGGTCATGAATGCCGAAGTAGTGCGGAGGCTCCTCGTTCTCTCCTTCATCGAGGTACCAGATCTTGCCTGGGTATTCGGGTCGTTGGAACACCAACTGGTTCACGAACGCCACTGTGAAGCGCAGCCCGCCCAACATCCGCAGTTTCTCCGACCCAATGTCAACGTCAGCGATGGAGGCCCACTCCAGCGACAAGAATGAGTACGTCGTCTCCTTCCCGTTGCGCACCGACGTGATGTCAAGGTCGTGCGGCATTCCCTTGGCCAGGATGAACGCGGCGTTCACAGGTTTGCCCTTCTCCTCGCTCTGATGCGCAATGGAGTACGCTAGCCCATTGCCAGATCCACCTGGGATAATGCCGATAGGCTGTCGGATCGCCAAGTTCCAGTCTGGCCGCTTCATCAAGCCCTGCACGACTATAAACACATCATGTAAGTTCCCTTTCACACAATAGCGAGCGCATAGCGATCAACACCTACTCTCATAAAGACTTCCGTCTCCACCCACAGCAACGACGCAGTCATAGACACCCAGCGGGATCTCCATGACGATCTGCATGGCGTGGTTCGCATGGTCCATGACCCTCAACTCCGTCTCCACATTGGCAAACCGGAGCACGGGCGCGACCTTGTTCTCGTAAATCTGCAGCGCGCGTCCTGGTCCACTCACAGGGTTCACCAGCACAAGAAACTTGCGCTGCGGTCTGTCCACGACCTCCAGCGCGTCCAGACTCTCGAGCTTCTCCACCGTCGCCTGGTTCCTCGGGTCCGCCACGAAGTTGATGACCCTCTGCAGCTTGAGCACCAGCGCCACCTGCTTCCCGCTGAACCGGAAGAAGAACTCGCCGAGCCTCCGTTTCTTCAGTGTGTTGGGCTTGTGGCTCTTGCACACGCAGGCGAAGATTCCCAGCAGGAACTTGGCGTCGTCCTGCACTGCATCGACGTCCACCGGCGTCTGGACGTGCTCACCATCGCCCGTGAGAAGGTGCGCACCGAGCACGTCGCTCCACGGCAAGTTGAGCGTCTGCTGCTTGCTCTCCAGCGCCTGGGCCGTGCAGTGCGTCGGCGTGAGCTGGAACTTGACGGGCTCGTGGCTGCTGCTGCGCCACAGGGTCTTGAGCACCTGCTCGAGCTGTAACTCGGCCAATACAGCGGCTAGAGACGCGGGGTTCTCAGGGGAAGTAGAGGACGCATCGACCTTCTGGTCGGTGTCTTGCTGCGCGCTAGAAGCGGGCGCGGACGCCGCGGGGGGCTCCGTCGCGGACATGGTGGGGTAGCGGTAGCTGCAGCTGTCCGTAGAATTTCTCAAACTGACAAGGTGGAGGTAAGTCGCATTAAGTCGGCGGAATTTAACTTGAAGTTTGTATGCCAGTGATTACGATGGCCGTTGGGTAATCAAAAACACAATAACGTGAGATAAGATTCCCTACGGAAAACAGTTGGCTGCACACGGTCGATAGACCATATCGGACTTCTGTAAATCAAACTACTTTGGAATCGGATGATAGAGATGTGATTTGAGACCAAAGCGGGCAGTAAAAATGCCAATTGCGAACTTAAGACGAACCTAAGACGAATATAAGACGAACGTAAGAGGGAAAAGACGGGTTCAACGTGCCCTTTGGAGGATCTCGACAATAACGGCGTGCACTGCACCGGACTTGCCTTTTACCCACCATGCGCAGCATTGAACCTGCTTTCGCCTCAGAGCAGGTGAGGCGTAGCGTTGCTGCTCTTGTTTGCCAACCAAAGTCAAAGTTCTGCCTGCCCTTGTCGGGATCTTCTAAACAAACGACGTCGGAGAGCATTTTTCCTTCTCCCGGGTGGCGCAAGTGAGCCCTGAAAATTCGCGGACCATCACTGCATCTGTGCACCAGCCACATGAGCTAGGCACTTTGGTCAAGAGAGCGCTCTGAGGTGGTGGAAGACCATTGTCAAGCGGCTTGTTCGCCCAGCAGCCAATGGGCCACCTGAGCGTGCCGCGCAATAGCCTTTAGTCTACATGTCACACAACACACTTTGTGTATTGCCTGCTCATTTACACGGAGCACTGCAATCGTTGGCGACGGATAGCTAGGAGGTTTGGAGACCATAATTCTACAGCTTCGTGCCCTTTGGAGAGTTCTCCAACTCGGGGGTGAGCGAGCATGCGCTCCTTGGATTTGCCCCTGAAGCCGCGACAGTTCGGTTGCAGGGTCAAGTTGCGTCGGAGTGCATAGGCGCGCAGAGGGAGAAGTTGAAGTGCCATGCCTTCTTCTCGAAAGGCTGCAGCCCTGCACTATTGTTACCAAGATCTAAGGTTACATACTTTCCTGTTCGTAGCAATAGCCCACGTTGCGGAGCACGTAGAGAGAAGACCTCCATTCTGCCCAGCTGATTTCTATTTTGACCCGCTATGCTGATCGCCCTCAATGCCACGACGCAGGTGAGTTGAGTTGAGCCGCAACGTGATAAGCTATGTGTCAACCCGGCATACATTCGTCTCGGGCGAACGCGGTGCGAATGCATGCCGCCCTCAAACCAGCGCACAGGTTGCAAATCCCCGCGTAAACCGACCACCAGGTCGACTGCAGAGCCATTCCGTCTCGCCTGAACAAGATGAACAACCCGCCACATAACTGTGAAGATCACTCCAATTGCTTACCAAGCTGCATCGAAAACAAAAACAACAAATACCCTCGCCGCAACAGACAGCGCTCGACCACAATCACGCGTCTGTCCTGGGCACCATCGACTTCTAATTCACTCGCCCCGAGTATCGCGCACATGGCCGGGGCGCTCTACCATCATTCCGACAGCAGCGACGCTAACACTACGGCGCATTCGCCTTCCTTCCTCGAGCAGAGCAGACGCTGGACCCACAGAACCACCGCTAATAAGGCGACGGAAGCATCCCTATCGCTCACTCGCCATCTCGCTGCGTCCCGTGAATACCAGCGGCAGCCAGACCCGTAAACTACACTACACACAGAGCCATGCCCCGACCAGTCGACTCGCCCGCGCCCTCGCCCCTGTGCGAGCGCATCCAGCAGTTCCGCGAGCGCATGCGCAGTCGCTGCCTCGCCGCAGCTTCGGGCTCGGACGCGACAGAAAACAGCGCCATCCCGTGTCTGCTGCAGTCGTGGCGCAAGCGCATCGAGGCCATGGACGACGAGCCGCAGCAGCAGCAACAGGCCCACAGACACCACCGAGGCCACCGCCACTTCGGCCAGCACCACCGGAGACCGTGCCACGCAGCAGCAGAGTCGAGCGCCTCGGAGCGCGACGCGTCGTCGTCGTCGTCGTCACCTTCGTCGCCGCCTCCGACGTGCGGCGGGTTCCCGTTCCGAGGTGGCCCGCGCATGCTGCACCCGCGGCTGGAGCGGCAGCAGGCCGTGTGCTCGCTCTCGGGCATCTGGAGCGGCTTCGCGTCGTCGTCGTTGTCACCGCCACCGCCGCCCGAGATCTACGCCAAGCCGAGACATCGCCGACACCCGTACGCGCGGTGTTTCGGTCGTACGAGCCAGGACTCAGATGCTGATGACCACAGGAAGTCGTCGGAGGAGGAGTAGAGCCTGCAGCGTGGGCTTTAGACGAGAAGAGCGGTGAAATAAATAGCGACAGATATTTATCCCTCACAAAACGCAGATGCGGACTCGAGGCTGCCTGAGGCTTGGGAAAAGCTTCTTTCGCTCTTGCTTGAGCCTTTGACGTAATCAGGTTGCGGCTTCCAATTTCCGACTTTGCTGCACGGCGTGGTCAGCTCGTGCAAGGCTTTGGTTCTGGACTGGAACCGCGATGCGGTCGCGTAGATCGAAGCGAGACCTGGCAGAATCTTACCGGAGATTGTTCGGAGTGGCGGTTGGTTCTCGCAGGAAATGACAGCATGTGTGAAACCTGTGTTTCGGACGCTGCGTTTGGCTTCATATGCCCAGTCGGAAGGTGCCGTGCAAGCAGAGAAGGATGCTACAGCACCTTATCTCGAATGATGAAGAGGCGTAGCAGGTGCACGATCTGGCTGCTCGAGCGAATACAGTGTACATGCCTGACAGAATGGAGTAAATCATTTAGCCAGCATTCTCCATCGAAGTGAATTACCAATCAGTTGAGTTGTATCGATCCATCTTCCAGAACCTCGAACGAAATTCCAGTTTGCAGTCGTGCTCGTCCGTCAAGGGTGGCCCCACCAGATCGAGAATTCGGGACGCGGCTGTGTTTCTGTCAACGGACGTTATTGTTTTTGCCGGTGTCCAGACACAAGATGGTATGATGGGATAGCACACATCTAAATCCTTGGTGCTGTCAATCAGATCTTTTTCTTTTGTTTTTTTCCACTCAAAAACCATTTGCTTGTGTGTTGAATTTGCTAATAAGCTGCCATGAAGTCGTTGATGTGCGGGGATGGCAAGTTGTTCGTCGTGCGAATCGAGGGTTTCATGAAAGTTGGAGATCTCGCGATCGCGATCAAGCAGCAACGCGCATCGGTCATCACGTGTGAAGCAGCAGATATGGCGCTATTTCTCGCCAAGAAGGGCCCCAATTCACCTTTCCGGTGCTTGTCTGCGCCTGTTCTCTCTTCGACGATGTCCGAATCCGCACTAATGTACTTGTTGGTGGGGGCCAAGTTTCGTGGGAAGGCACCTTCGACTTTGTGCTTGAGCGCGGCGATAAGTTCGTATGCGTTGTGGATGCGAAGTACAACCTCCGACGGGCTCTCGGTCGAGCATACGCTGGCAGTGAAGTGTTCGCGGAGACTAAGGGCTTAGCTAAAGTCTACAGCATCGTCACGTGCTTCAGGCGGTGGTTCTTCCTGAGAAGTCTGAATGACAAGACGGAGCGGAGCCACATGGTGTCGATCGCCGTGGAGGATAATATTCCTACGCCCGAATCGGTAAAGGACGTCGTCGGAAGGATTTACGCCATGCTGTCAGACGACGACTCGTAATATACGGAGCGAAACTCGAGGCGAAGTGGTCGAACGATGAAGTTTTCATTACGTTCAGAGGTGAAATAACTAACAGAGTGAATGAATGAAAACTTCTCTCCACTACAGCAGCGCCTCACCTTGCCGTCATCAGGTGCAACCTCAGCGATTCTTCGTACCGCGCAAGGTGTGTAGTCGTCCGGCATGACTGTGGTCAGGCTTCAGCACATTTGGAGTGAAGTGGGTGTTGGCTTGCGTCGTGTTGCCCTTGACAACATTGAGCTGGCCCCTGAGCGCCTTCACCTCAGCCTTCACTTTCTTGTACTTGTGCTTGCACTTTTTCGCTACTTTGTGGGCGGTCTGGAGCTTGTCTCGAAGCTGGGCGTTTTCAGCCGAGAGCTCGCTCTGGTGCTTCGAGTCCTCCACTTGAAGCTCTTCATAGTTTAGTTGTAGCTCGCTGTTGCTGCGCTGCCATTGGTCTCGCTCAGCTTCCATACAAGCAGCTTGGTGGACCTGGGCACTTACCAGGGACATGCTACTGAGCGCTAGCGCCGTGAGCCAGCCAGACTTGTTAGCAACGTCCTGCTCCAACTGAGCGTAGGAAGCGTGCAGCTCAGCGCCAGCTTCCTTTTCATCTCGAAGATGCTGCTGAGCGGCTTGCAGTCGTGTCCCCAATCCTTCCACTCGTTGGGCCAGTAGTTGCTGCTCGACCACGATCAGATCCTCAGCCTCACCCCACTCTGTCTCCAGCCGAGCAGCACAGTCACGCTGGTCGCTCTGTTGCAGCTCCGACCACGCCAAAGCTTCTTCCGCGCGTTGGTTCGTAGCATGCTCCACCGAAAGCTCCACGCGGCCCACGAGGTCTCGCAGCACAGCGCTCACCTCCTGTTGTTCCTGCAGGCACAAACTCGCTTGGAGACGAGCATCCAGACGGGCGACGGCATCCTTGCGGGCACGCATCTTGCGCTGTGTTCGATCTCCATGTCGTAGCTCTCTCCGGTGCTGGCGACGAAGCCGCGCCATGTCCGATTCGAGTTGACACCCTACTCGACGGCTACAAGCTAGATCCTGCTCCAGAGCCCGGTTTACAGTCTTCAGGCGTTTAATCTTCTCCCTCTTCCTCTCCAAACGTCCACACCGATCACGAGAGCGCAGTGCCGTGCCATTTTCGAGCGAACTGCCGTCATCCAGATACGAGCACAGCTCGCCAATGTCATCTGGCAACAGCACTCCGTCGCTGCCCAATATTTGTGACAGCTCACGATTGGCTGTCGGGTCCGGCGGAAACGGGCACTTCGTCATCTTCTTTCTCTCAGCCAGCGCTGCAGCTTTTGACAGTCCTTGACCAGACACAAGCACGACTCGTCCCAGGTCAACCAGTTGATTCGACTGCTTCAACATGGTGTCCTCCAATATGGTCAAATCATAACGCCCTCCAAGTCAAATCGTCAAAGCATAACGCCAGTCATGTCAAATTAGCGGGCGTTATGCACCATCCTGTCCTTACCTTACAAGCCATTTTCCGCGCCAAAATGGAGCAGCAGCAAGACGCGGCGCCGTCGTCGTCGGCGTCGCCCCCGCGCACGCCCAGGAAGCGCCGCCTCAGCGCCGACGCCAGCAGCGACAAGAAGCGCCGCGTGTCGTCCTCCCCGTCCCCCCCGCGCGACGCCACGCTGCGCATCGTGACGCAGACGCTGCGGGACGAGAACCGGCAGCTGCAGCAGGAGCGCGAGGCGCTCGAGCAGGACAAGCGCGCGCTCGGCGAGCGGCTCGCACGCAGCCAGCGCAGCCTGCGCGACCTGGAGGAGGACGTGGCGCGCGTGTACCGCCAGAAGCAGCAGGAGCTGGAGGCGCAGCGGCGCGCGTTCGAGCAGAAGCTGCAGGCCCGGCCTACGCCTGCAGAAACACAGGCGTCCAAGGAGACCAGCAGCGCGGCGCTGCACTCGCAGCAGACTACGCAGGAGATGGACCGGTTCTTGGCCAGCTGCGAGCTCTGGCAGCGCAAATTGGCGGCGTTGGACGCGGAATTAGCCGCCAAAGCTCGTAAGGTGGAGACGCGCGAGGTGCAGCGCGTGGTGGACGCCTTGGTGGGCGGCGTGGAGGTTGATACGCTGCAGGGCGAGCTGCAGGACAGGCAGGAGCAGCTGCAGTGGGCGCGCTGGATGCAGACGGACGCCGCGAGCTGCCTGGAGCAGCGGCACAGCTGCGCGCAGGAGACGGAGGTGTTCGAGGCCATGGAGAAGCAGCTCATGGTCGACCGCGTGGTGGAGCTGGAGACGCAGCTGGCGCAGAAGCGCGCGGCCGAGCGCGAGAAGGAGGTGGAGCTGTCGTCGCTGAGGGCGGACCAGGAGGAGCTGCTGCACTCGAGTCACGTGGTGCCGAACGACGAGTTCGAAGCGCTGCTGGAGCAGAAGAAGGTGATGGAGGAGCAGCTGAAGCAGCTGAAGGGCAAGTTGAAGACGCAGAATGAAGCGATGGCGCGCGCGGAGGACGAGCGCGCGAGCTTGAAGCAGCACAACCAGAAGCTGCTGGAGGAGACGCGCCAGCTGCGCGAGAAGAAGGAGACCAGCGAGTTCGAGGGAATGCAGCTCAGCATGACGCAGGACGAGGAGATCAAGAAGTTGCAGGCGCAGCTGCAGGCTGCGAAGACGAGAGAGGAGAAAATGGACGCGGCAATGACTGCTGCGAAGAGGGAGATCGAGAAGCTAAAGCCGCGGAAGGGTGAGCTTAAGATCTTATACGCCAAGTTCAGCTCGGCAATGGACTCCGTGTCCGAGAAGACGATGCGACTCGAGGAGCTCGGTCAGGAGCTCGATGACGCGAAGGCCAACGCGCGTGAGATTGAAGCTCGGAATAAGGAGCTGGAGCAGGAGCTTCAAAAACTAAGAAGCAGCGCGCGTGGTATCGAGTCTCAGAACAAGAAGCTCGAAAATCAAGTTGCAGAGCTTCAACAGCAAGTGGCCGATCTGTCAGCGGTTCAGCGCCGCGACAAGTCCGTGAACGAGGAGCTCCTCAAGGTGCAGAAGCAGTGCGCGGAGCTCAGAGAGCTAGAGTCTCAGCAGAAGGAATTGGCGAGCAAGATGCAGTCTGAGCTCGCGGCTCTGAAGGCTCAGAATGAGGCTTTGAAAGAGCAACAGGTCAAGAGGGAACACCAAAGTGTTGGGCAGCCGTCCATTGAGGGAGACAAGAGCAGTCGTGACAGCAGCTCTTCGTATGCAGTCCAAGTTGCGGAAAAGGAAGCGCTGCAAATGTTTGTTCAGCGTTACTCTTCAGCCACCGAAGCTGAATGCAACAAGCTGCTTGAGAAGGTCAGCGAATTGCAGTCGGCGAAAACCTTGATCCAGGAGCAGACCAAGGAGACGTGCACTGTACTCCGGATGTGCACGCAAGTTGATTCGTGTGACGAGTCTATTCGTGCATCGCTGCTTGATGTTATGGCTACGTTGGAGAGTTTGACGTGACCAAGGCGTTGATATTCAAGGCAACTACCAATGGTTTGGATACACACTACATCAGCAAAATCTGTAGACTTATGCTGCCAGAGCTTTGCCCGCTGGTGTCGATGCTGCTCAGAACTCGAGCACCAGCAGCCAGTCGTCGTCCACGCCGCCTCCTGACGGAGGCGTGAAGTCCACGCGCGTGCTGTTGTCGCTCTCCGCCACAGTCACCATCGAATTGCCCGCGTAATGGCTATCACAACAACTCGGACCCTACCAAGCCGAACGAGGCGTACTTCGAGCTGGTGGATTGGACGGTGGATCTTGCCGCCAGCTACGGTATCCTCATCACTCTGGTCCCGACGTGGGGCATGTATGTAAACGGGGGCTGGCCCAGCACCGATCGTATCTTCAACGAGTCGAACGCGTACGAGTGGGGCCAATACTTTGGCAACCGCTACCCTGGCTTGCCAAAGATCCTTGGTGGCGACTCAAACGCACTCTGGTCATGGAACATGTCCGCGGTTCAGGCTGCGTACGCGGAGGACCCGGATCAGGACCTACCGTCGCTTCTTACTCCAGTTGAAAACACGGCGTCCGTGTGGGCGAGCATGCGCCGCGGTCTGAAGGACTCGTACAACGAGCACGGCTACGACTCGATGATCCTCTTCCACCCTACCAATAGCTGGATCGTTAAGCCCGAGGTCACGCCGCTGCCGTACGGCCACATCATGCTCCCCGATGAGGAGGATCGAGAGTCTGTTGATGCCGTTCAATCTGGTCACGCCACTCCTGACCCGACGTCCAAGTTCATGCCTCTGGCAGGTTGGGAATCCACCAAGAACTACGAGTGCATCGCCGAGATGCGTGACAAGTTCACGGGTCCCGTGCTTGACCTCGAGAACCACTACGAAGGCGCCCACGACAGCTTCGTCCTCACACGCCCCATTTGGAACGCTCTCACATCTGTACGGGTCTCTACCACGGTGTTTACAGCGGCGCGTCGGGCTTCACTTTGGTGCCAACAGTGTGTGGCAGATGTACGAGCCTCGCTCCGAGCTGCTGCGCGACAGCGACTACTACCCAGCCCAGATCAACCAAAACACTTCTGGTTCGTGGCGTCGCGACATCTACTTCGAGGGTGCGACCCAGATCCAGCACGTCACCAAGCCGCTGCAGAACCTCACCACCGCCATCCTCGAATCCCTCGAGCCTGCGCGGGAGCTTCTGTCCAGCCCCAGTGGACACACCGACAAGTCCGTCAACACGTACGAGGGAACGCGCTACATTTCGATTCTGGCGTCCAAGTCTCGCGACCGCTCCTTCGTTTACACCGGGCACGGTGACTTGTTTTCAGCCTCCAGCTGGACAACGGATCGGGAGCTCGTACTGGTAGCGCGCGCTGGGCCAACTCCATGGCGGCATCACAGCACCAAGGGACTCCTGGTATGTACTTAAGTATGGAGTTGCCCCATGGCAGGGATGCGAACAATTCTGACTTCGCGTTGCATCATTTCGACGTGCGTCAGATTCTACAGTTCCTGCGTCAGTCTTAGTAACTTACTAATACTACTAGTAGTAGTAAGCGACGTTTGCGTGGCGGGATCTTCAACTGCTTCGAAGTCTTCAACCACGCGCATCGAGGTCTGCTTGGATAGAATCGGTCGATTCTATCCATCGACACCGCTGGCGTCCACGCATTGCTGATGACAATTTCGTTTATGCCTACCGGCTGGTTGAACGGAGCTTCAAGGACCAAGTGCTCTTCAAAGATCGGGATCAGCTCGGAAGTCCGAGTTGCATCATTTTCCTCGATCAGCGCAACTTCACGTGCCTTGTGCCCAGGTCTCGATGGTTTTGTCCTCAATGAAAGCGCTGCAAGTTGCAACTTGTTACATGGTGGGCATGACACAGCTTTTCGTGTCTTCGCTTCCCATGGATTCCCTACACCAGGGAACCTGCGGGACAGTGTAGCGAAATGCAAGTTCCCAATCTTCATTTCATTCTCCGATTTGCAGCGGTCAGCACGCGTCCCCCGCATTAACTTGGCATTGCTCATTTTTATGCCGTCTTCTCCCCCGCCATGAAGGTCCAAGCTGCCATCGCCGGCCTGCTATCGCTCACCGGACTCGCCTCCGCGGCCGACCCGTCCTGGCACGACCTCGCCATCTCCGCGCCTCACTACAGACGATACCTCACGCGCACCGCCTCCAACGAACCCTTCTTCTGGCAAGCCGACACGGCCTGGGAGCTCATCCACCGCCTCAACAAGACGTCCATCGACTTCTACCTCAAGACGCGCGCCGAACAGGGCTACAACGTCGTGCAGACCGTACTGGTCTCCGAGCTCGACGGCACCACCCGCGCCAACTTCTACGGCGACCTGCCCTTCAACAACTCGGACCCGACCAAGCCGAACGATGCGTACTTCGAGCTGGTGGACTGGACCGTGGATCTGGCCGCCAGCTACGGCATCCTCGTGGCGCTCGTACCCACTTGGGGCATGTACGTGAACGGCGGCTGGCACAGCACGACGCCCATCTTCAACGAGTCGAACGCGTACGAGTGGGGCAAGTTCATCGGCGAGAGGTACCCTGGCCTCCCGAAGATCCTTGGTGGTGACTCGAACGTCATGTGGTCGTGGAATATGTCGGCGGTTCAAGCCGCGTATGCGGAGGACCCCGATCAGGACCTGCCGTCTTTGATGGCTCCAGTTGAGGACACGTCATCTGTGTGGGCGAGTATGCGTCGTGGTCTGAAGGAGTCCGAAAGCTCGCAGGGCTACGAATCCGTCGTGCTGTACCACCCAGCGGGCGGTTGGATCGTCAAACCCGAGGTGACGCCTCTGGCCTATGGCCACAACATGCTGCAGGACGAAGAAGATCGTGTGTCCATTGACGCCGTGCAGTCCGGCCACGCCATCCCGGACCCGACCTCCAAATTCACTCCTGCAGTTGGTTGGGACTCGAGAAACAACTACGAGAACATTGCTGAGATGCGTGACAAGTTCACGGGCCCAGTGCTTGATCTTGAGAACCACTATGAGGGCGCCCACTACAGCTTCAGCTTGACCCAGCCGATCTGGAATGCGTCCGAGGTGCGCACGGGTCTGTACCACGGCGTGTACGGAGGCGCTGCCGGCTTCACCTACGGTGCCAACAGTGTATGGCAGATGTACGAGCCCCGAGCGGACCTCGTCAGTGACGATGTCTACTATGACCCGCAGATCAACCAGAACGCGACGGGTTCGTGGCGTCGTGACATCTACTTCGAGGGTGCGACCCAGATCCAGCACGTCACCAAGCCGCTGCAGAACCTCACCACCGCCATCCTCGAATCCCTCGAGCCTGCGCGGGAGCTTCTGTCCAGCCCCAGTGGACACACCGACAAGTCCGTCAACACGTACGAGGGAACGCGCTACATTTCGATTCTGGCGTCCAAGTCTCGCGACCGCTACTTCGTTTACACCGGGCACGGAGACTCGTTCAGTCTGCAGCTCGACAACGGATCGGGAGCTCGTACGGGAAGTGCAAGCTGGTTCTCTCCTCGTGATGGTCAATACTCGGCCAACTCGACGGTGAGCGTTCCTGAGAGCGGTAACGGTACCCGCGTGGACTTCACCCCTCCGTCGGGCGGCGGCGTGGACGACGACTGGCTGCTAGTGCTCGAGTTCTGAGCATTCGGCGTTAAACTGGTAGCATAGCCTCCAGCTACTTGAGTAGTACGTAGTACTGTACGTGTCGAGCGCACACTGTGCTGCAGTATGAATATGAAAGTCGATCTTGTGAATGGTATTTGGATAGTACTAAATCATACTTCTCTGTTCCACGAAACTATGCAGTAGAACCTCATCATCAACAATGTGTGGTACACATAACTTCATATGATTGGATAAAATATGCCCCATCGCATAATATTTTCCAATTAAAACGCAAAAGCGCTCGCGATGGCATCTTATTGGTCATTATCAATGCTGTCGTTGCGAGCCTAAAACAACGCTTTCACGCGCACAATCAATTTTCCTGGACGCAGTGAATGAAGGCGATCCCAACAATACCTTCTTGTGGGTAAGGCGACAAATAGCCGCTGAATTGCGGAGGAAAATGTGGTGAGCCTCAAATTCTAGCGCCAGGAGCCCTCGCTAGCTTCATTAAAAGGAGCGGTGGCGAGCTGTAAAAATTGCAGCAAGAAGCGCCGATCACGCACTATAATTTGCTACCTGCAGCACAGGAATCGGGTTATTTGTTCACGAGATATCGGGAAATGAAAATTTACTGCATAGTTTCGTGAAACAGAGAAGTATCACTGGGCATAGCGTAACGTCATCTCACAGCAAACATACTTCCAGAGGTTGCCACAACAGGTAGGCATATCACAACTGTAGGTCCGTCGTCATCGCTCAGAATCAAGACTACATATTACGTAGTAGTTTGTACTCCTGTACTTCGAGTCGTGACAGCTCAGTCGCCCCTGATTTCCGTCGGGTCTTCCTGCCATTTCGTACGGACGTCTGGTTGAATACACAAGAAGTCGAAAGCTTTCGACCTCTTGTACAGTCAACTCGAAACGAATACCGGATTCCGCCGAGTCTGCTGGCCTCTGAGTAAAACGACTTTGACCTGTACACCACTACAGCTTGGCTACGACTGAGCTGCGCATCCGTGCTATGGAGAGCGTCGCTGGTTTGCACACTTGTGGGGTATTGTACAGCTGGATCACACGACGAAGAGCTGTATGGTGTTCATCGCGTTTTAACGTTGCCCACAGCAGTGAATCTCGAAACGTGATTCCAGGACCGAACAGATGCAACAGCAACGTTGGCGAGTGTACATGTACAGACTTCATGGTGATGTGATCGGGCCCCAGTTGGACTCTAAGCAGCAAAAACCGATCTCTTCGAGCAAGAGACTTGCAGGCTTATGCTAAAGGGCTACTTAAATAAAGGTAAACTATCTTGAAACGGCATTGACTTTCTACTATTTTATTTATTTGAGGTGAATTGTTGTCACAAGATAACCAAGACTATGGGCACAATATTGATTTTCACAACCAGAATTTATTTACCGCATAACTTTAGCTTCGTGAAAAATCTCTAGCCGGCCTGTACTTACATGCTTCCATGAGGTCTTTCTCGATTTCGAGGAAGTTATTAACAAGGGGCGATTGCTACCGGTACTAGAGAGGAAGAGAAGGAGACATGCAGCAATATAATTCATCTAATTCATAAACTCGAACGCTTCGTTGCGCTCGCAAGTATTTTTATCAAAAGTAAGCGTTAACTTCGTAAGGATATCTCCACAAGTTAGTTAGCATCTGCCTAACTAGAAGCGGATTGCTGCCCTTTCCAGTTTTAGTTTTTTTTCTCTCTCTAAAATGGTACATGTAGTTGTACCATGTAGTTTTCGTAAAACAAAACTACCATTTTACTGAACGATAGGACTTTTTAGTGTGAGAGGTCCTCGGGCAGGAAGCCAGGAGGCCAGACTGCTGCGGGAATACAACGCCTTGTTAATCCCGAATATCCCACGTGTCGTTCATGTGCTACACGTACCGTAACGAAAAGGAGCTATACATGGTCCGTGTGATGAGAATGGCTGAAGCAACCTCCTACTGCATGTAAAGCCCACCCCATAGAGCTCATCAAAACACTAGCACCTCCGTACGCATAAGCTGCGATAGCGCTGATCAAGACTAACTTACCGCTCTTTCTTCTCCTTTTATCGGGTGACGCTGCTGCGTCTGCAGACTCGCCTTGTCGTGGTTGAAGATTCGGGTGGCGGTGGTTGGGAGGCTTTGCTGATCGCAAGCTACAATGGCGTTGCGCTTGCCACACGCTCTGTTTGATTATGGAGGATCGGCGGCACGACGCTCCTGCAGATGCACGTTGGGCCGCAAGTGTCTTCCGTTCGGTTCGTTTGACAATCATTGTACGGTTCAAGCATTTGGGCTTCAAGCTCCGGTTCGCTTTGCAGATTTGCTGCGTCCTCGGCTGAGTCTGTCTCTTGGGCAGTCTTCAAGAGCTACTGTATTATATTCTGTGTACACCTGCGGCGTGCGATTCATTTGCGAGTTTACTCGCTCGGCAGCAGCTTCAGCCCTCTTCGAAGAAGTGGAGCGACCACAGTAGACTCGTGACGAACAAAATGAAAGTGAGTGCGCTCATTTCGCCGACCACCACCCAACCTGATCTCGGTCCCGCTCAAGCTGATCTGGCGCGTCTCATGCCTCGGGATCGGTCCGAGTCGATAATGACCGAGGACTCCAGCGGTATAGCAAGCCCAAGGCGCGAGAAGAAGACGACTCCGGTCCTTACGGACAAGCAGGCCATTCGACGTGAGCAATGTCGTGCAAACCAAGCGCGCTACCGCAACAAGCAGCTGAACCGCAAGCGCCAGCTCCAGCGCGAGAATCAGCTCCTTGAGGAGGAAATCCAAGGGTTAAAGCTGAGAAAGCGGAGCATCAGATTTGAGCGGAAGACCAACCAAAGCCCGTGGACGATCGTGGGCGAGGTATTTCGCCTTCTCGAAGACGGCTTTCGATCCCCGTGGCGCTTGGCGAGTACAGAGGAGACGATGAAACACGCAGATACCCGCCAGAGCTTGGCGTTCCTGGAGAAGGCTTTTGTGCACGATGTGGCTATGGGAGACCTACGAGGAATCAACGCGCTGATGGATCAGTGGAGACGGTACTCGCTGTACTTCGAGGAGCCTCATCTCGAGTTGAATCGAGTCGAGGTTTTAGTCAAGGGCGTCGTATCAGCAACCGCTACGCTCAGCGTGACCATCACCGACTTCACTCTTCGTTGCGTGCTCCCAGAGCTCGCGACGTGCAAAGGACGCAAAGCGCTTCAGCTGAACAGGACTCTGCTGGGGAAGCGCTTGAGCTGCGACTGCTCTATGAGGTTCCTCTTCGACGAGGCGAGCTGCCGCGTTGTGCGTATTGAACCCAAGATCGACTTGGTGACTCCGTTGCTTCGGATACTGGGGAACATCAAGGACGTATCGGCCGTGTGCAAGTACGCGCTTCTTACCTCAGAGTGCGTTGTCGGCGACTTACCAGAACGACCACGACGAGGCAGCAGTTGAACCTAGAAGTGCACATGTATTTTTTATCCGAAGAACTTGCAGAAATCTAATGAAGTGTTGCAACGATTCACTGCTGTACCAACTACATGTACAACTTGTAGTTTTCCGTTTGCTACACATCAGAGCGCAGCTTTTGCTGAGTCAACCGAAGAAGCTTACGGGGCGCGTTGCATTGCTGCAAGTACAGACAATCCTCGGGTGACCACTCTTATCACTATCCAGAGGAATCATTATCTGGAGCTGTATAATGACGGTACAATTCGCAGTAAGAACTGTCGTTTGCACCCCTGCGGATGTTTGAGATAATGCAACATAAGTTTTTATGTTGCATTATCGGTTAAAGAGCCATTTGAAACAACAGCAATGACAGTTGAACAGCAATTATACTACAGCATAGCAGCGCAAACGATTCATTAGATCTCAGAGCAAGTTTTTGGCGATAAGCTAACCAGGCAGCAGCGATAATAAAGAGGGGTGATCAGTCAATCAATGTAACCTGTGAGGAATCGACCGTATCGGGGCAGCAAGCGAGCAGAGTCGCCGTCGTATCGGCTAAGTTAGTTTAGACATGTGGCTGTCATTTCTAAGATGCAGCAACAATAAACCGTCGTTGACTAAAACAAAATTATCGCTATTGATTAATGGTAGTGGACGCATAGTGTTTGTTGCGAGTCGACTTCGTAGTGAGGAGAGCTAAACGACATGGAAGTCAGTATAGCAATTCTACAAAATCAAGTTGCAGGCGTCACAACTGGACATATTACTCCAGAAAAAAAAATGATACATTCAACATGAACCGAAGTTCAGTCTGGCAGCTTGAAGCTGTGCAGTATGCAGCATGAATACATGTAGCAGTAGTGTGAGTTCATGCATATAATAGATCCACCACGGCAGATAAGCGACCCAGCAAATGGACGCATGATACTTCACAGTACAAAAAAAAGAGCATGTGCTAAAATTCAAGAACTTCTTCATGCAGCGCTCTTCTACGGCAAGCGTAGCGCTACTACATAGTACTACCAGTAGTAAATAAAGTTTTTCTACCGTGCAGGTTTGGAATACAGTAAAAAGAAGACCGAACTGCGAGCATCGCGGGCCAAAGCCCGTAAACCAGTATCGGTTAAGGTACTGTACGTGTAAGTGATAATGCCTCCATTCAGGCACCATTCATTTTATGAGTTTGTATTACACTCGATAAGTGATAATATATGGCGCGAGAAGTGATGAACACTGGCAACTGCTCGTTGTAGCTGCCCGTGCAGTCCATCTAAGTCTATATGCGGAATCTAGCATCCCCTGAGTGCAATCGGCGCAAACCGCGAAAAATAAGAATAGAAATCAAGCGTCCAAGATGATCAGCTATTAATAAATGCGCGTTCCAAAATCACATCATGCTAGATTGTACGGGGTTAACTCTGCCTGACATGCCAATCTCACTATTTGGAGGTTAGAGGTATTCAAGCGCAACAACGTAAAGCGCCCCGTAAGCTCCAAGTGCAAAGTGAAATAAGGCTACTACCCCCCCCCCCCCCCCCGCAAGTTGATGTACAGTATGCATGTAGTACAGCACTTGGCCACCAAAAAATGATACGATTGAGAATTTCCCCCCTACCTCCTCATATTTCTCTGGAGGGCGATGTAGATAACTTGCCTAGGTTAAAACTCCACGACTAGAAGCCAGTCGTCGTCGACACTGCCACCCGAAGGAGGCGTGAAGTCCACGCGCGTGCCATTGCCGCTGGCTGGGACACTCACAGTCGAGTTGGCGTAGTACTGGCCGTCGCGCGGGGAGAACCATCGAGCGCTGCCCGAGCGTTCCGATCCGTTGCTCAGTTTGAGGCTGAAGGAGTCTCCGTGGCCAGTGTACGCAAAGTAGCGGTCGCAGTTCTCCGAGGCGAGGACTGAGATGTACCGAGTCCCTTCGAACGCATTGACAGACACGTCATCGTGGCCGCTGGGGCTCGCAAGGAACTGGCGAGCTGGTTCAAGCAGCTCCAATTCTTCAGTCGAGAAATTCTGCAGCGGTTTGGTGATGTACTGGATCTGAGTGGCGCCCTCGAAGAAGATGTCCTCGCGCCACGATCCAGACGCGTTTTGGCTGGCCGAAGGGGCGTAGTAGTCGCTCTCGCGGAGCAGATCGGCCTGGGGCTCGTACATCTGCCACACGCTGTTGGCTCCGTAGGTGAAGCCTGCAGCTCCACCGTACACGCCATGGTACAGCCCCGTACGGACCTCAGAGGCATTCCAGATGGGGAACGCCATCTTGAAGTTGTCGTGCGCGCCTTCGTAGTGGTTCTCGAGGTCCAGCACCGGGCCCGTGAACTCGTCCCTCATCTTTGCGATGAGCTCGTAGTTCTTGGTCGAGTCCCACGTCGTGTACGGCGTGAATCCGCCCAGCGCGTCGGGGGTGGCGTGGCCAGACTGAACTCCGTTAATGGACACGCGGTGCTCCTCCTTCGGCAGCATGAGGTGGCCGTACGCCTCTGGGGTGTTCTCGGGCCGAGAGATCCAACCCGCAGTCGGGTGGAAGAGAATCACCGGCTCGTAGCCGTGCGCAGTCTCTGCGTCCTTGACTCCAGCGCGCATGCTCACCCAGATGTCCGTGGTGTCTTCTAACGGGCCAAGCAGCGTCGCGGGGTCCACGTTCGGGTCTGCCGCGTACGAGACCATAGCTTTACTCGTGTTGCGCGCCCAGATGCAGTCCGAGTCGCCGCCCAGGATCTTCGGAAGACCCGGATAGCGATCGCCGATGTACTTGCCCCACTCGTAGGCCGTGGACTCGTTGAAGATCGATACCTCGTCACCATGCCAGCCTCCATTGACCCAGCGTCCCCACACGGGGACCAGCGCGACCAAGATGCCGTAGCTGGCAGCGAGGTCCACCGTCCAGTCGATGAGCTGGAAGTACGCGTCATTGGGCTGCGTCGTGTCCGAGTTGTTGTACGGTAGGTCGCCGTAGAAGTTGGCGCGCGTGGTGCCGTTCAGCTCCGCGATCACCACCGTCTGCACCACGTTGTAGCCCTGTTCAGCTCGGGTCTTGAGGTAGAAGTCGATGGACGTCTTGTTCAGCTTGTGGGTCAGCTCCCACGCAGTGTCGGCCTGCCAGAAGAAGGGCTCACCGGACGTCGTGCGCGTGAGGTATCGACCATAGCGCGGGGCGGTGATAGTGAGGTCGTGCCATGAAGGGTCCGCTGAGGCGGTCGACGCGAAGAGGAGACCGGCGAGTGCGGCTTGGAGCTTCATCTTTGCTGCCGGAATACCTCGTCGAGGTCCTTGAGAAGTGCGAGACGAGCGAGAATTGGAGAATGGGCCAGCAGACCTCAACCTTTTCTAGTCGCAAAGCTCTTCGATAGTCTGTCGAGTGTATTAATCGGCGCCGGAGGCTTGATCGAGGGACGATTTGCCGTTCCCGCCTTCATCCACGACGCAAGTATGGCTGCCCGCATTGCTCGTTGAAGTGATAGCAGCTGACGAGAGCGGATCAGTTGACGCCGCGGTGATCCCTCGCGCAGCGGAATCAAGTGCACTTCAACTTCCTATGGGACCTACATGCATACCTTCACACAACAAGTTTATTCTCTTAGGATCGATAAACGTTTTCCTAAGACCAATCAATCTACGGCAGTAGCAGCACAGCAGCCGTAGGTAGGCCTCTTCAGGCCTAAAACTCGAGCACCAGGAGCCAGTCGTTGTCGACGCCTCCAGTGGTGGGAGGGGTGAAGTCCACGTACGTGTTGTTGCCGCTACCCGAGACGTTCACCGTCGCGCTCGCGTAGTACTGACCGTCGCGAGGGGACATCCAAGTGGCGCTGCCCGAGCGAGCGCCCGAGCCATTGTCGAGCTGCAGACTGAACGAATCGCCGTGACCCGTGTAGACGTAGTAGCGGTCGCGCGTCTGCGAGGCGAGGATGGAAATGTAGCGCGTGCCCTCGTACGTGTTGACGGACTTGCCGGTGTGGACGCTGGGGCTCGACAGAAGCTCGCGCGGGACTCAAGTGTCTCACCGAGAGTTTACGAGTGTGACGCGATGGAAGCGCACGTTACGCGAATCATGGCGCACAACCAGAAGTCCCCACTCAAAATTACTCGCAATCATAAGGTGTTAGAAATGCCGCACGAAGGGCTCTCTCGTGAGATTTGCTACTGCTACTGTAGTCGATAACGCAAAACTTGAAACGCGAGGAAACCTCAAGTTGAGGTCTCCAAAAGACGGGCAGTCGGTGCGAAAATGAGTATAGCTGCTCGGAGTGGATCCTCTCTGTGGTTGAATTTCGTCAAGAGAATGTCTAAACATTGGTTGGCAACAAGGAAAAGTTCTGCTGACACCGGAAAAGTGTAGACTCTAAGTGTGTTTTCCGGTGTAACTAGCATGATTTCGTATAGCCGAGAGACGGTAGAGGGGAGGTGAAACCAGATCTCCCAAAACTGCAATTTCGGTGCCTGTGAAGCGAGAGCGTGGCCTGGAGCAGTGAGCTTTGGGCCCAGGCCTAGGCTAGGCTATTCCTCCCTCTTTCCAATGAGACCAACCCCAGATTCATCGATTGCGTGGGGATTCAAGGCATTCATTTCCCTGGAGCACTTTGAGGTTTTCACGATTTGAGGGCCGTGACATCCATCCCCGGCCGGCTGTGCAAAACCGGGAAGGTCCCAGTGCTTTTTTCGTTGGGTGTTTTTTCCGGTGTCAGTAGCAAGAGCCGGCAACAAGACACCCTGGGCAGAAATAAGAAATGGTACAAACATAAAGTCAATATTTGTACTATTTCTTATTCGAGACAGTTTCAAACGAAATGATGCTTAGGCGCAATTTCAAGATAATCCCGTTCAATGTTGATCATAGGAATAAACTTTCGGGAAAAACCGAACACCGGTTTTTACAAAGTGAAAAACACTCGTAAGAGGCGTAAAAAGACTCTTATTTAATTGCTTTATCGGTTCCGACAGTATACAAATCGCTAGTATTTGAAAAAGAGTAAGGTCACACTCCCCAAATAAAATCTTCGATTTCCGGGGACTCAAAATAGAGCTTCTTTTTTTTCAGATCAGTGTCACGCCATGAGTTCGTTACATTTTGGAGCAATTGTCAGCTCAAAAGAAGCACAAGAGACGCCTCTTTGGGTTGCTACTGTTAAATCACGATTTGTACTTAGGTTCGTAAGCATCATTTTCTTTGAAACCGTCTCAAATGTGGTAGCAGTTTCGTCTAAACGAATCGGCAACTACAGCAATTTAAGTAGATAGAGGGGTTTCTTACTCAATCCGCATCCTGAAGGGGGTTGGCAACCATCCGTGCAGAGTTGGACTGAGCTTTCCCGGGCTCGGATATGTGTGTGCCGAAAAGCAGCTCGGTACGTAGGCTTTGCCTCGACCACATTTTGGAGCACTGCAGTATCCATACAGTCGCTTGGTTCGACTGATTGGTCTTGGAGCCGCGTAGGTGAATAAACACCGCTGTAGCTGTCGATGCATCCGGTGTAGTTCTGTCTGTGTTTTAGAGTGTCATTACGTCCGCTGATCTTAGCAAGAAACACAGGAACTTGTTTGGCGGCATCAATGCCACCGCTTCCGCTCTAAGTTGAGTCGAATGGGCAGACTGTACAGTGGGCAGAACTTATTCTTGTTTATCAAACTTACCTCCCTCCACCCACAGTCGGCCTTCTCGCAAAACAAATGACCGCGCGGTGCGCATAAATAGATACATTTGGTCACATAGTGGAGGCAGCCCCGCAATTAGCGATATTGGGTCGGCTAAGTGATGAAGATTCGAAGTCTGCTGCTGCCAGGCTGACCGCAGCTACACCGACCATAGCTACGGCGGTAATGGCTTGCTGGGGGTAAATGAGGGTGCAAACGGTATCGCCATGTTCAGGCGAAGCCAAGGAGCCACTGCACACAGCAGTACCATTCCATAGCCTAAGGCCGTTGCTGCACTGACGTCTGCTAGCCAGGTTGCGATCAGCCTCAAGCCCACGAGGGGGGAACCCGAGGGACAACCCCATGCTGTTGCTACGCTGGTAGCGGCACGTCTGCCGGCCAGATAGTCAACGGCAATGAGCTTGGGCGTAGCCCACGAAGCGTGAACCCGAACGTGTTGCCTTTGTGGGCATTCACACGTAGCGCGGTGCATGCTGCTCTTGTACGGCGCGAAGCCATACGTGTGCACGTGGCACATAAGTCTGTGAGGTAGACGCGGTGCCGTCGGCCTGTGACGCTCACTGCGTGGGGCACTTGGCATGCGCGAGGTACTCGCAGTGCACGCGGAGCTTGCCGTGCTCGTGGCGCTCGATGTGCACAAGGCAGTAATGGAAGTCGTGGTACACGAGGTGCACGATGTGCCTTTAGTGTATGGGGTGGTGCCCCTGTACACCGTCATGTCCTGGTATAGACTGTGCGCCATGCTGTCTAGCACGCACACTGGCCTGGTGTTGGTCGCCGCGATGCATGATGCGACTGCTGGTGGTAGAGGGCAACCATGATGAAGTACCATTGCGGTACCTTGGTGTCGACGGAAGCCACCTCAGCGTCGGCGGTACGATGGCCGTGACGCGTGGTAGGACATTGGACAAGTCCGCCGCGTTGCTCGGAATGACGAGCAGGCTGTGAGCAGCAGTCATGGTCACCGGGACCATGGCGATGATGAAGCCCGTTGCTTCTTGGCTTTGGTCAACGTTTGACTTCTGCCCATGGGTCGTGCCGATGAACTTGGACGACCGACATTGCGCCGTTACGAGCAGGGCCCTGTCGGGCCGCTGTCATGGCCGGAGATGAGCAGCACAGCTCTCTGTTTGGTTACGCTACGCGCTGACCGGAAAGGTGCCGCCCCACGAGGGGCAGCATCGCCGCACGAACGTGCCCGCAGGGCCCAAGGGCCATGCGACGCCAACTGCTGGTGGTCTACGAGAGGCACCGCAAGTTTAGAGGCAGATGCATCCCGTGCCGAGGCACTCTGTGCCTGCTAGCGCTATGGATACGGCCTCTAGAGGCGTCAGCTTTGCGACCAACGTCGCCGAGGGCAGGGGGATGCCACGCGGAGTGTCCGCTGCGGGCATGTCGTGTAGGAAAACACGAGTTTACGAGTCCTCGCCCTATCAACCGAAGTCTCTAGGACGAGCCCTACCAACAACACACGCCGTCTCCGAAGAGTCGGCGATAGATTGTCGGGATAATAAACCTGAAGACCAGGTCCGATCCCTTATACGGGCTGGAATGTGCCTCCCTGTGTGTTGCGGGTCAGGTAGGTTTACCCTTCGTTAAAATATAAGAGCACCCTTAGCCACGAGCTACGGCTAGGATGCAATGTGTAATACGTGCTTTCGCACTAAACCTCTGTGGTCCCTCAGAAAGGAAGGGTACCATGCCAATCGAAGCCTCTTACAGGGGCGCCGGGGCGAAGCCTCGGCTAGAAGTCAAATACACTGGGGGGTCCTTGCCTCACACCCAGTCAAACGTACAACTGTGCACAGAGGTCTCTAATACCTCCCAACACTCGGCCACCTACTCACTCTTGGCCTTACCAGGATGAACACTCGGTCAATGCACCTTATGCTCACCGGCAGACATACCCCGTGCAGCCGAGTGTATCCAAACCCTACGCTAAGCTTAGCGACTTACCGTAGACGGACTTGACCCTTGTGTGGCTTGGGGGGGGGGGAAATTCTGCTCTGTTTAATGATTAGAGGCTGTCAGGCCTCTCCTATAGCTAATCCCTAAGGTCTATACAAATATCAAGTGTGGACCGAGCTTTCGAGCTGATCCTACAACCGGACGAAACTTCGTCCTAAATCCGAACTCCTACTGGGCATAAAGTGTACCCACTATGAAACTTCGGAGGCCTCGTCAGGCGGTTTATTTTGACCCGCCGAGACCCTCCTGTCACTCCGTAGTCTCTATCAATCTTCTGGGCACTAAAGCGCGGGGAATGTGACCGACCAATCAGAGCCCTCGGTCAGCCATCTCTCGCAAGCTCAAGGCAGTTAGACCTCGGCCGGAACTCGCCCGGCCGCAGTCATTTCCCGATCTCACAGGCACAAGTCACTGTGGGTGTGACAATGAGGCACGCCAGCCTTGCGGCGGATGCGCCCGAGAATCCGACCTTCGGATTCTCTCGAAGCTGATTGGAGAATCAGATGTGATTCTCAGATAAGTGGGGGAGGATGTAATGGGGGTACAATCAAGTGTACCCATTACATGAAGAGTGACGGGTGTCACTCTCCCGAGTACATGGTACATGGTACCAGTAGCTCCGCAAGTCAACCATTTGAGTTTGTGTGGGCTTTTGTCTAGTTAACTTGTAGTTTGTATTAAGACCAAGTTAAACTCTACCAAAATGCAATCAGTCTTATAACCTGCTCCTTTGAAGCCGGGAACTGGCGAACTGCTGTTCACCTGGATAGTAATATCAACACGCACTTCCTCTGTGCATTGTGTTGTGTGACCCCGTCCACTAAAAGCGCCATAATTACACTTTTAAAAGTGCAATTGTGGCTGTGCAGCTGCAATTCTGTCGACCCTTATCCACAAGCACCTAGACACACGGCAATTATGCATAAGAGGGTGGGGTTACTGGGGGTCATGAACGGTGGTGTATTGGGTCAATGCATGGCTGTTGACAGATTCCCCCAAGTCGATATATATATGAGGATCAGATTTTCGCATAATTTTAGCAGGTTGTGTATCTTTTTCGCACATATTTAGGAGGAAGCTTTGCCTTATTTAGCGTCTAAAATGGTCGGCAAAATAACTGGAGAGCACAGTAAGCATTTGCATTCTACAAGCTGCAAAACAGATCTCAACCAAGGTTTAAAAGCATTGCCGGTTAATATCTTGCATCTACAGTTTTAAGAAAAAAAATCCGGGCAGATGCTGCGGCTGCGTAGCACGCCAAGGAGATGACCGTAGCTAGTAAGAAAAGTAATTACCGTACTTCACAAAATAAGTGCTTAACAAAATGACTGCAGTTTTAGGATTTTGGCGTGATTTTTTTTTTCTTTTGAAGAAATTGTCTTACCATAAAAATAGTCAAGTGAAAACCGCATACCGGCATCCTCCGTTCTTTACTGACAGTCATGTTTGGCTACAAAAAGTGGGTAAAAAAGTGATGTCTGTCGCGCATTGTGAAACACACACAAAAAGCTCATTGTTTCATCGCAGACCGAGCTGCTCTCGATGGTATCATGATCGACAGCCACAGCTCAAACTCTATGATCTATCAGACTCAGGCTAGGAAGCTGAGCGATAATTTCACTAGCTACAACGTCTACTTTCTTCACTAAAGGCTGTGACATACATGTAGTCATCGCCTGCTTCCAGGGCCTGTAAGTGCAACATCAAAGCCGAAAGTGGTACGCCCTCCCCACGCAGTTCATTCATCCATACCACGAGCTCCTGCTCAGCTTCAGCGGGGAGGGCCATACCTATGCCGCTCGTCCGAGCATTCTTTTTGAGAGCTGTCTGTCCATGAGCTTTCGCCGCGGTTCGTGGATAAACTCATCTAGACCGCTGTAGAAGGCGTTAAAAGCCGCGGTGATGTCACTGCACTGTGCCCAGGCATCGAGCACCTCGAGCTTTCTGCTGCCGTAATTGCGGTGCGTCAACATCTTGTGGATTGGGAAATGACCCATTTTTGTGTTGTCAGTTAAAAGTGGAGGATGACAATAAGGTATTTTGATTGACTATAATTGATTGTCAGTAGTAAGCGAACGTCAGTAAAGAACGGAGGATGCCGGTAGCAAACCTATATCGAAGCGATTTCTGCAGCGTTGTTGGATCCACAAGTCAGCACAACTCCCAAATTTAACAAAGGAAAAAGCCTGCCTCACGCGCGGAGCCAACCAAAAGTCTTTTATGATGTACATTTGGACTTAGAAGGTGGTCGCGGGAATTGCCCCTCATAGTGCAGGTTTGATTCGAACACCTGTTCTAGACAAATCACAGCATTAGGATTATATTTTGATATATTAAAATAAAATACCCTCCGCCTCGTGGCCCTTCATTGCTTAAACATAACTACCGCAGTATCGCCTATTCCTGCATACACCACGAAGATGTTTTAGTTGTAAGACTAAGTCATGCTTGAACTGACAGTCCGTCGTGGTTGATCATGAGTTCAAGCCACGACTATCGGTGATGGGGGGTGCCATCTCCGACGATGACGCCAAACGATACACTACACGAATGATATCGGTGCTAGATCTTGATTTCAGCACTGAAAATTTGTTGAGACGGTACACTACTACACCGAATATAGTATAACAATTGTCATTGGTCAAAATTCATAATTTGCATTTTGACCAATGAGAATGTTGAATTTCCTTGCAAAATCTAAACACAAAAGGTGCAGTTTTAGGAAAAATCGGGGCGTTTTATCGTTAAGATGGGTGCAGTTTTGAAATCCAAAAAGCGTTTATACTGGGATAGGAAGCAACGTTAGTGCTGCAATCGCAGACCAAATCGGATTATATCCGAGGTACGTCAAGTCAAACAATGACCCCTCTTGACATCTAACTGATACATTTTCTTGAAACCGGTACGACTCCGGTGCCGCACAGGGTCCTCCAAAAGGTTTATATGCGTGGGCAGATCGACCCGGTGCGCTACCGACAATATTGGTATTGAGGTAGGGACGTATGAATGAAATGAAGTAAATACTAAAGGTAAGCGTTTGTATTTTCTACAAGCTCCAAACAGATTTCGACCAAGGTTCGCATTTTTAAATTCCGTAAAGCATTGCCGGTAGACAGTTTGAACTGGCAAATTTCCGGGCAGATGCTGTGGCTGCGAAGCAGGCGCGGGAGATGACCGTAAGGTAAAATGCCAAACCTGGCACGGTGCCAATTCGTGGCACGACTTAGACTTTTTACCAATGGCATATCTCTATTTCGTCAATCTCGCTGTTTATTGGGTAATTTCTTTTTGATGATGTTGATGGCACGCTTTTGGTGGCTGGAATAATTTTCCAGAGGTCTAATTAAAACATAGAGGACATTTGGATTCAGCGCCCACAAGCCTCACATTGCACGAGCGCAAATATGGAGGAGGAGAAGGAGAGCTACAACCAAGAGAACGTGAATCGTGCGCTGGCCCGCGTCGCCGCCGGGGAGAAGAAGGCTGCGGTGGCGAGGACCTCGCCTGTGCCTCTGCGCACCCTCTTCCGGCTCACCAAAAGGGCTGCTGACCGTGGCAGCACTGGGCCGTCGCGACCAGGCCCAAAGCCCCTGATGCCGGTGGAGCTGAAGCGCGATCTGGCTGAGTGGATTGCTGCCATGCAGCGGTGCGGCATGCCCGTCGGCCAGCGGGACATCATTGCGATGGCGAGCGCGATGCTCACAGCTGCTACTGGGCGGATCATGACCACCCGCTCTACACCTACAAGGATGCTGACTGGCGGCTGGTATCGTCGTTTTCTCCAGCGTCACCCCTTCCTCACCAACCGGATTGAGCAGTGCATCGCGCGCGTGCGCAACGCCGTGGACGAGGGCGGCGTCTCCGCGCGTTCTACACCTTGGCGAAGACGTTCATGAGCTGAAAATCGACGCCACGCGTATCTTCAATATGGACGAACCTCGTTCATGCCAAAGACCGCGCGGCGGAAAGTCGTAGCTGTGCGCGGTTCAGCCAACGTCTGGCGCAAGGAGACGAAGCCAAGCTTCCACATGACTGTGGTGGGTGCGGTAAGTGCTAGCGGCGCTACGATACCCCCTTTGATTAATGTGCCAGGCGTGCGGCTTTTCAAGGAGGACATAGCGGCGTTGCGTGTGAAGGGGGTGGCAATTACGGGGGCCCTAAAGGTTTCAGTAACACGAAAATCTTTGTTCAATGGCTGACCTTCTTCGGAGAGAGCATCGCCCACCTCCCGAAGCCAGTGGTGCTGATCGTGGACACGATCTGCTCCAGGTAAGCGGTGGTGATGCATCCTTTGTAAACAAAAGTTTCTATCCACATCAGTTTTAACGGGGTATTGCGATGCAGAGTTGGCTGAAATATGTGTCGAGTACGGCATCATGCTCGTTGCATTGCCGGCAAATGCGACGCACCTCTTCCAGCCCCTGGACGTCGCGTTGTTGAAGCCATTCAAGGACTGTGTCCATGACCTAATGCTAGAGCGGCTTTGCGGCATCAACGATCCTGTGATCAAGAAGACGACAGCAATTGGGATGGCGTGCACAGCGTACCGACGCACTCTCATTGACCAGCCTACAAGCGCCGTTAATGGCTTCAGAGAGTGCGGCATATGGCCGTTGTCTATGGTGCAGCTCAAGTCGCGCTTGACACTGTATAAGGGCGGTGGGGTCAAGGGCGAGATTCGGACTGGTTGAAGCACCGAGAAGCTGTCCTCGATGAAGTCCGCAACGAGCTTCTTTTGCTTCCACCCGTCCCTGCTACAGGTCAGAGAGGAAGCGCTCGACTGTGGACGTTGCTGGGCGGCTTGTTTCAAAAGAGCGGTTGCTAGCAGGCGCCTTCGACTAAGTAGTCTAAATCGTGTCACCAATTGGTCCGGCCAAAATTGGTAACAAATAGATGCTTGAGTTGAGTACGGCATAACTTCGATGTCTGTAGTGATAATGAAGATGTGGCGAGGCGACGGGACAATTTCGCTCCAGATGTAGTATAGACGTGTCCAAACGTTGAATCACCAAGTCCAGACCCGAACTCGTAGAGCCCTAGAGTCTCAGAGTCACAGCCGACAGACCTCGATTAGACTGCAATGAAGACTCCACGGACGCTCCTTGAACTTGGACTTGAACCGGGTGAGGCGTGTGTGTACCTCCCTTGTGACCCCCTTGAATAGCTCTTCCTCAGGCTACGCTTAGGGCCCAGTCGGAGGTCAACCACAGCAACTTCACGTCCAGTCCAGATGTCTCCCAGTGTCTCCAAACGGCGCTTGCTCCGCACATAACAGGCTCCCGTCTGCACGTGTCGTAGCCCAACTGCCCCGGGTTTTCTTCAATGTAGACACGACACTCCACACGCACTCTGTCCTCTCCTTTCCAGGCCTTGGACCAGGTCTTGACAGCTTCTTCACTTCCTCCGGCGGCTCCAGCTGAGAGCCGAACAACCAGGTCTCCCTCGCTCCTCGACCTCGAGTAGCCCCGTGAGTTGGTCCGGCTTGAGCCTGTCTTGTTCCAGGGTTCACGCTCTGGGCCCTGGGACTTCCGCGCACCACGCCCGATGTCCAAATGCCGGGTGGACACCAAACAATCCACGCCAAATGCCGGGCCGAATCGCAGCCAGTCGCACGATCGCTCCACAACCAACGAGAAGGCTCTTCCTCCCCGATCAAAATGAAATACACGCCGAGAGCCGCTCCCAAGTGTCGGTTCGACGCGTATCGATATGAAATGGCTAAAAGGAGCCCTCCTCACACCCAGGGGTACCGAATCGGTCTATATGGGGGCCTTGAATTTCACTGGAGGCGCTCCTTGACACCCGCGACCACACAAAATCCAAACACGTGCGTCTTTCGGGCAAATTCGACTCTGATTGAAATCTTACATATGCAAACATGAACCTATCAAGTGGGGGCGCAAAACGCCCTTCGGAAACACTAAAACAACAGTGAGAAGACTGTCTTGCGAGCTGCCAGCAACGCGCAGTCGCGTGCGGCGCTTCAACATGAGTTCAGCGATGATTGGCCGACACTCGGATGCGTCCAGCAGAATCCAGCGAATCTGGGCGTAATCACCGCCAGCAACCCAGATCCAACGCTTGTGATTGGCCACATGGGGTGCGTCATCAGGGTGCGACGGGAGACGTCAGAGCTGATTTGTCTGCAATCACGGGATGGCGTGACCCGACACGGCGACCCTCCACAGTGACCAGATGGGAGCACAACTTCAACAGCACTCTGAGCCTCCAAGGCTCCGCTGGACCTTGAACTCGAAGTGTCCACCAACGTCCGCCAAATCCAGCCATGTTCAGCGAAGTCCAGCAAACTCAGGCTGAACCTCCTCGGGGTCCAGGGAAACCTTCCTCGCTGAGCCGTCAGAGGCTTAGCCGACGCACATCTGGACCTTCGGAAGTTTGGCAATGACGCAGCACGGGCTCCTCGACCTCGGGCCGCTTCGGCTGGACTTCAGCGATGCAGCAAGCACATCCAAGTGGTAGAAGCTTCACACATCCCGAGTACGCACGTAGTCAGCCTTACTCTTTGCCGACACCAGTGATCGGCGCAAGCACAGCGCCGACACCCCAGGACTTCGGTCGACTCCGTTAGTCGTTCATCTGAGCCTCGGCAAGGTCTGCACTTCACATCTGAACCTGGCGATCGTCGGCCAACAACCTCAGCAGTCCTGCTTCTGTCGTATCCGTATCCCACACGCTTGATCGACTTCGAAGTTACACTTGGGCACCAGCTCCATACGCCAAGGGCTCCACGGTTCTCCATCACCGACGTCGTCCGGGCGTACCATGGTTGAGACTGAATCACTGCGTCCTGGACGAAGCATGTCAAAGGCAGTCGACCGACGAGGTTCGCCAAAATCTGAGCGGACTTCGTCACAAAGGTCAAAAATATTCATCATAAAGCTTTAGCATTGTACTTTGCTGTATTGTCCCGGACACCAAACCTTGGACGGACTTTGAGTAATAATTAGGGCTACTTCCATGCATAAACCTATAACGATAGTTAGATATAAGGGGTAGAATCGGGCGTAGATTCCGATTTGCGGTCAATTTTAGCGTATCTGAACTCCTTCCCGTTCATTTCGGCTGTTGGAAAATACTTCTATTTCTTGCAATTTTGTTTGCAATTGAAAGCCTGCCACGTAGTTGTCTTACAGCTACCCAATTGGCCAAATCAGGATAGCAGCTGGGGATAAGCTCATAATAACGATAAAATACCACCATCTCGTCATTTACCCTACATGTTATAATTTGACAGCTGGTGTTAGAAACTCGAACAACATATATGCAGTGCAAGGTCAAATCCTCTTTATCCATAACACTAGTTCCCAATACTGTAAAAATCAATAGATTATCACTGCGACTAGCTAAACGTTAATATCGATATGTAACAGCAACTGGGTCTGGAGCACTGGTTCCACCACACCAGCAGCTCTATCTTAGCTCCCAGAACCTCGTTTAGGCTATAGCCGCCCTCTACACAAAGGCCAGAGCCTCGCCAAGATGCTCCTGAAGTTTGAGCGTTTCAAACACAGTCAAACAGAAATTATGAAGGTTTCAAATTTGAAGCATGAACCTTGGACGGACTCTATCGTGGCAATAAAAAATTACCGAACCAATTCTGAATATACCAATCGAGTTATGGGCGTGTACCTAGCACTATACAAAGGAATAGACGCGTATCTTTCCATCGAGGGCGGCCACAGCATCATGGGCCAAGTGGTTGCGACGTTTCGGTCGGTCATAAACCATCACATCAAAAATCAATTCTCCGTCCAAGCCTTTTTGGCCGGGACAATAGTAAGAAGCCGGGTGATATCTTATGCAGCTTACTGTTCGTTTTCGACCGATTTCTGTGATGTATCGAAACCGTGACACGATTGGCATTTTACCTTAGCTAATATGAAAAATATAATAAAAGTAAAAGAAGGAGTTTATACCAAAATTCTCCTATCCCAGCCATCGCGGAGCCCTATGTAAATATCCCAGTGTAGGCGCCTTAATGTATGAAAGTTACAGTACTATTGTAGGATAAGTAGTATTTGGCCGGACACCCGACCCTTATGCTAAGCTTGCCACCTCGCTGTAGCCAATCAGCGATTTTTTCTTATCATTTGAGGCTCAATTACCTATTTTCATCCAATCGTCGCTCATTAGGATTAGGTTTATTCCGTTCCAACTTATTTCCGAAATCTTCCGGAATTTCCTTCTTCGCGCAAATAAGTTACCATACAAAACTAAAGAGGTTTCTCGTACTTACTCGATAAGTGTAAAACTGCCGCATTTAGCCACTTTCATCAGACTTGCAGGCGGATAGAGATGATACAGCGAGCCTGGCGTGGTCTTGAACCGTAGCTGGAAGGTCAAGACCGACTCCAACGACCCAACAAGCGCAAATTGCTGTCGGTGTTCACGTAAATGAACGATAAAATGGTAGTTTGGTCAATTAAATTCTCTGGATTTTATCCAGAGTCCATGGGCGAAGGCCACTGAGGTGCCATTATTATCACATCAAATACCTGTTAAAAAATATGGTTTTGAAAGCTCTTAATTTTACACCTGACGTCACCTGTTATACTAAATAGTCTGCTATCTAATCAAATTATGCTGTTATGTTGACCCATCCGGTTGAGATTAAGTCAAATGATCTACTATTTTGTATACCCTGTAATCAAGTATATATACCTATGACAAACGATTTATCTGCTCACTCAAACGACATCCGTCAGATTTTTTCGCTCAGACAACATGCAGAGGTGATGGGATCTTGGCAATGACGTTGCCGTGTGGCAACCAAGTGAGCGTCGAGGACAGCGTAGAGAAGACGCGGCGCTACCTTACGCTCGGGATTGGCAAAGCGAGCGTGGGGGCACTGACCGAGAACGGCGCCATCTCGATGCTGCATTGCGTCTGCTTCATGGGCAATACACAGCTCGCCTAATGCTGCTGTACGGGGCCTACGTGCTCGCGCTCACGAACAGGCCTCCCGAAAATGGCATTAATAGGGACTAGCCACCGAAGTCACCAGATAAATAATGCATGTAGAACTCAAACAAGGAACCATACATAATGGAAAATGCTGAGACCCTCGAAGCAATAATGCATTAAATTGCTTCTAGATTAAAACACCTAAATGCTTTCGTGCACTAACTGGGCATCCCAGTAAGACCTGTTTACCTTTAAGAAGAGGATCATCTCCTTCGACTGCGCCGAAAGCGAGTGGCGCTCCAGGCCAAAAGTCGACCTCGCCATGCTGAAGTGACGCTCGGCCAAGTCTTCGCTCTGTGCTGCTCAACGACACTCGCTGGAACTCCACCTTTGCGATGCTCGACCGTTACGTGCGGCTTTTGGAGTTCATTGACCCCAAGGACGATGCTGTAGCGGAGCTGCTCCCGTCTTCCAGCGTGCACAAAAGCTCAAGGGCCTCCTGGAAGACCTCAAGCAGTTCGAATCAGTGTCCAAGCGTTTACAGTCCGAGTCGGTATCGCTGTGGGAGGTGCGGGTCATGTTCGACGCGCTAATCACCGAGAAACCTGCTCTCAAGCAATATCTTGGTACGTGTTTATTGCTTCTGCTATTGTTGCTACTTATTATTTCTAACTTGTTTTTATATTTTTTTTAGGACCACGGGCGGATATTGTGGCGTCTCCCGACTTTGAGTCTGCCTGCGTCACGATTCAGCAGGACAACCAGCACGCGCTGTCCAGACAGGAGAAAATGGCGGTGCGGCCGTTCGTGGTCAACACCAGCAGCTGCACGAACGAGGGCGAGCCCGAGGAACAAGGCACCGCTGAACGAGTGCTGAAGCGGGCTCCGGTGACGTCGGGTGACAAGCTCTACAAACTTATCAATGTCATCCCTCCCACCTCCATGTCGTCTTGAAACTAATATATCAGTTTGAAAAGGGTTAGTAATATGAAATAATAATAATAATACAATTGTAAATAGTATTCATACAGTAGTAACCATACCGTAGTTTCGCCGCTTGATTCAGAGTTCTCAGCTTGACTATGAGCTTCTGGATGCCAGCCAGCGCGTTCTCCAGTGGGGACGTGTACAGTCGGACTGCCATGTTTAGTCGGTGACTCGCGCAGCCCACGAGCGGCACACCCATGATGCGAGCCAGACGCTTATTCACAGCACAGTTATCACTGATCAGAAAGCACGCCTGATTAATACTCTTACCAAACTCTTGTAGAATGGTGGAGAGCGCTGCCAGGTGCATCTCCGCTCCGTGGTTAACCTCAATAGCCGGTGCGTCTTCGCTTGGAGGCTGCACAACTGGGGTGAGGCAAAGCAGCGGGGTGTGAAGAACACCGTTGAGCTCATAGCAATCGTAGACAGCCATGAAATGCTTGGAAGCATGCGTCCAGTCGTCGAACAAGACGCCAATCTTGTCTGGCATCTCACAGCCAATCTTCACCTCGACGGCCCTGTTGACTGCCTCCATGTCGCCACAGAATTTTTCGACGGAGACCTGGCCTAGGCTCGCGTATCTGTTGCAACAAATTAATATCCATCAGTAGTAAAACAGCCGTTAGTCATGAGTATGTCCGCCTCAAAGCCAGGGTGAGGTTGCTGTAGCCCCGCCGACAGCCTGCTTGAGCACGCGCTGGCAGACCTTGCATGCGAAGTACTCGGTGGGTTCGCCGCTGTCGTCCAGACACGGTGAGAAGAAGAACAGTGCAACTTGTTTGTTGCTGAACTTGGGGCGAGCTCGAGGGCTGGAGGGCACGAGGTTGAGCATTGCGGCAAGCTTGGCGGGCAAAGGGTGGTGTTCTGTCTGAAGTAAACTGAAAAGTGAGGGGAAGTGGCAAAAGTACTGTAGTGGGGCCAAGCACTTGGCCACTGTGGTCCGTAGGCCGGAATGGTTAGTGTGGAGAAACCGGAGAAAAAGTAATATTTTTTTTATGGTTTTTCTACTATCACATCAATTAAGCATTAATATAATATTGATGCAGTAATAATTGCTGCATCTGCTCAGACTTTGCAATAAATAATTGCGTGAAAATGTCAATTAATTTATCTACTAATTGATTTTTCGGGAGGCCTGCTCACGAACGTGCGTGCAGCTTCATACGCATGGCACGTGCGCTTGATGTCTCTTTTGCAGCAAGGCTACTCGGCGCTGGTTCTGGCCGTCTGGAGAGGACACTTCAGATCATCGAGCTGCTGCGGTGCCAAGGCAGCGTGGTGCCCATGAAAGAGCCCGGGGGCTTGAATGGCAAGGTGATCCCCATCTTAGACGCCATCTTGGACGCCGTCGTCTTCTTAATGAATGAAAGGAGTTTCCGAACATGACACCCAGTAGGTGAGTTGATACCTCACTTTCTCATTTTGATTCGGCAAGGCGAACCCACAATGAAGGCAGACAGTAAAGTGATGTCTACTAGTTACTACACTAACCAGGAGTTCTACCTTCCATTCGCGTGTTAGAGATCTAATCAAATGCAGCGCTATGGCCCGCTTTCTCGCGTTGAGCTTGGTGATCGACGGTACGTAGTTGTCTGCTGAATACTATCGGAAAGTAGTGATATTACTACTACTACTACTACTATATCCCTGCTATATCCCTAGGATCTGGGCGACTTAGCAGTGGTAATACTGGAGACTACAGTCCGTAGTAGCAAAAAAAACGTCATTCGTTGTAATAATATCACTACTATTATCACTACTATTTTTCCAAACTTCAACACACCAAGGATCTTCAAAAGGTGGTTCTGCACCCAAGTGTTTAGTCAAGTCAAGTAAGAACAACGCCAAAGAGTACCAAGTTTTTGAGAGTCGAGAATGAAGTGCTTGAATGGTGCACAAGCCGGCTGCATGTATTAATATCAGCCATATTCCCTTAATGACAGCCAATCTGAGCGCACTCTTGTTTCTTCGCCAGGGGATTCTAGAGGCAGGTTCGCCCGCCGGTCGCGCCTCGACAAGGTTTTCTACACGGACAACGACTCCCAGCTACCCGTCGTATCGTTCGCCTAAGGAGCAGAGCCCACTTACCCTCAAGCTCCTGATCGACTCGGTGTGAGAGTTCATCCATCTACAAGGGTAATGTATGCATACATATTTTCTGTTGTGTGTGAATTCAGGGAGCCAAGTGCGAGTATCAGGTGATACGACTGATCGGTGACGGCGCGTGTTTGAATTACTATTATGCTCATAACTGCTAAATCTTACTATGGTGTTTGTGTGCCACTCGCAATGAAGCAAACGGACTCATTTTCGTTGTTACTGGTCAGTTCACCAGGCCGTGTTTGCTCAGCAGCGCTGCTAGAACGTGAGTTTCAACTGATGAAACCATCCCCAACAAGGACTAGAGCCCAAGTACAACTGATACTGCCCTGCAATCAAGGAAACAAACGAGGAAACGGTAACCGCCCGATTGTGGGGCAGTAGTACTATAGTAGCGCAATTGTAGTAATATTTGTACTAATGTTGCTTCTTAACTACTAATAAAGGTAGGAGTGCTTATGAATCTGGCTTCAATAGTAGTAACTGTATCACTACTAGCCTAAATTCTGACTACTACCGAACTCTGATTGTGAACGGGTCGGAAAATATTAAAGCCATCGCCAACTTGGGCTCGGGCACCGCCGCCGATGGGGCGCCTACAAGTGCGAAGTGTTTTCTGCTTGAACGAGGTAACCAAAACTCAGAAGAAATATAATTACGCTTCAATTCCGTCTCTTGCGCTCTAGCTGTACTTCTTTCTGTGACTGGTATGATCTTACGTGAAAACACTACGCGGCGGCAGTACAGGTGCCATTAACTTACATTCCCAAGCGCAACATGAAATCCAGAGCTGTTCCGGGCAGAGCACGGCCCTGTAAGTGAAGGAGTATGTAGCACTGTTGATAAATAAATACTACAGTAATCAAGGGCTTGATGTTTACTGGTACTAGTTACTCTGCACCTTCAGCACCTTGGCCGTCTTGCTGCTGCTGAGTGCTCGAGCTGAAGTGTCGCCCCAGGTCCTTGTTGTTGCTCTTGTGCTCGACGATCCTCACCTGACCCATCGTATCATTGCGGTCACTCCCTTACCGCTCATCCAGCTAGATATCAAGGCGCGCACCTACTCCTTCTCAGCTGCTTCATCTTCACCGGCTAGTCCCCCCTCACCTTCCTGTTTCTTGTCCGGCACCGCTGCGCCCTCAGGCCTCGTAGGCCGCGCGCGCACAACTCCTGCGGCACCTCCAACTTCATCTCGAGCTCGCTACGTGCTGCTCGCGCGTCGGCATCTCCATCGGCTCCACCTCGACGCCAGTGAGCCGCAGCATGTCCTAGTACAGCAGATCGCCCTCGCGCTGTGCCTTGAAGCGCCTGATCGGTCACTTGCAGCGCGTGCCTCCTCGTGCGCAGTCGCGTCCAGCTCACCCACCAGCCGCTGCAGCGCCGTCGACGGCACTGCGCGCTCTACGCGAGCTCGCCAAACCACCGTCGACCACCGCATCCGCGTCGCAGTCCCCCATGGCCATGAGATCAAAGATGCCGCGCACTGGGCTCGGGCTTGGCACACCCATCGCGTCACGTAGGGCACTTTCTAAGATCAGCCCCCACTACGCTTTTTGACAAAACTTTAGTCCGACACAAATTTACATTTGTGAATTACAATCTTGACCTAAACTGGGTAGTGTTTGCGGATGCCCTGCACGAGGCCGTCAAGGTACTGGAACTTCGGGACAGTGCCGTTGAAGCACCAGGACTTCCACAGGTACATGTCCAGGTACTGGTCCAGGCGCTCCTTGCGGACGCCGCGTATAGCCTTGATGTAGCGCTTCACGCGCACTTCCCACGTCCCTTCAATGCGGTTCGTATGGGCCCCCGTCTTGGGGTCCACGAAGAACTTGTCGTGGTTGACCCACTTGTGGGTGTAGTTCTTGCCCTTTAGCCACTTGTTGTTCTCCAACGTATGCTTCCCGTTAACAGAAACATACGAGGAGAACTGGTCGGAGATGATGGTCGACCCAGCCATGATATGCTTGCCGATGAGAGGAGACAGCGTCTTCTTTTTGCGGTCGGGGCCGGTGACGATGCCGAACCACCGCCCCGTGGCCCGATCGACACCGCCGAAGAGCCAGTAGTCCTCGTGCTGCTTGCCGCGCCCGAACTTGGACTTCTTCTTTAGGCTCGTCTCGTCGATTTCGACGGTGTGGCCCACGCCGCCGATCTGTATAAACATAGTTAGCACATATGCCACATATTGTAGTCGAATATTAGGTGTACATACCATCATGCTGCACTGCAGCATCTCGGCGGAGCAGATGTCGCGGCAGAAGCCGTACCAGTCGATCGCCGTGACGTCGGAGATGCCCAGAAACTGCTCCGCGGTTCCGACGGGGATGTCCGACGCCCAGAAGAACATCAGGCGCAGCACAGTGCGGTACGCTAGCTTGGTGCCGTCAAAGAAGGAGCCTTTCTTCAGGCTGAGCTCCTTGCCCGGGTGGCCGCTACGGCGGCATCGCCAGCGGCGGTCCTCGTCCTCCGTGCCGCGTTTGGAGACGCACAGGTTCATGGGATAGTCGCAGTACTCGCATGTCTTAGAGGAGGCGAGGAGGCCGTGACGCATTAGGAAGCTCACGGCGGTGTCCTCGCTCGTGGTCGCCGCCATTATGTCGTCGAACGTGAACGGGGACACAGCCGGATCCGCCACCGCGTACGCGTACGGCGAGTTGTACACGACGGGCGCCTTGGGCGCGGTGTTGGGCGGCGCTCTGGATGCGCGCACGCGCTCCGACCGTGATGCGCGCTTGCGTGGCTCGCGCGCAGAGCGCGGAGTCGTCTTCGAGGATGATTTCTTGGCTGGGGCCATGGTGTGTTGTGTGTCTTGGGGCGGGGGCTCTTTCTCGAAAGTGATAGTGTTTGTGTTGTGGCGGCATCGCCGTGGGCGCGAAAAGTGGGGGCGCTCCTCGGGTTCACACGAGTACGCCCGCAACGCAAACTGATACATGGGTGCACTTAACCCTTTCACTACCGCTCAAATCGAGATGGCTTGTAGGTCCGCAGCGGACCCGTAAATCAAACGATGATTGTTGCTGATTGGTAGAATATCCGCTATCGTGGAAACGGTGTCGGGATCACCAAGATGAATAGGTCCGTACCGGACCCATAACTTTAGCAGTACCGTAAGGACCGCACCTACGAAAAATCTTCTAACATTCGCCCTCAGAACACTTCGAGGGCATATACAAGCAAGCAGGACGAGTTCAAGCGGTGGTGTGACGACAAGGGCGCGGCTTTCAGTGATCTCACTCGGTACACAGTAACAGGGCCAAAACTTCACCTTTTTCTCGTGGAGTGCGTGATTGGGAGGGAAAAGCGACGAAAGGGTCACGGAGGGAGAAGCGAAAAAGTTGGCAAATCGACTGTCAACAGCTATGTGGCTGCCATGGTTGACTTGTGGCGGCAACAGAAACGACTGAATATCAACACCAACCCATCTCCTCGAGATGGCGCTGTTACAGCACTTCTCAAAATTACGACGTACGAGGAGGACCAGCTGCGGCGTAAGAACTTTGCAGATCGAGGAGCTGATACTTTACTGGATGGCTACACAACAACGGATCAGCTACAACAGATTGCTCGCTACTTTTGGACCTCGTCGCACGACCCTGGAACTAGCATGAGGAATTTGCTGGCGTACCTGTTGTCTCACTATGCGCTAATGCGTGGCGAGTCTGCTCGGCTGATGGAGCTAGCTGATCTTCACTCGATTGTACTGGAAAATGAAGGCTACAGTGTTTGTCGGGCGCTGGTGATGGTCATGACACAAGGGAAAACCAACCAAGTTGGTCGTATTGAAGTGGGTGCATGTATGCGCAGTAAGAAAGTGGAGATTTGTGGTCATGGATTGCTCGGATTCTATCTGTTTTGGCGATGGCACGTGGATAAAGAGTCGTTTCCTGATTTCACGAAGTCGGAACAATGGTATGCTATAAAACTGCTAAAAACTGGGAAAGATCCAACCAAGCCAATGTCGTACAAGGTTCATCGGGCGGTTATTGTTGACGCGCTCGACCACATCGGTCTACGCAGCAGGGCCAAAACACATCTAGGCAGAGGATCGGGCTCCCGAATGGCATACCTTGGGGGTGCCAGTGAAGCTCAGATACGGCGCCTAGGGAGGTGGAATACTCAGGCGATGGAGAAATGTTACCTCACCTCACTCCCGCGAGAAGCAATGCGAACGCTTGCGGGCTTTGAACCAGGAAGAGGCAGTTATTTTCTGGCGCGTACTTGCGTTGATCCTCCCCAAGCTCTTCAGAAACGTATTTTTCCGTTGGTGGAGGAGTGGCAGTCGAAGATGACATCAGGTGAATGTGAACAGTCAATCGCGGCTGGTGGTTTTCTCGAGCTGCTTCAGTATCTGCGCACCGTAATTCTACAGGATGCTGCCATTTGGTCCGAGCAAATGTCGGGACATCCGATTTGGAACAATGAGATCTTCAAGAGCGATGATTTTAAACAATTTCAGCTGGAAATGAAGAATGCCATGAACCACGTTAGTGACCCCACCGAGCGTCAGCTTGAGAAAGCCATGCCCGCGCTGAAGTCGACGCTCGATGGTGTTCGACAGGAGATGAGAGCATCATTGAGTGGTATTCGAAATAGCCTGGACGCGGTGAAAGTGTAGCAGATGTCATGGAAGTTCTTGCCCCACTCAGGAATGGATCAGCATTTGTGGAAGTTAAGATCGTGAATGGCTTACAATCGACAACCCCCAGCGCCACCCAAGCCGCCTCCGGAGCTAGCACAGGTAGCAGTACACCGAGCGACCCCTCTGCGATTACCAGTTACAGACTCAGTCGGGGCATTCAATCGGTCCGTGAGTTGTGGACCGAATGGACATGTGGCCTCCCTGGTGGTTATGCAGTTGAAACGCTGGAGCAACAGCTCGGTACCAAGTGGTGTGACCATCACGAGAGACGCTTCTTCAACCGACGACGAAAAATTATTGATCTTGTAAAGACCATCGCTAGCTGAGTTTGCAACCACGAGGCGTTCGACAAGTATCAGGCAGTCGAAGAGACGATTAAGTGTGTTGACAGCATCCGCTGTATTCGCAAAAAATCGCTCAATTGGGTGTCTCAAAACGTAGCTGCAATTGCACATGAGCTCGGAGTACGAGACCAGGACGTTTAACATCAAGCACAGCCGCGGTCATACGCACATCAAGCACAGCCGCGGTCATACGCGATAACTGCGCGCTTCAGATAAATTACAGCGGTAAATACATCTCTCAACATTGTGACTTTGCGGTAGGTGCCGCAGTGTAACTACCGCAGTGTAACATCGCGGTAGCTACCGCAGTGTGAGATCGCGGTAGCTACCACAGTGTGACTTCGCGGTAGCTACCGCAGTGTGACATCGCGGTAGGTGCCGCAGTGTAGGTACCGCAGGGTAGCTACCTAAGTGTGACTTTGCGGTAGGTGGGTGTCGCAGTGTAGCTACCTAAGTGTGACTTCGCGATTGAGCTGCCGTTTAGGCGAGGTGGTAGTTATTGAGGCAAAAGAGCTGTGATGAGGATCACATGCGAGGTCTCGATTGATGCAAATTACGTATATTGTTTTTAAACATGTTACTTACCCTGTTGAGGCCCACGTGCGACTCTGCTGTGGAGCTTGGAGCGGTAAGAAGCAGCTTTTGTAGCGTTAAAGTCTGTCGATATCCATTCACCCAATTTGTCCTCAATGGATTGTGGTTCGGCTGCCGCTACGTGCTTCGAGATTACATCCATGTAATGAAGCAGGTATAGTCCACAATCCACACTGTTTGATTGCTGTGGCTTTGTGTTGAAGACAAAAGTCTTCCATTCAAATGCGTCAAATACCTTTTCGTGAAGGTTAGACAGAAACCACTTGGTGACGTCGAAGGCGTAGGCGGAACTATGAGCCCTTCGCAGCGAGTTGATATGATACACCTTCGGCGGCACCGAATGCAGCGGATTTTCAATTACGAGGAGGCTCCAATGCTTGCGGCCGGATACGGGAACTAGCATGTAGCGATAACGTTTCCAGTCGAATTGCTCAATCAGATTTTTGAGCAAGCGGCGTTTTTTTTGCGGTTTCAGTGTATATCGGGCCACCTCCATCGACAAGTAGAGTGTGGTCCCGTAACAACAGACCAACCCATCTTGCTTGACCATGTCCCGATAAATAAAGTAGTCAATGGCCATCGACGTCATGAAAGAAAGTGGCAGCAAGCTATCCAAGTCCTCGCGGTAAAACCGGAAGCTTTTAGCGTCTCCCGAACCCTGGCAGTCCACCCAAACGAACAGCGCATCATCGTGCGACTTGCGCTGCCTCAAAACGCGACGGTTGGGTACACTGGGGGCGGAGGCTGGTCCTTTCGCGCTCGTTTCCTCGTATACACTACCGTCGGAACAGACTGAGCTTTCTGATTCCGAGCTTTGATATTTGTCACCCTCGAATCCCTCCTCGTAATGTGCACTCTTTCCGTTCGCATCATCGCTATCGTCCTCGTCATGCACGCTATCACTGCCCACATCTTCTCTATCACTCGAGTTTTCATCCACGTGTTCATTGCTCCCATTGCCACCAGCACCTGCGTCATCATGGTTCTCATTGTTCACTTCGTCACTAGCACTTGCTTCGTTATGGCACTCATTGTCCACATCGCCGCTACTCCTCTCCTCCTCAGCACTGGCCATATGTACATTGGCTTCACCACTAATGCGTGTACCAACTTCACCAGCCGCATCCCCAATAACACCACTAACCAATCGGGTACCACGAGCTCCGCTTAATTTGTTCACAATTCGAACTTGACCGACGGCAGTATCGAGGTCTTGTTCGTGCTCAATAACTCGTAGTCGTTTCCGTGCGAAATCGCCCGTATGCGGAGTTGCCTCGATTGCGGTAGCCTCTCCACATGTAGGTACGTCGTCTTGGCTACACGCACTACACTCAAGCGATGCCGATGTGGGTACAGTAGCCAGCCAGTAACAGTGATTCAGGTGAACAGTACTGACAGCACGATACTTCTCACGTTCTTGATACGTAGTCTTCAATTTGGGGTCTGAGTGCATGGCGTTACGAACGTAACTGCAGAGCGCTTGATCGGAGCTACGAACCCTCGTCACGCTGTCCGCAATGGCTGCGCTCACCTCAGCATCGGTGTACATTTTCATCTGTGTCGTAGCAGCCCGCGCATAAGCAGCCACATCACTAGAGATACCGACGGCCCGCTGCCGGGCTGATGGAGACAGCTCTGACGCGATCTGCGCTCCCATGCATTCCACTATAGCCGCTGCCCGGCTCACAACGTCTTCAATCGCGCCCCCTCTAATCGCTCGAGCGAGTGCGGTAACCTCGGCGGCGAGTGCGGCACGCACCAGCTCCCCTCGGTACGTATCCAGCGCTTTATCCACAGTACTGTCCTGGTCGTTGGAGCTATTGCCGGCCTGCACTGCCGCCGAAGCTTCATGCACAACCTCCGGCGTCGATACGTCTGCACGCACCATCCTAGGGTATCGCCGACGGTCCTTGCGGCCATCCACGATGCCTTTTGGGTAGTCTTCCAGCGGGAAGGTGTCGTCAGCGTTGTTGAGAATGTACGTCTGTCGACGCGGCGGTTCTTCCGCCAGCCACA